CAAAGTGTTGGTGCTGACCTTTAAAGCCCTAAACGGCCTCGGCCCAGTATACCTGAAGGAGCGTCTCCACCCCCATCGTTCAGCCTGGACCCTGAGGTCCAGCGCTGAGGGCCTTTTGGCGGTTCCCTCACTGCAGGAAGGGAAGTTACAGCAAACCAGGCAAAGGGCCTTCTCGGTAGTGGCACCCGCCCTGTGGAATGCCCTCCCACCTGATGTCAAGGAAATAAACAACTATCTGACTTTTAGAAGATATCTGAAAGCAGCCCTGTTTAGGGAAGTTTTAATGTTTGATCTTTTATTGTGTTTTTAATGTTCTGTTGGGAACCTCCCAGAGTGGCTGGGGAAACCCAGCCAGATGGGCGGGGTATAAATAATAAAAAATGTTGTTGTTGTTAAATGTAAAACTTATCTTTAAGTAGATTCAAACACAGCTGGTCACCATACCTTGCATGTGGATGCAAGTGTGTTGCTGGTCTGTGTCCTTACACACACACACTACCTCTGATCTTCTTGGAAGGAAAGACTGAAGCATGTCAGATGAAGCAGTAGGCTAGAGCCCTTCCTTTCTAATGGGTCAACTTGCAAGGAATTGCCCCACAGCACTGACTCTCCAGTCATTCCCATGCTGTGCTTTGCAACTGCAGTCCGCATGTGCTCAGAGGGGTAGCCCAGGAACGCATCAGGGCAACAAGAGGGGAAATGCCAAAAAGCTTACCCCGGAAAACAGATTTTCCTGGTGAAGTTGCTATCTTGTTTAACCCAGCATGAAAGTTTTCAAATCATCTCTGGAAAACGCCAGAGCGATTGCAGGTGTTAGTCCGTAACGTTATGCGAGTGCGGAACTCCCATGGGAAAAGAATGCTCGTTCAGATGACAAGTCCAATCCAAAGTAAAAGAAAAACAATGGAAATTGTCATATGCAAATTGGCCTGGTTTGCATAAAGTCGTCGCCCCCCCCCCCCCCGGAAATGCTCCCAATTTAACAGTTCCCCCAGAAAACCCACATCACAACAATACAACCGTTTGGCTGGCAAGGGCTATTTGAGCTTTTTCATCTGAGAACCAGCCTTGTAAAATAACAATAATAATACCCTGGGGGGAAAACCCTAGGTTGCCAGGAGATGACAGAAGAAGGACAGAGAGCTCTGTGTCTAAGTCAGCTGCCCACTGCATTCCCATGGCAGGAGGAAGTATTTTCTGCCAGCCTGCTTACTTGCTTCTGTGCGATGCCTTCTTCCCTACGGCTGCCAAGCTCATGCTTAAATACAAGGCTGGTATAAGTTAAGCAGCATGACCATAGAGGATTTAATGCATATCACCAATGATGTGGGTAGATCACCTGCCTTACATGCAGAGAAGGTCTTCTGAATCAAATAATTCCAGCTGAAAGGATCAGGGAGCTGGTGAAGTGCGTTGGTGGTTGTACCGTGTATCCACATGGTTTGTGCACGGTTACGGTGCGTCGTGCTGCCCACCACTGTTTCTCTGGTTTGCAAATCTGCCCCCAAGCCCCAAAGGGATTGGCAACCGCTGGGATGCCGTTTCAAAATGAAATAAACAGCAGTATAAGTCGCCTCAAACAAGAATCAGATGCTTAAAAACAGCCAGATAACTCTGTCCTTAACTCTCAGACCCAGTGGTTATGTTTGCCCGGACCCATTAAAATGATCCCTGCCAATTAATCAACTAGCATTTAGTTGATTAATCTACTACCTAAAGCACTTAAAGTCTGCAATGCCAGTAATTAGTGGAACAAATGAATGGCAAGGGGACAGTTCCGCTAAACTTTTTTTTCTTCAAGTAGGCACCTGTACCTAACCAGTCAAAGGTGATTCTGCTAACCGATCCAAAAGAGCTTTAATAAGGAGATTTGAGACCTGGGTGGCTGGTGTCTCTCCAGATCAGGTCAGCGGTGACTGAAAGTCATCACTATCTGATCAGTGTCTGGTGGTTTAAGAGGAGCTGGCCTCCTCCCAACTCTTTAACTGACAGCTTAACTATCTTCCTGGCAACTTCAGCGGAGAACCTGAGGAGCACAGCCCTTAAAAGAAATAAAGCACAACACGCCATTCTCTGCAGGTTTAATTAGTGACAGGTTAATGGGAGTTGCATTGCTTACATTGCACATGTGACCCGACAGGTTTCTCTTGGGCCCCTGGGAAGACACACATTTTTCATTCCTTGTGGAATGCAGCAGAGGGTGGCAGGTGACAGCCTGCGTTATGTTCTGCGTGACACAAGCTGGCAAAAACCCCTGTGAAGCTTGGGAGGAGACAGCTTGGCCCATCACTGTGTTTATTCAGCTCAAAGGGCTTGGCGTGGGAGTTGTGTGTGGACTGTGGCTTCACAGCTTTGGAAATAATTTCCGCAAAAGTCATTAGCTAGCCTGTGCAGAAAATTGCTAGCCCACCATGTGCTGGCAGAGGAAGAATGGAGGTGCCAACAGCTTGGTGAATTTCTGTGCAGTGGGCTGGAGAATAAGACTTATCAGCGGCTGCTAGCTTTGACGGCTGTGCGCTGCCTCCACAGTCAAAGAAGACGGTGAAGCTTCTGAATATCAGTTGCTGGAAACTGCAGACGCTCAGGTCCTGGTTGTGGGTTTCCCAGAAGCATTTGGTTGGCCCCTGTAAGACAGGATGCTGGACTAGAAGGACCAGCAGGCCCTTCCTATGTTCTTATGTTAACCTCAGTTTGTCATTAACATCCGAATCGGAAACTGTAGTTACTTTAAAGGTTTTATTGGAACGAATCAGGATCATAAACCATGATTTGACCTTGGTGTATTTCCGTAAACTATGGTTTTAACTATCCACTGTTTATCCTTTTCAGACATAGTGAGAAACCGTGGGTAGTTTAAACATGGGAGCGGATGCTTCTGATCTCCTTGCAACCAGGGGCGTATGAAGTGGTAGGCGAAGGGGGCAGGCTGCCCCGGGTGACACCCCTTCCTCCCCCAGCTGTAGAGCAGCCAAGGGCACATGCAGTCAGTATGGGCTGCCTCTCACACGGCGACCATACCGGCTGCTGCACATGCACACTCTGTACGGGATGCCACGCATGCGCACTCCTTACAGATGTCGTGCATGCGTCACCGGGCTCCGCCACTGCTTGCAACTGCACCAAAGGAGAGGGAAAGGGGGAGTGTGACAGAGCCTCCGTTGCATGGAACTAAATTACATCCTGAACCAGGCCATTAAGTCACAGTTTCCCGTTCAGGTGTAAGGATAAGCTGTAGATTTTACCCACATTTTATTACACAGGGATTATGATACCTGAACTGACCCACTGCATTTACAAAAGTCAGCTACAAGACCTGATCGTGTGTGGCTCATGCCATGTGCATTTCTGGGTTGGAGCTCCATGTTGCTAATGTTATTTCCTGTGTTTGCTTTTCTACTTCATTTGCTGCTTTGAGCATTTCCTTTCAGTGGAGAAAATGGAGATAGATATTTGTGTATAAGTGAATAAAATATATCCTCTGTGGAAGGGGAGTGGGGGAGTAAGGAGCAGCCATTTGGAGATGGTGTTGATTAAAAATATTGGAACAGCTGCCAGTGCTACACACACACACACACACACACACACACACACACACACAATTGTCCAGAGTCGCTGTGCTATCTTCCACTGTACATTTGGAAGGGTAGTAAATCTCTTCATTGCATTCTTCAAAGCCACCAGATCCTCTTTTAAATAAATCCCTCTTTAAATCTGCCTTTGTTATGGTATATACAGATCTTTCCCATCAGGCACTGGACTTGCTGTCAGCCACCTGGAGCTAACAAAATCACTACAAAGGCACATGAATCGTAAATGTCTTCTGTCCCCAGGCAACATCCCGTGACTGGTACCTCTTTCAAGGGAAGCCTGTTTTCTCATAGAGTGCCAAATCCCAGTTTAAGCAGGGAGATGAGCAGGGATAAACATATGATTCAAAAAGCCTGCTTAGGGAGAATTCTTACAGTCAGGCAGCTGCAAGGTTATCGCCACCCTGAAGTTATTCTGTGCTGGCAATATTCTTAAGTTGCTTTCTTAATCCTTGAGGATTTAGGCAGTGCCCAAATTCTAAGATGAAAAGGGCCAGCGTCACTCAGGCCAGCATTGTCCCCTTTTCAATGGGCGAGGAAAAAGGTGTTCGGTGCATGTTCAGACACACGTCTTTTCATGTGCCAGGGCTGGACGCTGGCATTCTCAGCAGGTTGAATGCTAGCAATGCATAAAAGTGTTCTTAACTATTTATTACCCAGCAGTCTCCCAGTGAGCGCCCTTTTGTGATCACACTTAGATACATGCTGGGCTAGTTTAAAAAGCTCCCTTCTTTGCCTTAAAAGCCTTACAGGCAGAGAGGAGAGTTGCAGGCTTCCACCCTGAAAACAGACACTAGATGGCAAAGGGCGGTACCAGTTAAGTACTGCAGATTAATTAATGGGCCAAAGTAATCCTTTCAGTAACTCCATCACTTTCTGTGCGTTTAATGGAGAAGGTTTCCTTGTCCATCATTCAGCAAATCCAAGAGAAGACCTGATGGATTTATGGTCAACTGTAGCTTAGCCCACATCTAGCTGCAGAATTACTCCTGGTACAAGGGCCACACCAGGGTGCTATCAAAACCCTTCCTACCACTGCATCTCAGTTTTTTTGCCTGGGAGGTTCCCAGATCAAGGACAGGCAGTGCAACATTTGCACTGCTCAGAATGAACTACCGTAGTTTGGTTAAACAAAGTTTGCAGAATTAGTTCAAGAATCCCTGAAAGTAGTTCTCACCATTGCCGGGTGAACCGGAGGTGAATTAAGGCCATGTTCACATCATACATTTAAAGCATTGTGATGTCACCTTGAACAGACATGGCTCCCCCCTCCCCCCGAATTCTGGGAGCTGTAGTTTGCTAAGGGTCTGAGGGTTGGTGCGAGACCCCTGTTCCCTTCCCAGACCTACAATTCCCAGAGTCGTTTAACAATTGATCGCTTTTCACAGGGAGCTTTGAGATTTGTTATTTCTAATGCCTGGCTATGGGAAAGGATTTGCCGCATGGTTTGGAATCATTTCCCTTTACCATGCAGACTTAAAGGTCTGGCTAAGCTATCTGCATAGGAACCAACTCCTAGGGGCAGAGGGGTCTTCAGCCCCCTCAAAAATATCTGAGAGGACTGGGGGGCCCTCAAAGTTGATAGGCACATTGCCGTTCAAATGGTGGGTGGGTGTACCATGTCATGTGATCAGTTATGCGAAGAAGGGATTACCTGGCTATCTGAGCTACTTTCTCATTGAGGACATTTGTTTATTAGCTTGCTTGTTGTTGCTTTGTTATATTTGTATCCTTTCTTTCCACCAAATGGTGCACAAGGCAGCCAATAACACAAATATAATAAAACAGCAGTACTGGTTCCAAGCCATGCAGGAATCTGTCCTGCAAAAGGGGCACAAGTATTATTATGAGTAGCATTTATTAATTTATATACAGTGGTACCTCAGAAGTCAAACGGAATCCATTCTGGAAGTCCGTTTGACTTCCGAAACGTTCAGAAACCAAGGCACGGCTTCCGATTGGCTGCAGGAAGCTCCTGCAGCCAATTGGAAGCTGCGTTGGACATTTGGGTTCCAAAGAATGTTTGCAAACCGGAACACTCATTTCTGGGTTTGCAGCGTTCGGGAGCCAAAACATTTGACTTGCAAGGTATTCAGGATCCAAGGTACGTCTGTACTGCCTAATGTCGAAATGGCTTCAAAATGGTTTACAAAAACATAGAAAACGGTTGCACAGCATATGGAGTAAACAAAAATGCACAATAAAACAATCCCATCAAAACGTTAAGATATAAATGTCCACAAATCACTTCCATTGCTGATTCCTAGTCATGTAATGTATAGTTTGACTTGCTTCATACAGAAGGTTCCTGAGTTGAAACTACTGTACTGGCATTTCCAGTTACAGAAAGATCAGAGAAGCTGTTGATGGGATAGAACTTTGACTGGCACCTGAAGGGGTTGCTGCCTTTCAGCGCCACAGACAATTCATTTGACCTGGTATTAGGCAGTACTCTGGGTTCCTTGTGCGAATGAAAAAGCTAAGCTTTGTCAAAACTCCACCTGAAACTGTTGAAACAGGAAACAATAGAATAAGGCAGAAACTAGGAGGAGTCCATTTTATATATTAAAGGAAACAAGAGTCTTGCAAAATCTCCTTCCCCCATATATGCATATCTGTCAACCGTCCCTTATTTGGCGGGAAAGTCCCTTATCCCAGCGCCATGTCCCACTGCTGTCCCTTATTGATGATGTCCCTTAAATTTCCCGGGTTTCAAACGAAGCAGCTCCTCTCCCTCCCTCCCTGCTGGCCAGGGAGGAGGGAGGCTCCAACTGTGTTGCTTGGCTGCATTGTTCACCTAATAAGGAATTTAAGAATGACTGGGGGGTGGAGCTTGCATGCCTTGTGCCGATCAAATCGGCCACGTTGCCTGGGGACTCGCCTTTGCTCAGCGCTTCCCAGCGGAGAGGTGATGGTGGTTTTCCTTGCTGCATCCCCTTTGCTGGGTTGCTGTGCTGTGGGAACCACCGCTTGAGGCTTTGTTTGGCTGCTGGCTGGGCTTTCTGCCTTTGGCTCGGAGGGGCCCAGAAGTTGAACATACCTGTGCTAGGAAAATCCCTTATTTTGGCTGCTGATCCCTTATTTTTGAGGCTGCTGGTCCCTTATTTTCAAATCTGTAAGTTGACAGCTATGCATATCTGCCTCCTCAACCACTTCAATCTGCAAAACTGGCCACATAATATTTGCTTCTTATATTTGTAAGAAATATAGCTTGAAGTGTGACAGCACATGCACTTTGGAACTCCCTGCCTATAGACATCAGGCAGGCAACTTTGCTGTATTCTTTTCAGTGCTTGCTAAAAACACCTTTGTTTAGGCAAGCGGTCTGTCCAGACACGTAGAATGCCAGCACAGGTTTTAATCTGGTTTTTAGCTTATCACTGATCTTAATTATTATATTTTTACTGTTTTAAATCATTGCTTTTAACTGGTTCTCAATGATAATTTTATTCTTTCTTTATATTTTTTTGTAAACTGCTTTGAGGTTTTATTGCAGTCAAGCAGTATATAAACACTGTGAAATAAGTAAGCAAATAAATGATTCCTATTTCTCCCATTTGTCTCCCACACGACTGTATAGATGACAGGGGAAGAGCAGGCCATTGTCTGACTCCAGAGCAATCCCTTTATGCAACTAAAGGCCGGAACGCAGCAGGGGTGCCTCTGTTGAAAAGGCAAATAAGATTTAAATAGAGATAATCCCAGAGGTAAAACTCTGTGGAGCCCAGGTCACCATCAAATAAACTGGTTAACTTGCGCAGAAGAGTAATGTTTGAAACTTATAAAAACTGACAAGACGCCTGATGAATGGGAACTAGTTGACAGTATTAAAAGAGGAGGAAGTAAAATATTAGGTTTCAGTATGTGTTAAGGCCAAACTAGATGAGACGTTCGCCATCAGGTGCATACCTGATTTTTGTTAAATAAATAGCTGACAAGTGAGATAGGGGAGAGATGGGACCAGGGGAATGTTGTTGTGGTGCCCTTTTCGTTTTGATGCTTAGTGCATGGGAGCCAGTCTCATTCTCCTAAAACTGCCTCTGCAGCTGCTGTTCGCAATAGTACTAAAAGGTAAAGGGTAAAGGGACCCCTGACCATTAGGTCCAGTCGTGGCCGACTCTGGGGTTGCGGTGCTCATCTTGCTTTATTGGCCGGGGGAGCCGGCGTACAGCTTCCGGGGCATGTGGCCAGCATGACTAAGCCGCTTCTGGCAGACCAGAGCAGCGCACGGAAACGCTGTTTACCTTCCTGCCGGAGCAGTACCTATTTATCTACTTGTACTTTGATGTGCTTTCGAACTGCTAGGTTGGCAGGAGCAGGGACCGAGCAACGGGAGCTCATCCCGTCGCAGGGATTCAAACTGCCAACCTTCTGATCGGCAAGTCCTAGGCTCTGTGGTTTAACCCACAGCGCCACCCGCGTCCCCTTGCAATAGTACTACTGCTTAACAAAAATACGCGAAGAAAAGGAAAACTCTCATTGCCTCAATCCCTGGAAAAAGAGTAATGGGTGTTATGGTTGATTAGCAATATGAAGTTGCCTTATACAGAGTCAGACCGGTACCTAGCTCAGCATTGTCTACTGCAGGGACACAGAACCTCTGGCACTCCAGATATAGATGGACTCTAGCTTCCATCAGCTACAGCCAGCATGGCTAGTGGTCAAGGATGATGGGAGATGTTGTCTGGCAACATGTGGAAGGCCACAGGTTCCCCAACCCTGGGCTTCCTTAACTTGACAGTAGGTCTCCAGATCTCATGAAGGGTCTTCTCAAGCCCTGCTCCTTTGAACAGAAGAGACCAGTGGTTAAAACTGGGATCTTCTGCATCTGCAGCATAGCTTCTAAGTCCCAGCCCTTCCCTGCATAAAGCATCTTCTTTTAATTCCTGTTCTGTAAACTGATCTTAGTTGGGCTTTCCCCCCCCCCCTCTTACTCATCACTTCCTTTCTGTTTCTTCTTCATTTCTCCCATCATCTCCCGCCTCTATCTACCACTTGCAAAAAAATAAATGCGCACAGAAAGTTAAGTTTTGCTCTAACTTCAGAGGACAACTTCTCGTTTTGTATTTGAAACAGAGAAGGGTTCTCCAAATCCTAATTGTGAATTCTCCAAATCCTATTGAATGTATGACTTGCTACAGCTGTGTCCCATTCTTCAATATGAAGAAGCTCAAAGCAGCATTTTAGCTGCACAACAATCCCGTCAAGCAGGTTAAGTTGAATAAGCCCAAGCCCACTTAATTGGCTTCATTGTTTGAGTGGGGATATGAACTTACATTCCCATATCTCCCCAATCAAGGCGCCTAAAGATTTATAAAAGCATGTCATAACTATACTATATCAAGGCTCTTAATTTGCACAACACAATGAATCCGTGTTCCTGGTTTGTGTTGTGCTGCTTGATCACTCCTGCTTGCTCCTCCCCTCCAGCATGAGCGAAACAAACCTTGAAATGGAGATGATGGTACTGCCAGTCACTACAACCCAGCCTTTTTTAACCTTGGGTCCCCAGATGTTGTTGGACTACAACTCCCACCATCCCTAGCTAGCAGCACAGGGATGATGGGACTTGTAGTCCAACAACTTCTGGGGTTCCAAGGTTGAGAAAGGCTGCTGTAGACTAGACTGAGTTAGGTGGACCAAGGTCTGACTTGGTGGAAGGCAGATTCCTGTGTTCCTATGATACTCCAGCGTCCTTGCAGAATTGAATGTACCAATTGGCTGAGAAAGAAATACTTTCAGGGATTGAAAGCAGATGTTGTCTGTGCCTCTGACCCACAATGCCTGGCATATATGCTCAGTGGGAGGGTGGGTGACTAATTTATGGAAAACTGCAGAAGTCCAGGCAAAAATGAGTCATGCAAGAAAACAGCCTATTTTACTCAATTCCAAAACTGTGTTCTGCGGTTCAAAAACTTATCTGTGCAATGTGGGGTTTGTAACAGTTGATTTGCTTCCTGAAGGGAGAGCAGCGTGGAGATGGAGTTGTTGGTTGGTCTTCTCAGATTCAGGCAAGCCTTTGCATAACTGGTATTTGCTTTTTGTCAGGGTTGTTTTGCAATACGACGCACTCAGGGCCGATGCTGTTATGAAAAGGAGCTGAATGGCTGGATCATCTAGGAGCAGTTTTAATTATCCTGGAGCACATGGCTTTGAGATCCTTCCAAAATTTTGGTGCCCAGAGCGATTTTGATCAGATAGTCTTCTCTAATAAGTTTTCTCGCGGTGCAAACAAGAACAGCATTAGCATAGTTGCGCTTTCATCCTGCAATTAATGCTGCTACCATGCCATTAAGGATATGACTGTGCTTTTGGCACGGGGCATCCTGCAGGACTTGCAATCAATTTCTAACTTCAGAAACAATTAAGCTTTGCCACAAAGCCCCCTGCTGGTTTGCCAGGTGATCTGTTATTAAGGTTTGCAAAAAGTACGCTCAAAAGAGCAGTAGCTTTTAACTTTTTGCAGGTAGGCTGGTGAATTCAGCCACAGCAGTGTGCTTCTGCATGCTGCATGAAAAAGGGTAAACAGAGCTTATACCTATTTGCTTTTATTTGATTTAACGTAATTTATATGCTGCTCGGATGTAGCAAAACCCTGTAAACGGTTTACAAGAAAAAAGTTGTGCATACCAATCCTAGTGACTCCTAGTGTTGCGCCCTTGAATTGCTGTGCCGTGTTATATTAATACTGTTAACTCCCAGCATTAGGCGTATCTTTGAATAATTGTTACGATGCACCAAGGATCACTCAATTAAAAACGTTGTGGGCGGGATTCAACTAAGAAGCTGCGTCAGCAGAAGCCTGAAATTGGCTCGGGGTGGGTAGGTGGGAGGACCCCCAGAACAGTGTGCAGGGGAGCAGAGAGGAGATTTTTCCACCTGGCAAACTGCAGTGTTTTAATTCCACCCCTTGTAACTTACAGGTAACTGCCATTGTCCAATATTTTATTTTTTTCCATTTCTAGGGGAAAGGGGCATTTGTGTATTAGTAACCTTAACTTTAAGGGACGCGGGTGGCGCTGTGGGTTAAACCACAGAGCCTAGGACTTGCCGATCAGAAGGTTGGCGGTTCGAATCCCGGCGACAGGGTGAGCTCCCGTTGCTCAGTCCCTGCTCCTGCCAACCTAGCAGTTCAAAAGCACGTCAAAGTGCAAGTAGATAAATAGGTACCGCTCCGGCGGGAAGGTAAATGGCGTTTCCGTGTGCTGCTCTGGTTTGCCAGAAGCAGCTTAGTCATGCTGGCCACATGACCCGGAAGCTGTACGCCGGCTCCCTTGGCCAATAAAGCGAGATGAGCGCCGCAACCCCAGAGTCGGTCACGACGGGACCTAATGGTCAGGGGTCCCTTTACCTTTACCCTTAACTTTTACTACATTGCTTTGAGGGTCTTATCAAAGCTAACCAGTGCTGCTGAAATGTTAAAGCAGGATTTGTGGCTATCATACAGGAAAGAGTAACCAGCATGCATTATAAAAGCAATAACAGCAACAGCCATTCTTTTCAATCACTTAATGCATTGGGGAAATCCCCAGGATGAAAGTAATCTATGAGATTGTCTGGTGTTGCATTTCCCCGCCGGTTTTCTAAGCAATATTAAAATGAAACTTAATCTGTATTTAGGGTGGCTGGGTGCCCTACATTTCAGAGGACGGGGCTCTGTTTTAACAGCTGCCGAAGGACAGTCCTCTATTTGAAGACATCCTTTATTTGAAGAGCTGTCCGGTCAAAGTCTGACTTAAAGATAAAGAACTCTAAGAAGGGAGCATAGGGGCCTTGAAGTGACCTCTCAGCAGGTAGCAGGTAACTTCAGGATGACAGACTGACTGAGCAGGCAGACAGGTCACCAAGTCAACCGTCCTTTGAAATACAGTTTTTGCCCATTGTTAGCAGACACATGCCCCTTGTTTTGCAGTGATCTGAATCTTGATTGCTGTCTGCAGTAAGAGAGGAACCAATTCAATCTGGTGATACCAGGTAAACATCAGTGCAAGAGCTCTTCTGTCCTTTGATATATGGATAAAAATATAACTCTTATTTCAGGGAAGTGAAGCTGGCTTCATAGATTTGGGCTGTTTTCACCAGACACCTGCTAAGGATTACAGCCTGAAAGTTGAAGGTAAGTTGCATGTATGTTTACTGGCAGTTCTGAAAGAACTAGCAAAATGCCCATATATATATTTTTTACTAGCTGGATGTATGTAAAGGGAGGGTCTGCATAATGCAGATAACCTGTGGCTGTCTTTTTCAGATTACAAAAGGCATGGTTATTCAGGAGGCTTTTGTCTGCTAAGTATCTGCTGTTGTTCTTTTTTAATGTAATGTTTAGCTGCAGTCTGTGCCTTTTTGTTGTGTTTTTTGAACTATTTGATGGTTGCTTTTTTGTTGCATTTCATGACATTGCCTTTTTAAATTGTTGCAAGCTACTCTTCACAATGTATACGCGCTTAAATAACAGAATAGTGTTATAAGAAAAAACTGCTCTTTTTCCCTTATGGGGTATCCAAGATCCCGTATAGAGTCCTTATGTAGGTTCTCTATCGGTAGGAGAAAATAACAGAGGCCAACCAGAGACTATTGAGAAGCAAAGCAGCTAGTAAGCATGATCTTTATTAAACTGCTGCAACAGGGTCCCCTGCTCACCCCACACAGGGAGGGAGGAGAGAAACCCAGAACATTGGTGTGCAATCTCTTATATAGACTTTTGAAATTGCCTACCCTTGTAGCTCAAGACCACTCCCCAAAACATCATACATACATCACAGAAAGAGGTGGTCCCCAGCAGAAATTTGAGTGTGTTGCTTCTCTCCTGTCTGCCAGGATATCTGATAATGCCTTATCTGACTGCCTTTTCTGGATAGCCTGGCCATTGCTTTGAGATGGAAAATACTTAGTTTCTGAATCTCTTACGCATATTGATAGTGTGCTCAGTTTAACAGATTCTTGCCAGACTGTGTTTACAGGGAGGTGTAAGCCCCTACAGTCCAAAGACAATTGGAAAGCTTTTCCCATTTCCTTCCTCCTTGCAGAGAAACATTTGAGGTCAATTTGGGAGAGTCAAAATGGCTTCAGGATTGTTCTCCTGTACTATTTCAGATGCGTGGTTTATATACTTATGTATGTGTTTGCTTGTACATTTATGAATGAATATATATATATGTGTGTGTGTGTGTGTGTGTGTGTGTGTGTGTATGGCCTTAGAATTCCTATAACAATAGAAATCTCAATCTTAATGTAAATAAATAACATGCACATGCATAGAGTTTCTGGGCATTTCGCATCAGACATCCCTTTTCCACTCAGCTCCTCAATAAGGCGCCGCTTGGCATTTTTACCCCACCTTTTCCTCCAAGCAAACATTTCAAGGAAGTGTGCAGTAGTGGAGGCAGTGCAGTGTAGTGGTTAGCGTTTCGGGCTAGGTTCCCCCACCTCAAAGAAGCCTCTTCTATAAATGAAGCACAATTGGACAGGAATCAGCAAGTTCACTTCGGAATGAAAGGAAGGAAGGAACAGCATTCCTGTGTCATCCAAGCAGCCTCAAAAGTTCTTATTATCTAGATTAGTACTAATAAGTGTGATAATTATCTCAGATCATTTGATCCAGACAATCCTATGGACATCGGCCAGTTCCAGGCTGTCGCCTGTGTATAACATTTGACGCACTCCGGCATATTTTGAGTAGCTTTCTCCGAAGGACTCAGAGCACTGATCATTTCCAAATGGAAAACGCTCTGAAAAAGTTGTAATGCTGGAAAATGCCAGGATTGCTCCAGCTAAGGTTTACTCAGCATAGACCTATTTAAAGTCATTAGGCCCAGGTTAGCCATGCCCATTAATTTCAGTGGGTAAAATTTAGTTGACAGCAATCCATTATCTCAAACAGGGACCAAGGTCAATTTCCTGAAGTGTTTCTTATCTCCATGTTTTTATACAGTATTTGTATGAGAATTGGGTTTTGGATGGCGGTCAGGTGTGGAACGTGGGGTAATCTGAGACATGCTGGAGCTATTTAGGAGCCTTGTACAGTATAGATGTTTGGCTTAAATGTGTATTTAAAAAAGGAGTGCCAGGCATTTTCAGAAGCCCATTTTTGTTTTGTTTTTCATCCGAACAGCTTTGGGAACAAAGAGTGGATTAGGAAACACATTATGAAGCATTTCCATTCTTTCTCAGACTGAGCGCTTCTCCAGATTTTGAATTGCGGTTTCAGATCACAGAAGTGCAACTGTAAATATGTGACATTTAAAAAAGCATACAAAATGTGTATTTCAGGGGGAAAGCGCTGAAATGTGTACACTGTGTACAATTTCATGCGTTCTTTCTGAAAGTCTGCAGAAAGCAGGATAAACATGTCTGAGCACCAGCAAAACTGACATGCGACAGGCATCGGTTGGTCCATCCCACCTTTATTTGGTAAAGCCATGTTGATAGATCGAGATGTAGGTATTCTGTTTGCATCAGCTTTTACACTGGCCTTTGGAAACGCAAACATGTACAAACAACTTGTGGGAATGTTCAGGGAGGCAGGAGAGGATATATTGTTTAATATCCTTCCTAACTTGCACTAGCAAGTTCTAGTTACAAGTAGGTAGTTGTGTTGGTCTGCCATAGTTGAAACAAAATAAAAAAATTCCTTCCAGTAGCACCTTAGAGACCAACTAAGTTTGTTATTGGTATGAGTTTTCGTGTGCACGCACACTTCTTCAGTTCTATAATTTAGCAGAGTTTTAACATTCCCTTTTTAAATACACAGTGGTTAGCTTGTTCCAAGCTCATTTAAGCTTCTTGATATAGGATTCCTGGTAATCCCCTTTACTCCCCCTTAAAAAGAATAGACACAACACAGTCTTGTGTAAAAGTATAAAAGATGTTTACTCACACATTCAGTTCACAGATGGATCCCTGAAGGCAGACTTAGTTACAAAGTATATACACGTGGAATCTATCCCATAAGGAGATAGTCCCTTTGTGCTCTGTTGGCTGGAAGCCAGCAGGGCCTCTCTAGCAAAAGAGCTTTTGCTTCTACGAGGAATGGAGGCAGAGAGCGAGAGAGTGGGCTTTGTTCCTGGTCCTTTTGTCACCTGGACAGGTAAGGTCTCGCCCATCTCTAGTCACACACAGAGGGATAATAATAATAATATAATAATTTATTATTTGTACCCCGCCCATCTGGCTGGGTTTCCCTAGCCACTCTGGGCGGCTTCCATAGAAACCAAAAATACAGTAAAATATCACAGATTAAAAACTTCCCTGAACAGGGCTGCCTTAAGATGTCTTCTAAATGTCAGGTAGTTATTTATCGCTTTGACATCTGATGGGAGGAAGTTTGTCCCAGCCCAGGAGGAAACAGGAAGTTTTCTATTGGTTGATGCAAACATCCCATTTCATGTCCACTCTAGGAATGTTGAACTTGACTGCTTTGTGTTTCACATCCCACACAACTAAGCAGGTAAAACTACCAAACTAAATTAAAACGCCAGCTGGTGCAACATGTGCACAAAATATAAACATAAAAACACCACTAAGCAGATAAAATCACCATGCTCAATCAGAATTTTAAAATTCTACAATTTAAAATTAAGGACATTGTTGAGATACTTGGTTGCCAAGGATTTTGAAGTTTTTGCTGCAACAACCTTTTCTTGATCTGCAAGATCTTGATCCATCCCTCCTTGGGTGAGATGGTAGAGCCATGTCAGTTAAGCCACTTTTAAACCACTTTAAGTTTGTAGTGTAAATGTGCTGCCAGTGGACAAAACAGTTTCAGCCAATGCAGTTGAGCGTATCTTCCATTTGAAATGCTTAAACCACCCAACTGCCCCTTCATGTCTACTTTCTCCTGCATTAACGAGCAGCCCAAAACAAACCCACCTCTACGCTTATGTAATAAGACAAAATAGACACAAAAATAACTCCCCAAAATACACAGAACACCAGCAGTGACGTGTTGTTTTGCAAGGTTCTCAGGATCGCATGACAAATATTGACAATGAAGGTGTCAGCGCACCTTCTCAAGGATCACTTGTTCCAGTGTCAATATAGTTAAATGGTATACTTAAAACAGAAGAAAACACTGCTCTGGATTTTGCAGTGCCTTGGATAATAAAGAAAATTTCTTTTTTTAAAAAAAAAATGATATTTATTAAAGTTTCAAAAAATACAGGAAAATACAGAATACAGAAAAAAAAAGTATAAAGTTTTTAAGATATAACAAAAAAGTAAAAAATAAAAAGAAACATACAAAATAAAACAGTTAAAAACATGTTAATTTTCCATAACCTATCTTCCTTGCACTTATTTCCCCGGACCTCCTCGTACCTCCCTTTTTTGTATTCCAGTTCAATTTGTTAGTTCAGCAAATCCTTACCATTAAACTTTTACCCATTTGTAAGCCTTTTTTTGTATCTCTTAAAGCATTACAGCTGGAAACCACTTAATTTCTATCCAACATCCTTCTAAAATTCCTTAATTTTACAATATTTCTGTAAATAATCTTTAAATTTCTTCCAGTCTTCTTTCACTGACTCTTCTCCCTGGTCTCGGATTCTGCCAGTCATTTCCGCCAATTCCATGTAGTCAATCACCTTCATCTGCCATTCTTCCAGAGTGGGTAGATCTTGTGTCTTCCAATACTTTGCAATGAGTGTTCTTGCTGCTGTTGTAGCATACATAAAAAAAGTTCTATCCTTCTTTGGCACCAATTGGCCGACAATGCCCAGAAGAAAGGCCTCTGGTTTCTTCAGAAAGGTATATTTAAATACCTTTTTTATTTCATTATAAATCATCTCCCAGAAAGCCTTAATCCTTGGGCACGTCCACCAAAGGTGAAAGAATGTGCCTTCAGTTTCTTTACATTTCCAAATAAAGAAAATTTCTGAATACAGTCATACCTTGGAAGTTGAATTGAATTCGTTCCAGAAGTCGGTTCAACTTCCAAAACGTTCGGAAACCAAAGCACGGCTTCTAATTGCCTGTAGGAAGCTCCTACAGCCAATTGGAAGCTGCAGAAGCCCCGTCAGACATTAGGCTTCCAAAAATCCTTCGCAAACTGGAACAATCACTTCTGGGTTTGCGGCGTTCAGGAGCCAAAACGTCTGAGTAGCAAGGCGTTCAGGATCCAAGGTATGACTGTATACTGCATATTTGGACTGGGTTCCCCCCCCCCCCACACACACTTCTGCATAAACAATTTTAAATACCTTTCTGTTCTTGTTATTTGAATTTATATCCCTCTCTTTCTTCCAAATGAACCAGCAAACAATAAGCAATAAAATGATTTTAAAAAACCTTTAAAACAATTCCAGTTCAGATGCAGACAGGGAAAAATCTCAGTTTCAAAGGTATTCCATAAGCACCAAAAAGGCAACAGAGACAGCACTATTGAATCATAGAATGGTAGCATTGTAAGGGCCTGTTGTTGTTTAGTCGTTTAGTTGTATCCGACTCTTTGTGACCCCATGGACCAGAGCACGCCAGGCACTCCTGTCTTCCACTGCCTCCCGCAGTTTGGTCAAACTCATGTTTGTAGCTGTCCAACCATCTCGTCCTCTGTCATCCCCTTCCCCTTGTGCCTTCAATCTTTCCTAACATCAGGGTCTTTTCCAGGGAGTCTTCTCTTCTCATGAGGTGGCCAAAGTATTGGAGCCTCAGCTTCTGGATCTGTCCTTCCAGTGAGCTTGTAAGGGCCTATATATTCCCTATATTGTGCAGAATTGACCTCCTAATATCCTGGCCTATTGAGATGTTTTGCCCTTATGTGAACAAGCTCCAAAGAACCACAGGCCCTCGTACAGATTCCAAATTCTACCCTCCCCTGGCCGCATGCCATAATTCTCAATTTCCTAACCTTGTTTGTGACAGACCATAGTTTTCTAGTTTGTCTGAACAGTAAACTATGGTTAGAGCTTGCCTGCAGACTAGGATCACAAATCAGGATCATAGGCTGGATTGCAAATAAGGCTTTTTTTTGTGAAATGCCCCAAATTTTTGGCTAGCTATGCAGTCATTGCTCGTAGCTTGTTCCTGCAGTTCACTTTGCTAAGATTACCGGTACTCTTTTAAATTAAGTTGCCACTTAACTGAAAATGTAGGCCTCTGGGCTGGGCTTGTGCTTCTCCAATAATTTTTGTAGTGTCTAGTGTTTGAGATGATGAAAGCATTGGGGTGGCCCATGGGCTTTGTGATGGGGCAGCCTTTCTCAACCTGTGGGTCCCCAGATGTTGTTGAACTACAACTCCCATCACCCCTAGCTAGCAAGGCCAGAGCTCAGTGATGATGGGAGTTGCAGTCCAACAATATCTGGGGATCCACAGATTGAGAACCTCTGTATGGGGGAAGGGGAAAACATCTCTGATAAGATCTCTGTTTTTCTCAGAAAAGAAAAGCCAACCGCGGGGGGGGGGGGCATGTTTAAAATGTGTGTCTATCTGACAGTATATTCACACAGTTAAAAATAGGGCACTTTGAGACAGGGGGAAGAAGGACAAACCCAAAACATGAAGTAGAAAGCCAAACAGATTACTCGTTATTCTCTTCTCTTTTTAACGGTTGTTGTATATAGAGTAACTGGGAAGTAAAACAAGCACAGATAATTACATTAAGCTCCCGTGTGCCCTGCTGACAGCTGCATCTGGGATGCTTTCACATCTGCCAAGGCCTGCTGCTGATGCATTCTGGGAAATTAAAAAGAGTTTATAGCCCCAGCTCTGCAGTGCTGCTGGGCACTCCGCTTCCGCAGCAAGATAAGCCTGACAGGGGCCGCTGATAGGCAAAGGGGCAGAGGAACCTTTGCCCAGCGCATCCACAAATGTGATTCTAGACCTGGTTCCCACAGAATATACCATGAAGTCTTTAAGGCCTTATACAAATCTTATGGACAGTTGTACTTAGAACTGTCCAGAGCCTTTTCGGTGGTGGCTCCCAGATTGCTGTCTTTCCACCAGCAGGTGAAAACCTTCTTGTTCCAACAGGCTTTGGGGGACTGACTGCTTTTAATGAAAGGGCTGGTGTTGTGCTGTTTTCATTTTAATTATTGGCATGGTGTTAATATGTTTATGTATATAGCTTTAATTCTATCAGTGTTTAATTAGGTTTTTAAAGGTTGCTTTTTCTTTTTTTTAGTGGTCCTTATTCTTATCTGTATGCCACCTTGAGTCCTATAAGGACTGTGAATAGCTCAGTTGGTAGAGCATAAGACTCAGAATCTCTGGGTCATGGGTTCAAGCCCCACATAGGGCAAAAGATTCCTGCATTACAGGGGGTTGGACTAGATGACCCCCATGGTCCCTTCCAACTCTACAGTTCTTGGATTCTAGGATAGCGGTGTAAAAAGGCAAGGTATATATAGATAAAGAAAAGCAAGCAAACATGCTTGAATAGTGGGGCTTAGATAGAAGGTAACTGAGGTGGTACCTGTGGCAGAGACTGAGATCAGGCCTCAGACTTGAGTCTTCCTCCCCTGATGTCTTTACTTTCAGGAGAAACTGTTGAGTTAACAAAGAGATTCTGCAATCATTTAAAGACATCACAAAATGAAGTGATGATGGTAGTTCTAAATTTGATGGAATTTTGCTTCTCTGTTGATCAGGACAGTATTTACTTTTCCCAAAGCTTTTTTCTTGTTGCATTTCTTGTTACCTTCCCTCTGTAACCAAACCTTCATATAGCAGACACAGAGAACATCCAGCCCAGTGGCCTTAACTAGGCCCAACACAAGCCAAACTTTGCCTGCAAGGCTATTTCACCAGCTCTGGACCTGACATCATGTGTGGTGTCAGGTGAGGCGCAATGAGGAATGTGGCTCCAAAGGACCGTTTGGGAGCTGAAAGTGAGCTCCCAGCCGTTCTTCTGCAAGCTGGGTTCGCAAACAGTGCCAAGTTCATGAGGTGGGGGGCTCACTGTCGCCGCCAATTAGGTGATCAGCTATCAGCCGCCCCCGCTTGTCTGTTTGCAAGATAAAAATGCTTAAGAATCCCTTGCTCAAGCAGTCAAAGGTATTGCGGAGGCTGCTGGCTTTCCATCATTAGGGAGATTACTGATTAATAGTCCTTAATAGACAGTCAGTATCTCTGGAAGGAAGCTAATGCTTAGAAGTAGTGCCAGAGAGAGATATTGGTCTCTGTGGAAGGAGGGACACAAAGTTATTTGAAAATTCAGGGTGGGGGGAGAGATTTGGATAGAAATAGCCATTTTTTGTTTTCTGTTATTTTTCCGGTTTTGAACTTTATTTTAGCTCGGCTGTGTAGGGCTTTTCTTAGACATAATGTAGTTATGCTCACTGTCACTGTGAGAGCCAAATGTGTTGTGGGCAACCAAAGCAGTTTCTGTGCCAAAACCGGCCCTAAACCCTGATTGAAATGGATCCAGAAAATCAGTTTCTTCCAAAAGCGCCTGGATCTGGTCTGCGATCATTCGCTCCAGAACCTTGCTCAGGAAAGGGAGATTAGTAACTGGCTGGTAGTTAGTTAGGTTTTCTGATTCCAGGAAAGGTTTCTTAAGGAGTGGTTTTACCACTGCCTCCTTCAAACAGGCAGGGACCACCCCCTCTCGTAAAGAGGCATTGATCACCTCCCTGGCCCAGTAAAATTCTTCAGCTGACACAGCGAAGCTTGGGCAATTGCAGATTCCCATCCGTGTGGAGGCTTCTTGGAGGCAGCTTCAATGTTCACCACTCAAAACTGTTTTCCTTTGTTCTTCACTATGAGGAAATATACCCTGTCCCTAGATGAACCCTGCCCACTTGAAGGCAAGTTTCACCTTGTGTGACAGGTTTGAAAGCTTTACGTGCCCAGAGGACGTTTGTTGTAATGAAGCCTCGCAACTGAAAGTTTGGGGCATGCCAGCTGAGCAGAGAGAAGGCATAAGAGCATGAGGCAAGCCCTGCTGGATCTGGCCAATAGCCCCAAAAGTCCAGCATCCTGATCTCATAGTGGCTGGCCAGAAGCCCATGGGTAGCCTGCAAGCTGAACATAAGCAAAACAGCACTTTCACCTGCCTGCAGTTTGCAACTGGTATTCAGAGGTGCAATGCCAATCTGCATGTAAACTTGGTTCAGACATGGCACTGGTTCAAAACGGCATACCAGATTTGGCATGAGCAGAAAGCGTTTTCCCCTGGCATGGAGGTGCAAAAATGGTGCAGATAATTGGCACATTTGCACACTTTAGGAGAAGCTACAGAAATCCTGTTTTGGAATCAGCAAAGAGCAAGGAACTGGAAGTATGTAGTGCTTATTGGTTTTTAATTCCCCCCATCCACGTACCACAGTGTCCCAAGCAGAGATAGAACAATCAGCCTATTTCATGTCTGTTTCTCACTGGTAAATCGGTCGTATCCTGTTTCTATATCCAACTGCGAGTTTTTTTGTTTTTTTTAAATGTTGCACAAAAAGTGCATTATTTTTTAACATATCCCCCACATGCACATTTTATATGCAATTTGTTTCTCCAAATGTGCCTTTTTAAAGGAGATGGTGACATCACAGAATTCAGAGAACTGAACCGCATTTCGATTTGCATATCAGTCCAGGAAACGTGTAGCAGGTTGCTTGCCTTAAAAAAAATGGACTGAAATCCATTGAGTATCCTTAGTCCAAAGTGGTTCGGCGCTATAGTAATGCCTCAGGAAAGTAAGCTTGTTCAAACTCCTCTCTCTCCCGTAGTTTCATCTAATGCAATGACCCAGCAGCCACAGGATGAATTTGACAGCAGCGTGGAGAAGGCAGTAGATTGGATGAAGACCATTCAGGAGAGACTGCGGATCAATGACAACACCAAGGGACCTAGGTCTGCCCTGGAGGCCAGGCTAAGAGACACAGAGGTACACACACACACGCGCATACACGCGCGCACACACACACCTGATTTCCTTCAGACATTTTTTTAGCTGTAATATTGTTACTGCTGTGATTACCGTCTGAACCTGCCCTGACATTGAGATCTTTGTCTGAGGACCTGCTCCAGATGTGCTCCCCAGTGCTATTTTTCTAGGAAAAGAGGTGCCAGAACTCACCATGAGTGCCTCCCATGTTCTCTTATAATATCAATGGCACCCCCTAAGAGGTGCCAGAACTGAGTTCTGGTGAGTTCCAGCTGAAAAAAAGCCCTGGCTGTAGGCATCTGAAAGCAAAGGCTATGGCACATCCTTCTGATTTAATCACAACCCAGTCCTCTGTGCCCTGTCCTTTTCGCCTATTAAATCATTAAATTAGCTAATGGTTAAATCATATCTGCAGTCATCGTTACATACAGAAATTAGTCTTGCTAATGTCTCAATCTCGTTGGCTGTTGGCTTTTTAAATAACTTGGCTCCAAAGTTTCTGTTTCTGAGCTGGGCAGTTTATAGTCATACTTGATTTATATGATTTATGTTCCATTAATCTGTGAATGAAATCTTCAGCCAAGGAAAGCAGTTTTTTTTTTAAAAAAGCATGAAAAACGAGAATGTCATCATTGCAACAGATTTTCTCAAGAACACTTATTCACCTTCCCATTACTGCGAGCACTAATGAGTTCTGAAACCTGGCTTCAGATTTATTTATAGATCTTCCTTTTGTTACCTAGTGCAGTTTATATTCTGGGATTGGCTCCTGGGAATTTTAATTAGTTCTATAGAAACACACCGTGGTTTACGGGGAGATGCAACCTAAGGTTTAATTTAGACATCATGGCCATGTGGCTATCAGATAAGTGCTGCAATGATCACATGCTTCCTTCTATCCTCATATGCTCTGATTCTCTCATCTTACCTCTCCTGAGCTACAATTCCCAGAATTCCCAGGGATTCATTGTTAAGTCCCTCTGGGAATTGTAGCTCTGTTAATGGAACCGGGATCTAACAACTCTCAGCATCCTACTACACTTCCCAGAATTCTTTGGTGGAAACCATGACTTTAAAAGCGTAGTGCAGATGGGGACTTAGGTTGCATGCACACCATACATTTAAAGCACATCACCTCCCCACAAAGAATCCTGGGAATTGTAGTTTATCCCTCACAGCGCTACAATTCTTGGTGCCCTTAACATAGCACGGTTCCCATGATGCTTTGGGGGGGGGGAGTCATGCATGTTAAATGTGCTTTAAATGTACAGTTCATAGCCAGCCTTCACCTCACAAGTTCTGCTACCCTACAGGCATAAATTTGGGGGGTGTCCCCCCTCATCATTTGGCTTCCTTGCGCCCTTGTACGGTGGTACCTCTGGTTGAAAATGGGATCCGTTCCGGAGCCCCGTTTGCATCATGAGCAGAACACAACCCTCGTCTGCGCATGCGCAGGTTGCAATTTGCCGCTTCTGCGTATGCACGTGACGTCATTCTGAGCGTCTGCGCATGCGCGGGCAGCAAAACCCAGAAGTAACCCATTCTGTTACTTCTGGGTCGCCGCGGGACTCAACCTGAAAATACATAACCTGAACCGAATGTAACAAGAGGTATGACTGTATTGGTGGATCAACCTGTGGAAGCCTGATTCGTACATAGCAATAATTAGATCGAGTCAATTAACAGCCAGCTCCCTGGAAGCCTGCCACAGGGTTGTGCTGCAGCTTCAGGCCTGCTTGGATACTGATTTATTTTTTAATATTATTTTCATTTGGTTAGTTGATTGCATTTATATATACCAACTTCCTGCCAAGGCGCACGCAAGGTGGTTTACAATTTTCAAAACAGATAGTACAAAATAGCCTCAGGCGTCCTTCAGGGGCTGATGGCACTAGCACCATGACTTAGGCAGAGTCTCTTCTGCCTTCCCTGAGGGCACACAGGCCTGAGGGGCAAGTATCTCAGCAGTTCTTTAGGGCTGCTGAGAGACCCTTCCCAAACCTGATAGTTTTACGACCCCTAGCCTGGATCTCCTGGCTTCCTCTTTCTCTAAAGGCCCTCTGGTCATAAATCTCCCCACAAAAGGTGGAATGGGGTTTGCAATGCTCCTAAGTCCCCTTCAAAAAAACCTATTTGTGGTTTAATTTTAATGTTTGATTCTTCCTAACAGAAAATCTGTGCGTTGGAACCTGAGGGCCGGTTGAAGATGGACTTGGTTCTCATGAAGGCTGATGCTCTCCTTCAGTGCACCGGCGAGGAAAAGAAACACGAGATATTATCCAAACTAAAGGATATTAAAGCCATGTGGGAAGAGACAGCCATATACATTACGCATTGTCACAGGTAAGATTCCAGCCATAGGAATGTGCCATTTGCCATTTGCCAAGTCAGAGGTTCTCAGACCTACCTGAAAATGTCAGGGACTGAACACGGGACCTTCTGTGTAGAAAGCCTGATCCACCATCTCTGTCATTTTCTCCAGGGCATCCCAGACTCTGCTTTTGTTCTTCTAGTTTGCCTGTGGAGAATATATAGCCCTTCTAAGCCAGGGGAAGACCCTGCCTCGAACACTGTGTTGTCCCCCATATCCAGCAAAACTATTATGACACAACAATATTTAGTACTCCCTTATAGCACCTTCATAGCAAACGTACAGACAATTTTATCTGTGGTAAGAATCATAGAGCTGGAAGGGATCCCTAGGGTCATCTAGTCCAACCCCCTGCAACGCAGGAATCTCAGCTAAAGCAGATGGCCATCCAGCCTCTGCTTAAAAACCTCCAAGGAAGGAGAGTCCACAACCTCCCAAGGGAGACCGTTCCACTGTCGAACAGCTCTTCCTGTCAGAAAGTTTTTCCATATGTTGAGTTGGAATCTCCTTTCTTGTAACTTGAAGCCATTGGTTCGAGTCCTACCCTCCAGAGCAGGAGAAAACAAGCTTGCTCCATCTTCCATGATGCACTAGCAGAGGTAGATCGGGCCAGTGGGCCCTACCTTGTGTTTTGATAGAACCCTGAGATCCACAAAACAGAGCCCAGTGCCGAAGACCTCACAAGCTGGAGGTTCCCCACTGGGGCTGAAGAACTAACAACAACAACAACAACAACAACAACAACAATAATTTATTATTTATACCCCACCAATCTGGCTGGGTTTCCCCAGCCACTCTGGGCAGCTCCCAACAGAATATTAAAAACAGGATTAAAACTTCAAACATTAAAAACTTCCCTATACAGGGCTGCTTTCATATGTCTTTTAAAAGTCTGATAGTTGTTTATTTCCTTGACATCTGATGGGAGGGCGTTCCACAGGACGGGCGCCACTACCAAGAAGGCCCTCTGCCTGGTTCCCTGTAACCTACTTCTTGCAGTGAGGGAACCGCCAGAAGGCCCTCGGAGCTAGAGTTCAGTGTCCAGGCTGAACGATGGGGGTGGAGACCAACCATAGTGACAACAGCAGTATGGGAAGGGAAGGGAAGAGGTCCATCGCTCCCATAGCCCAACTCTCTATTTATCCTTTTGCAGCCGTATTGAGTGGGTGTGGCTACACTGGAGTGAATACCTGAAAGCCCAAGATGAATTTTATGTATGGATTCACAACATGAAGGTGACTTTGGAGCCTGACATAGAGCTGCAGCTTGGCCTGAAGGAGAAAGAGTGGCAGCTCAGCCATGCCCAGGTCCTGCTGAACGATGTTCTTAACCAGTCAGCCCTATTGGAACGGCTGCTGGAAGAAGCCTCTTCCCTCTACAACAGGATTGGGGACCCAAGTGTTGATGAGGACATCCAGAAGAAGATGAAAGAGGAATACGCAGACGTCAAGGACGAAGCACAGGTAAGGAGGGAACTAAAGGTGGGGAAAGACAGGATATTAAAGCACAAGGGATTGCAACAATAATAATTTATTACTTATAACCTGCCCATCTGGCTAGGTTGCCACAGCCACTCTGGGTGGCTTCCAACATAATAACACAATAAAAACACAGCAAAACAGCACGCGTTTAAAACTTTCTGAAATAATAATAATAATCTCCAGTTCAGTAGGCACAACAGGAAGTCTAATGTTGATCCAGCTCAATGAAGTTATAGTGACACTTCTGGTTCCCAGTTGAACTCCCAATCCCTCTCTCTCCTAAACTGAGCATTTGAGTTCTTACTCAAAGAGTTTCACTTGCTCACCACTGGGAGCAAACTAATGTCCCCGTTTTGTGCCAAAAAAGTATTCTCACTCTTCCTGGCTGCATTCTCCTTAATTTTTTTTAAAAAAAAAACCAAAGCAAAAAGAACTATAACTACTGAAACACAACTTTACGAGTTTCCTGCCAGTTTCTTTTCCATTCAGTTGAGCCAGAAATGGCCTAAAAGGTTTATTGGCAATTCGCTCTTGAAATAATGTAAATAACCACTCAGGGGACATCCTGTCTTAGCTGAAAAGGGATATTTCACTACTTTACTGCAGTGTAGGTTAGTGGGAAGCATTGCTGGTGTTTTCTCTGTGTAACTTGAACCTGGTCTCATAGCAGTTAGTTGGTACATTCCTGACTGAGGCCAACAGAATGATCAATGAGGGCGGTAACTGGAAATGGGCGGAAAGCCTGGATGATTTGCAGGAGATCAGTAGGGATTTCTGACTACCAATTGCTTAACAATAGCAGCAAGAAAATGACTCCTGCATCCTAAATTACTCTGCCGAAATGAAGGAACCAGGAGTGGATTTTTGTGCAAAAGGGTTGTGAGCTCTGTTCAGTTCTGGTGCTCAGATCAAATCCCCGAGTCCATGCTTTTTTAATTCTAAGTGCATGCCTTCTGCATCTAGCTCTGGCTGGCTGATCCTGGACTTTACAATTGCATCCATGTATGAGTGGGCCTCATCCCAGGAGTGGAACAAATGGGAGATTGATACCCCATCTGCACTGTACATTTAAAGCAGTATCATACCACTTTAAACAGGCATGCCTTCTCCCAAAGCATCCTGGGAACTGTAGGGTGTTGAGGGTTGTTAGGAGACTCCCATTCCTCTCACAGAGCTACAGTTTCCAGAGTGGTTTAACGGGTGCTTTTTCTGGGGGGAAGCAGGGGTACGCATACCCCTAAACATTTTGTGAATCTACGTTTGGCCTCATTGAAGGGTAGTCTTTCAATATGAGTAGGAAAATGAGAGCACCCCTAAACAATTTTTTAAGAAAAAAAAGCATTGGGTTTAACTATCAATCCCTCTTTCCAATGAGTTATGGGAATTGTAGTTCTGTGTGGGAAACAGGGCTTTCCTAATGACTCTCAGCACCCATATCAAACTACACTTCCTAGAATTCTTTGTGGGGGGGACCATGGCTGTTTAAAGTGGTATGATGCTGCTTGAAATGTGGAGTGCAGTTGTGCGTGAAAACTGGACACAGTTTTATTGGCGACAGCAATATACAGGGTTGTCTAGGCATGGGCAGGAATAACGACCGGCTTCCCGATGATCCATCCCAGCTGATTTGTTGGGGTCCCCTCCTGGACGTTTCCAGCACAAGGTTTCCACTGTGGTGCAGGCCAAGTATGAGTTTCACTGGCCAGCTTGGCTGAGCAGTACAAAGCCATCCCCACCGCACATTCAAGCTACGGCTGTCTAATGCACTGCCCGCAAGACCCCACACACTGCCTTGTTCCTTTTCCTGCTCCACAGTTATGACAAGAAACAGATTATTATTTTTGTCAAACGTCCCTACAGAGCTCCCGCTGAGGGGGAAAGTGAAAAGCTCACAACTGCATGCCAGTTTGGCGTGAGCAAAATTCCTTTCCAGCCCTGTCAACCAGTGACCAACCAAGTTCCCAGCAAGGGATCTGACGGGGGGGGGGGGTTGTTGTAAAGCAGGTCTCATGGCAGGAACCCCCACCTTGAGGTAGTCCCACCTTCCCAAGAAGCCTCATGATAGTGCAGAGGCTTCTGGGCAATCCCACAAGACCCAACCTGGTTCAGAAGATGGCTCCCACTTCTCTAGGCTCGGCACAGAGGATTGCCCCACCTTGAGAGGGTTGGCGGGCCATAGGTAGAAAACAGAGTCAATCATACAAGCCTAAAGTCTGTGTACCCCTTTGTTTATGTACACTGGGTTAGAATCAGGCCCCAAACATGCTTATTTCATGCAGGATAGTGCAAATAAACACGTTCCCCACTGCAATCCAACTGGTAAGTCTGGGTTTTGTCGTGTTTCAGGTGAGGGAAGCAGCAACAACAACCTGGAATTTCATTTGGCATCACTTTGCATTGCTTTTACCATTTTACCCTTGGTTATTTCGGATCTCTTTTTGTACACAATGTTCCAGACAAAAGGTTTCGTCCCTGAAACACTAAACACAAATAATGCAGTCATAACATTTTAACTCTCAACTTGTGTGCCTGACAGGTTCCACAAGAAATACCATAGTCTGGATCCTCTTGATAGATGTGCATAAGTAGCTAAGCTTTCAAAAGCCTTGAGAAATTGCAATAGTTATAAATTATAGCAGAGCCAGGCCAAAAAGGCCAACTGATTAAAAAGATAGCGTCTCATTAAACCCTGAAACATGCAACCTTGATTCGCTTTTTTTTCTTTCTAAGTAACCTGTTTGCATGGTTACAGAAATTCACCAGAAAATCTAATTCCGAAAATGAGATAAGGAGCAAGTCAGGTCTCAGAAACAACCTTGATCTATTGTTTTTCAACATCCATGTGTCACAACATTTCAAAAGACGGCCTATTTATTTATTTGATTTCTCACTCAACTTTTACCATAAGGCTACAACAATAAAATAGAAGACATATTTTAGAGGACATCTGAAGGCAGCTCTGTATAGGGAAGTTTTTAAACGTTTGATGTTTTACTGTGTTTTTATATTCTGTTGGAAGCTGCCCAGAGTGGCTGGGGCAATGCAGTCAGATGGGCGGGTACAAATAAAAAAATTGGTGTTGTTGTTTGAAATAATTTTTAATAAAGATTTTCTTGGATTGCAAAAGAATGTGCATTGTATAATGTTGGAGGGGAAGCGAGATGAGTTGTGGGAAGAGGGTGGGTGTCAAACGTACAATATGTTGTTGCTGCTGCTGTTATAAAATATGAAACAATTATAAAACAAAGCAGTTACAACCATAAAACAGGAAAAGTGGAAAAACATGTAAAACCTGTTCTGTATATAAAACAATTAAAAAACACACCAATCCCATTATGTAAAGTAATACAAATGTTTGAAAACAATTCCATATACAGTGGTACCTCGGGTTACCTATGCTTCAGGTTACAGACTCCCCTAACCCAGAAATAGTACCTCGGGTTAGGAACTTTGCTTCAGGATGAGAACAGAAATCGTGCTCTGGCGGAGCGGCGGCAGCGGGAGGCCCCATTAGCTAAAGTGGTGCTTCAGGTTAAGAACAGTTTCAGGTTGAGAACGGACCTCCGGAACGAATTTAAGTACTTAACCCGAGGTACCACTGTATATATATAATTAAAAAACCAGTTAAAAATTGTTGCAGACTGGGATAAAAGTTCTCTTCTTAAAAGGCCTGTTGGAGGAGGACCCTTTCGCATGTGATAATGCTGGAATAAAACAACAACAACAACAACAATTTGGCTGGGTTCCCCAACAACAACACTTATTTATTATTTACACCCTGTCCATCTGGCTGGGTTTCCCCAGCCATTCCAGGCAGCTCCCAACAGAATATTAAAAACACGATAAAGCACCAAGCACAGAAAAAAACAAGCACAGTCTAGGAGCTCATTCACACTTCCACTTGTGTCATGCCTAGGAAGCCTGGGTCTGAGCTCTTTCCCCCTTGCTGCACTCTTTTCCAAGGGAAAACCTGCTCTTTAGCGACAGATAGGAACAAATGGCAATCTGGGGAAATCCCAAATGGCCATTTGCTCCAATTTCGTGCTACAGAGCCGTTTTCCCTAAGTGGGAAAGGAGCATGGCAAGAGGAAGTGTTGCTAAGCCCTAGGTCTCGTTGACGGGCAAATTAAGGGCAAGTGGAACTCTCCCACTGAAATAAAGGTGCAAGGTCTAAGCCTGTTTACAGATTTACTCGGAAGAAATTCTTGTTGGGTGCAAGGTTGAGGCTGCAGCCAGTTGGACAGTTAATGCCGAAACTTCATAAGTTCCATTGCGCAACCCCAGGCAACCCTAGCGCTTGGGTAGAGAAAGGCTTGCAGAATGATTTCCTTGTACAGTGGTACCTCGGGTTAAATACTTAATTCATTCTGGAGGTCTGTTCTTAACCTGAAGCTTTTCTTAACCTGAAGTACCACTTTAGCTAATGGGGCCTCCTTCTGCCGCCGCGCCGCGGGAGCATGATTTCTGTTCTCATCCTGAAGCAAAGTTCTTAACCTGAGGTACTATTTCTGGGTTAGCGGAGTCTGTAACCTGAAGTGTATGTAACCCGAGGTACCACTGTATTTTCATGAGCAAAAAACGGGTAGAAAATTGGAAGGCCCACACAGGCCCCCTGGTGGCTGTGGCCTTCATCCGCATAATAAATTGTGCAAAAGCTAAGTAAGCAGCATGGAAGTGCATTCTTTTTCCGCAGATGAAGCGTTTTGAAATTGTGGGTATAAAATGTGGAAATCCAGCATGGATGTTTTGCAGATAGATTTTGGCATGCTAAGCCTTTCTTTTGTTATCTCGCCTTTTCTTTTCTAGAGAATGAAAGACTGTGACCTCACAAAGCCCTTGAAAACCTTGCATTCATTTAATTAAGTGCTTGGTAATTACAGCATCCTCAGGCCTGGGACACACTGTTTTGTTCTTGAGCTGAAGACAGCAGACTGTTTCAAAATTCCCAAAAGCAGCCAAGTGACGGGTGTGTGTGTGTGTGTGTGCACGAGCACGTGAAGGGGCAAAGGGAAAAGAACAGACTCTTTGTGTTCTGGGTTTCTCAAAAATGCAAAGTATGAGGACAAAGATAACTTTCGCTTTCCCTGTTTCTGATGTTTCTCTTTTTGCAGAGGAGAGTGCAGCTGCTTGAAAAGATAACAAAGGAACACGAGCGATATAAGAGCAACGTGGACCAGTTTCAGCTGTGGCTGACCCAGGTGACAGAGAGATTAAACTCCTGCCTTAGTCAAGAAGCAAAATCGCCAGCAGAGAACAGAATTAAGTCGTTGCAGGTACTGGAATGGTGTCGGAGCTTTCTGTCACGAGCGGAAAGCTTTACTCCTATTTCCTCGTCCATCCATGAGCAGGTGTATGAAATGCATGTTCTGAAAGAACTCATGTGTTCCACCCAAATAGAAGTCTGCATTTCAAAGATCCCGTCCCTCTGCAGCTTTGAAGTTCACAAGCAGGTTAGGGGAAGTTGCCATCTCTGTCCGGCCTACCTCACATGGTTGTTGTGAGGATTTTTATTTTTTTTAAAAAAGAGATATTGTACCAGTGTTGGAACCCTCAATGCTTGGTAGGTGGTAGGGTTTCCAACTTGCGAAGTGCATTTATGTGCCCATTTGGTATTTTTGCCGCAAGGCAAAAATTGAATGTGCCAGAAATTAACTAGGCAGGATAGGCATCTTCATGTGGCATCCTTGACCAACTGTTTTTTAAAAAAATTATTTATTTATTTATTTATTTATTTATTTATTTATTTATTATTATTATTACTACCTCACCTATCTGGCTGGGCTGCTTGCAGCACATATGAAAATATAATAAAACGTCAGACATTAAAACCTTCCCAATACAAGCCTGCCTTCAGGTGCCTTCTAAAAGTTCTGTAGTTCTTTATCTTCTTGACATTCCACAGGGAGGGCACTGAGAAGTCCCTCTGCCTGGTTCCCTGTAACCTCACAGTGAGAGAACCGCCAGAAGGCCCTCGGAGGTGGACCTCAGCACCTCAGCAGTTCAGCACAGGCTAACTCCTGAACACCTCTGTATATTGGCTCAGTGCTCCGAGCAGCGCCAGGTGACATTTAGCTGACATTTAAATTTCCTGCAATGTCCTGGAGCCGCGCTACACTGGGGGCATTCTGGGAAATAAAAATGGTGGTCTGACTTGGTCACATGTTACGGCTCAGAACACAACTCCTTGCCTCTAAGTAAGCCCACCCGGGCCCATCAGACAGAAACACACCAGGCTCTGCCTCTGGCCACTTAAATCCCACGTTGGCTCCACCCACTGACCTGTCCCTTGCTCTGACCACTGACTTGGTGTTCTTCCACATGACCTGCTCATTGGGCATTCATCCTGATTTGCTTGCAGGGAGATAAGACAAAGCTGACTATGTAACGGGCACCCATTCTGGTTTGTTTGCGGGCAGGTTAGATGGTGCTGTGTCAAAGCAAGCGTTATCCCACACTTTTCTCAGAGCAAAACGTCCAAGGTTTTGGGGCAGTGGGTTTGTTGCACAAGACTTCTCAGTCAACTGTACTTGCGTAACCTGAATTTGCTGGTATGCGATTGAATCACGGCCAAAAAATAGCAACAACCTGGAATTGCTCTAGCTATTTTTAAAAAATTGGAAATTGACAACTCTGGGAGGAAGAGCATTTAAAATGAAATATTTTCAGGCATTATTTGGGGAAGGGGCATAGCTCAGGGGGTAGAGCCTTGCGTGCAGAAGGTCCTGGGTTCAATCCTGGCTTCTTCAGGTAGGGACTCCTGCCTGAAACCCTGGAGATCCACAGCCAGACTGAGCTGGATGAGCCAATGGGTCTGACTCAGAACAATGCAGTTTCCTATGTACCTGAGTAGTAGTAGTAGAATTGTAGAGTTGTGACCCCCGAGGTTCATCTAGTCTAACTAGTCCTGGGATGTCGTAGTAGCAACCTTGTCCCTCTATGTAACTCTTTCTGAACCCCTTTCTCCTGTAGGACATTGCCAAAGATGTGAAGAGTGGGGAAAAGAAATGGCGTCATCTTGAAGCTCAGTCTACAGGTGTGATGCAGAACACCTCCCCGCTGGGAGCCGAGAAGTTGAAAGAGGAGCTTGAGGATCTGAAGAAAGCCCTGGAGAAGCTGAAGGTGGTCAGCGCTGAGGAAGAAGAGAGGCTGCTGAAGAGCCTTAAATCGGAAAACGCCTATCATTCGCAAGCCAGGCTCTTGGAAGGCGAGGTCCAGGACTTCCGTAAAAGCCTGAAGAGATTAGGAAGCACCTTTGAATCAGATGACAGAGTGAGAGGCGACGAAGACTTAATCACTCTGTGGAGAAAATTCATGGTGAGTGATTATTTGTCAGGGACAGACAGGGAACAAGGAAATTGTTAAGTCTGTATTATCCTGCCAGGCTTTCTTATCTACACTTATACATGCCCATGTGATTGAAGTATGCAAACTTGTTTTGCTCAGGGAATTTTAAGAGCAATAGGGAAGCAATATGGAACAAGAAAATTGCCTTTTTCTAGATAAATGCAGAATAAAAATATATGCAAATGTGCCCAGTAAGATAAATTGATTTGATGTGTGTGTGTGCATTTTAAATCATAATACCTTTGTGTTTTAAGGCAGCAAAGGCAACTCTCGCAGCAGAGGAATCAAAGGTTGAGAGACTGAAGGCTCAACTGAAGGATTTGTTCAGGTTTTCGCAAGACACGCAAGCACTTTCCGAAAGCATGATAGGCCTAATACGGGAATATCAAAGGTATTTGGGGGGAACAAGGAGGACAGGAACGAGTAGCCATTGAAAATAAACTATACCTGAGAAGAGTTGCTTCAAATGGGATGGTGGAGATGGGAGGCGAACCATTTGGCTTCTATCCAGGCAGCAAAATGTCTTGGATCACTATTTCACATCTGGCTCTGTTTGGTGGGGTATTCATGCAAAGCTACGCTATACCAAGTCAGTCCATTGGGTCACCTAGTGCAATATATTCACTATGCTCCATCTCCACTGCCTTGGGTGTTATGCCTCTGAATACCGCTTGTTGAGAATCACAGGTGGGCAGAGTGATGTTGCGTTCATGTCTAGCTTGCAGGCTTCCCAGAGGCATCTTCTCAGCCACTGTGAGAACAGGATGCAACAGTAGGTGGACCATTGTCCTTGTGTCCATCTCTGTAGCAGAAAGAGGTCAAGTGGGAGATCCCATTATTGGATACGTGGGGAAAGTGTTGGTGGCAAGAGTCTTCCTTTTGCTGCTGACCCTTAAGCACATGTCCTTACTTAGGAGGAAATGTTTATTGGATAAAATGAGTCTTATGGCAGCACCTCAGCAGGATTTTGGAAAGGGTCTTCTCAGCCCTGTGTGGAGATGCAAGGGATGAAATCTAGGGCCTGCAAAGCAAATTGCTCTCTCACTAAGCTCTGGTCCTTCCTTGAAGTACTGGGTGGTCCTACCACATACCTGGGATGTGACCTAAATAAGCTTTTTGGTCTTTTCCAACCTTACTAATTGGTGTTCTGGTGCTGGAGCACATCAGCAGCATTTAGTTGGGAGAAAGACTCACAATGGTCGATGCTCAGAAACACCCCTGTCTAAAATCCAGCGCAGCCAATGGCAGTAAATGTAGACAATGTGAAGCTGGAAAGACCAGTGGTCTGACTTAGGGTATAGTATCTTCCCATCTTCTGCTGCTTAACCCTGCTCGCCTGCCCTTAGTGCCAAAATAGACTGTCATTTCATTTTAAAATATCAAAGCGGTGAAACTATAACATGAATCACACAAATATTAAAGCAGATCACCAGCTGACTATTATGGGAAATGTCCCCCCCCTTACTTGTCTGTATAAGCCCGGCAGCAAGGAATTTCCCCCCACAAACCTTTTAAAGTTAATGCAGAGAGCACCTGCTGAATCTCTGCTGGAAGAGTTTTCCACAGGAATAGGCAATGACACTGAATGGCTCAGTTTCGTGTTGGTGTTAATTGAGGATCCCCCCCCCATAATCAAGCGGTATATCAATTTTTAAAAGTAATAATAATAATAATTAATAAATAAAAACTTGGGAGGCAAACACTGACGCTCCTACAGACGATCTCAGCGATGGTGCTGAGATATAAGGGCTTAGAAAGTCCCTACAATAACCTGGACCTAAGTTGTTCAGGGCTTTGCAAATTAAAACAAAGGCCTTGAACCTGGCTCAGTAGTCAGTAGGCAGTCAGTTTTAAATCACATCATTTGTTCCAGTGGCAAGGGAGGGTGGGAAGAAGGATGCTTCTCCACTCGCTACCTTGCATGGCATCCTGCCCTCCTTCCTGTCTATTCTGAATGTCAGGTGTTGGCAGTCTGCTTTGAAAGTTGAACAAAACCACTTCTCCTGCTTGCCTGGGTGACATCTGTCCTAAGAGCCAGCTTGCTCTGTAGGTCACTGTTAGTGCTGTTAGTCTCTAGGTTAGGGCTGCCCATTTATACATTGTAATCCTTATCTTGAAATGTTCTGTGCCTTGTTCGCCATGCTTGAAGACAGACAATACAGAGCTAGCAGTTGTTGTTGTTGTTTAGTCGTTTAGTCGTGTCCAACTCTTCATGACCCCATGGACCAGAGCACGCCAGACACTCCTGTCTTCCACTGCCTCCCGCAGTTTGGTCAAACTCATGCTGGTAGCTTCGACAACACTATCCAACCATCTCATCCTCTGTCATCCCCTTCTCCTTGTGCCCTCCATCTTTCCCAACACCAGGGTCTTTTCCAAGGAGTCTTCTCTTCTCATGAGGTGGCCAAAGTATTGGAGTCTCACCTTCAGGATCTGTCCTTCCAGTGAGCACTCAGGGCTGATTTCCTTAAGAATGGATAGGGTTGATCTTCTTGCAGTCCATGGGACTCTCAAGAGTCTCCTCCAGCAGAGATAGCAGTAACAGTAGTGAATTGCTAGGCATGGCCCTTCTCTCCAGTTTTGCTGGGCTAGTCTCTTTCCCGTCATAGATTTTTGGGTACACCTATCCTGCCAGTTTCTAATAGGCAACCTCCTGTTTCCTACTTACATTCAGCTGGGATAGGCAGGAAATCCAGCCTCTCTCTCTCTCTCTCTCCCTCTCCCCCTGAGCTTTGGCAAAAGACTTGCACTTCCAGGCTAACTGGAATCAGGAAGTGACGAGCATATAGCCCACACCTTTCCAGACTTGGAGGAAAGATCGTCGGTCTTGCAAAGGCGCGTTTAATTTTGTTTGCGTCTGAAAAGCTGTCTTCCTTATGTCAAGCGCAGAGCACGCTGGCAAGCTGAAAGAGGTTTGTCTTTATTAAATGGGTCGTTTCAAGAAGGCAGTTCAGATTTTAGGAAGCAAGTCTGGGATGCTTTCCAATGAGGAGTAGCAAGGAAAAAGAAAACTCCCAACGTTTGCCAACGCAGAAAAACCAGATTGCTGCCAGCTTGCTGCTTTGCAGGAAGTGGCAAATCCTTAAGGGGCAGAAGCGGAAAAACAGCAAAGGTAGTTGTTGCAGGGCCTCTCATCCTCCAAAACTAGTTTGAGGGCAACCTCCTCTTATTGTATACAAAGGGAAATGAGAATGTTGCTGTGCGGTGTCAAGTGAGATGAAAACTCCTCACTGTCTCTAGTATCTTGTTTAGCTAAAACAAAAGGTTTCTCCCAGGGAGAATTAACACCCAGGAGATGTTTTCTCCAAAGATGTTTCTCCATTAAGATTGGCAGCTGCATCTGGCCAGGTTCCATCCAGCTAGAGAAAAGTGTTTTGCCAAGTGTTTGTAAAGCAGCAAAGAGATTCTGATTTGGGGAAGTCATTGCTGGTTTCTGCCTGTCTATGTCGGAGGGGAAGGGGCACAGCTCAGTGCTGGAGCACCTGCTAGGCATGCAGAAGATTCTGAATTTAATCCCCAGCATCTCAGGACAGGGCCCTTGAAAGCCACTGCCAGACAGTACTAGACATGATGGTTGTGCTCTGCCTCCACTTCCAGAGGCTTTATGCTTCTGAATTCCTGTTGCTGGGAATCGCAGGTGGGCAGAGCACTGTTGCACTCATGTTCTACTTACAGGCATCCCACAGGCATCTAGTTGGCCACTGTGAGAACAGGACGACGGGCCTGATGCAGCTGTTCTCAATGCAGACAATGCTGTGGTAGGCGAACCAGTGGTCTGTCTCGGGCGATCTTTTTCCAGTTGCACAGGCCCGCTTATGGTAATTCCACACGGCAGGTGCACCAGGAAGGAATGTGCATCTTGGTATCTTAAAAATAAAATAAAAAAGGTTTTGCTGTTCCTCTGAGTGGCAGAGGCAGCTGCCCGGAAGCAAGAAAACGGGATTATTATGAAGCAGAGACTGAACTGCCTTGTGTCAAAAGAGCAAAGCACAGAGGGCATTGACCATTTGGCTTCCAATGAAAAGGAAAAGCCAGGCCTTCTCTCTCTCTCTCTCTCTCTCTCTCTCTCTCTCTCTCTCTGCTTCAGCTTTGTAGCGTAGTTCTCTGTCTGTTTTTGCAGCCTGAAGCAGAAGACGTTTAAAATGAGCACCGAGACTGAGACGGAACTGAGGCAACGCTTTCAAAACCCCGTGAGAGAGTTCCAGCTGTGGAAGCCATCGGCTCAGAGGCTCCTGGACACAGCGGCGAATGTCTCTGACCCGGCCTTGACAGACGCTTTTCTGCATCAGATAGAGGTGACAAGATTCTCTGCAGTCCCTGAAAGCCTAAAACTTGGTCAAGCACAGAACCTGTTTGTGTTCACACACACACACACACACACACACACACACAAATAATTTGCTGACAAGGAGACATGACACTGATGTTTCTGCAACCGCTGGGCAGCCCCCGTTAAAGGAAGGCTTCTCTGTTACCATAGGAAACAACATTTATTATTAAATAATTACATGCTGCTTAATTCCCGGATGGCTCCCGAGCCATTTCGCGAAACATAAAAACCAATTGCCCAATGTTGTTAAAATACAGAACAATTAAAAACACACCATAATTAAAACGCACAATGAAACAGTCCCATTAAAACATAAAAATATAAATGGCCATGATTAAAATGTGCAGCAAAACAACCCCGTTTGTTTTCAACCCACAGTGATGCCTGTCATTATGATAAGATCTGGATGCATCGAAGAACCCTAAGTTCTGTGCATGGAAACACACCTCCCTTTCTCCCCAAGTCAGCAGAATCTAGCAGTGAGGAATAACAACAACTTATTTATTTATTTATACCCCACCCATCTGGCTGGGTTTCCCGAGCCACTCTGGGCTGCTCCCAACAGAATATTAAAAACACGATAAAACATCAAACATTAAAAACTTCCCTAAATAGGGCTGCCTTCAGATGTCTTATAAAAGTCTGATAGTTGCTTATTTCCTTGACATCTGATGGGAGGGCATTCCACAGGGCAGGTGCCACTACCGAGAAGGCCCTCTGCCTGGTTCCCTGTAACCTCACTTCTCGCAGTGAGGGAACCGTCAGAAGGCCCTCGGCGCTGGACCTCAGTGTCTGGGCTGAACGATGGGGGTGGAGACACTCCTTCAGGTACACTGGGCCGAAGCCGTTTAGGTCTTTAAAGGTCAGAACCAACACTTTGAATTGTGCTCAGAAACGTACTGGGAGCCCATGTAGGTCTTTCAGGACTGGTGTTATATGGTCTCGGTGGCCACTCCTAGTCACCAGTCTAGCTTCCTCATTCTGCATTAGTTGTAGTTTCTGGGTCACCATGAAGGTGGTTAGAAGTGGACTAGTTGTCTTTTGGGGAAGAATTCCCATCGCTATGATCTTCTCACCAAGAAATCTCTCATAAACAACCCAAGACTCCCAGGCCACAGCTTGAAAGCTATAGAAGATTTAAAACCTTAAACAGCCTGGGGCCAGGTTACTGGTGTGTGCTCATAAGAGCAAAAGTTCCCTACCAGATCAGACCAAAGAACCATCAATTCCCAACATCCTATTCCCTCAGCGGCCAACCAAACCTGCAAACAGAATCTGTATGCAGCAGTGCTCTCCCTACTTGCAATTCCCATAAAGTGATATTTTGCTTCCTCTAACGGTTGGAGACAGAACATAGATTCCATAGCCAATAGCATTTTTTCACCCCAACTAGTACAAATCTACCCAGTCCCTGATACTGAGATCCGAGAGCTCTGCTTTCTGGCCAGTCATCATTGAGAACATTTATACAACAGCCTTTTCTCAGTGAGCTCATGGTGGCAGCCAATGTAATAACTTAGGAGTTTTAAAAACAAGCTAAGAACAGCAACAGTTGTTATAAAATACCAAACCAAAGGTATTCACTATCACATTCCATTGGGCTTGGAAGCAAGGATTTTATTGGTGGACACAGGACACAGGGCCTTTTTGGTGTTGGCACCGCAGCTGGGGAATTCTCTCTTCAGAGAGATTTGCCCAGCCTGTTCCTGTTTTCAGATGGGCTTTGAAAATTTTCATTTCTTGGAGGCTTTTATATGCTAGGTTCTCAGATTTTCATGTGTATTGCTGCATTTTTGACATGCGCTGGACTTTAATGGTGGGGTTGGTGCTATTTTGGAAAGCAGGGTACAAATTATTCATGTGAAAATGTGTTCTCCCCTGTAGGCATTTCTGGCCGAAAGCTCTCGCTTTAAGGAGCAGCTCATGATGTTGCAGATGAAGAAAGATTTCCTGGGCAGCATTTTCGAGGCAGAGAGAGCAAAGTCGCTCCTGGCTGAAGCAGCTGATGCTGCAAAGGAAACGGAACACCTGCACAAAAGTCTGCTTCAGAGCAAAATCAGGTTGCAGGTGAGACGCTTCTATGGACTTTGCTCTTAGGCCACGGGATGAATTCTGTGTTTTGGGACCATGAGTCCTCTTGTTATTTGATACACTTGTATGCCTTCATGTGAGTCTGGTAGAGTAAGCGGCGGAAGGCAATCATGCCAAACTGTGTGGAATAAAAAAACAATCTTCTCTCTCTTCGGATAGGCTTTGGTGTCTCAGCATAAAGACTTTGACGTGGTCTTCGAGCCTTTGCAGAAGAAATTGTCTGCTATCAGAGCCAAGCTGGAGGCAGAGAAGGAACCGTTGCCTGACCTGGCGGGCAAAGAAGCCCGACTGCAGAGGCTACAGGTAATTGGATGGTTCCTATTCAGAAGAATTCTGTTCTGGTGGATGTCATTACTCAGGCAAAAGAGCACCATCAATGCACAGGGTGTTTTTGTGGAGTCACAGGAGCGAGAGATCCCGTGTAGTGTAGTGGTCAGTGCATTGGACCTGGAGTTGTGAGACTTGGGTTCAAATCCCCACTCAGCCACAGAGCTTACCGGATAGCCGTGGGACAATCACTCTCTTCCCTTGTGTCTATTCTATTTTGCAAAGTTGCTTTGAGGAAAAAAGGAGAGAGAGCATGTCCACCAGCCTGTCTGTTTTTAGGAAAGGTGGGATAATTAATTGCAATTCCTTCATTTTGAAAGCTGAGACTCTCTACCATTTCTGTATGTGCACCTCTGCACACCTTCTCCGATGTCTTTGCAAGGCTCTCATTCTCTCCTACACATACATAGTAATGTACAGAAGAAACTTCTATGTGACAGTGTGCAAAACTGTTGCGATTAAACAAGAACTCCTCAGTACCTTCCCCAGCTCCCAGGCTCTCTCTGCCACTAGCTCTGAAGTTTAAAATGTGGCTTGAATTGTATGCTAAGCTGCTGAACTGCGGGGAGTGGTGGTGATAATAAAAGTTAGAGATGGGTGCTCATTGCCCCTAATGAATGTGTTAGGGCATTCAGGTTCCTGACATATTTGTTTGGTTTGCTGGTGGTACTGTTGTTTGAGCAATTCTGCATATGGCATCATGTAAAAGGCACAACACAGAATATCCTCACTGTGAGGCTTTTCCCCCTGCTGTGCTCAGTTGCAGGGCAGTTGCTTTGGCTGCAGAAGGCTGTTGGTTTAATCCTTGGCATTGCCACTTAAAGGATCCACTGTCGAACAGTAAGAGCTGTTCGACAGTGGAATTTGCTGCCAAGGAGTGTGGTGGAGTCTCCTTCTTTGGAGGTCTTTAAGCAGAGGCTTGACAACCATATGTCAGGAGTGCTCTGATGGTGTTTCCTGCTTGGCAGGGGGTTGGACTCAATGGCCCTTGTAGTCTCTTCCAACTCTATGATTCTATGATTCTATTATCTCAGGTATCAGCTAAACTGGTGACTGGGAGCGACCGCCGAGACCATGTAACATATATTGGCTCCCAGTACATTTCTGAGCACAATTCAAAGTGTTGGTGCTGATCTTAAAAGCCCTAAACAACCTCAGCCCAGTATACCTGAAGGAATGTCTCCACCCCCATTGTTTAGTCCAGACACTGAGGTCCAGCTCCAAGGGCCTTCTGGCGGTTCCCTCCCAGTGAGAAGGAAGGTTACAGGGAACCAGGCAGAGGGCCTTCTCGGTAGTGGCGCCCTCCCATCAGATGTCAAGGAAATAAACAACTATCTGAGTTTTAGAAAACATCTGAAGGCAGCCTTGTTTAGGGAAGTTTTAATGTTTGATGTTTTAATCGTGTTTTAATATTCTGTTGGGAACTGCCCAGAGTGGCTGGGGAGGCCCAGCCAGATGGGTGGGGTATAAGTAATATATGATGATGATGATGACAATCATCACCAGGCATTATGCATGAGCGGGTGGGACCAGAGCTGGTTGAGAATCCCAACCCCCAATGACAACTAGTCACTCCCCCTGATGCCGCCATATATTGCCGACTAGCCCTGGCCCCTGATGCCAATGTTTTCAGTGCAAATGTCTCCAGGAAGGGAGACTTCACACTTGACAACTTGTGCAATGTGAAATCTTCTTCTCCAGGTCATCCAAGGAGACATGACAGAGTGCGCTGTTCAAATCGAAGATCTGGAACAACTCGCGCAGTCCGACCCAGCGCAGATTAATAAAACCAAGCAGCTTTCCTCCAGCTATCAAATACTGAAGAGGTCTCTGGAGGTAAATCAGGTTTCGCTCAATGTTTTGCTTTGTGGCATAGTTTGCATCGCTGCAGTTGTTTCTCCACAAGTTCCAGCCGGGCAAAAACGCTTTGGCTGCAAAGCAAGGTCAGTGAATGGCATGACTCTGGGAGACTTTCAAGGGCTAGATGGAGAGGACTGAAGGGCCTCATTTGGCCCCTTGGCCTAAGGTTGCCCACCACTGCTTTACCTCCCCCACCGCCCCACAGTTGCTATTTTCATTGGTGCTGGTGCAAATAGTAGCGAGGGGCAGCAGCACAGATTTTCATTACAATGCCTGCCACAAGCCAAGTCCTGCCTGGGCCTCCACACTTGCTGCTGTGGTTTAAGGACAAATGCAAAGCCACATTTAACAGTAAGTGTCATTTGCCTCCTAAAGATCGCATATTTAGCTTCTGGGGAGCCTGATTCTCTGTGCATATTTGATCCAAAGCAAGTCTAGCTGAGTTCAGTGGAAGTTATTTCCACAGCGGTCCGGGATGGACTCTCAAGACGTTTTTTTAAAAAATGGAACTTTTTGTTGTCGCTGCTATGAACCTGGAAGTCTCTGTTCAGTGCTTTAAGGCTGCTGATGCGTGGGACATAAAAATCCATCTTGGTGTTTTTCCAAAGCTTTCGGGGGAGGGAGGTGTCTCCGCCACTTCAGGCATCGATCTGGCCTTTATATATTGTTGTGCAGAGAATCTTAGTACTAGATCATCCACACAGTTTATTGCCAGAGGATTATAACCGCTGGAAACAAATAGCGTTATGTAACATAGCAAATCAATTTAGCGTCTAGTGATTTGTAGGTGGGGGAATAAAGGTCTACACTCGTTCTCAAAAGAAACAACAAGCTTGCTGCAATATTTTAGTTTGATCGGCCAAACCGAAACCTAAAGGTGGTGATAAAAAATGTACAGTAATGCAGAAATTTGGGCTGGGTTTTCAAGAGGGATAAAGTTGCTTGTAAATGTCAAAATCCTCTTTTAGGAAGACTTAAAAAAAAAAAAAAGCACCACCATGAATGAGAACTCCTTTTTTTGTTTTTGATTTTACCCTGCATGGTGGTTTGGCTGTTTAGGTCTGTGGTTTTGAGAAAAGAAAAAAATGTGCCTTACAGCACAAAACATACATATTTCTGTGTGCGTGGGTGTGTTTATTTATTTTATATATGTGTGTGTGTGTGTGTGTGTGTGTGTGTGTGTGTACACACACACACACACACACACACAGTGGTACCTCAGGTTACATACGCTTCAGGTTACAGACTCCGCTAACCCAGAAATATTACCTTGGGTTAAGAACTTTGCTTCAGGATGAGATCAGAAATCATGCTCCGGTGGCGCGGCGGCAGTGGGAGGCCCCATTAGCTAAAGTGGTGCTTCAGGTTAAGAACAGTTTCAGGTTAAGAGCAGACCTCCAGAATGAATTAAGTTCTTAACCTGACGTACCACTGTATATATTTCCTGTGCTGCATCCTACTTCATCAGAAATATAAATAAATGTAGGGATTGGCTGAGCAACCAATTCCATTCCATTCTGGTCTCGCTGTCACTCAGCCATAGGCCTGTTCAAACCCATTGTATGCATTTTGTACACATCTTATGCACACTTCTAGCATGAAATCCAAACTTTCCAGTGCTTTCACCAGTAAAATGTGCATTTTCTATACACCTTCCACATCTTTTAAGTTCTTATTCACCCCCAAAATGCACTGCAATATCCTGAGAAGGGCATAATCTGACTTGGAGTTGTGTTCTAATCCACAAATACATTTGAGAGCATCAGTTCAGGACAGGTCCACTATGAAAATCGGACCAAGCAAGTTCTCCCTCATCCCCAGGGATACACTTGCATCGTGCATTTTTATGCCTAGAGCACCACCGTGTGGCCAGCTTTAAATATGCAAGGGTTCTTTTAATTGCGTGCTGGTTAAGAAAGATCTCATTTTACTGCTGATGCAGATGTTACTTTGGTCTGCTATCTACCCTCCTTTTTCATTTATGGAAATGGTTTGCTCATGCCGCCAACTTGCAGCGCAATTGTACTCATTTCTACTCTGAAAAAAGTACTGTTGAGTTCAATGTGGCTTATTGCAATGTGAGTGTATATAGGACCACAAATAAGGCTCCACCAGTACTATACATTTAAAGCACCGGTACTATACACTTTAAGCAGGCATTTTAGCACAAATTTCTCCCAATAAACAATCCTGTGTGCACAAACATTTTCTCCTAATGCAATGAATTTTTGTATGTTACTTTCAATTACATCTTCATTTTTATGCACGTTTTCTCCTAAAATCTGCATTTTCATAAACATTGTTTCGTTGGCAAATTGCTTTGCAACATTTGGGTTGGTGTGAATTATTTTGAAGGATGGCTCGACTACGTTTTGGTTCTCATATCATTTTAGAAAGCTCTGGTTTGATGCATGTGGTTTTAAAATCATCAAATCAAATTTCTCGCCCATCTCAAGGAGTGTCAGAATGAAACCTGGAGCTGCGTTGCAGCCCAGGACTGTGCAATATGCAGGGAGGCCTAAGGCACCATCCTTGCTCACTAGGAGATAACAAGGAGAGCCACCAAAACATCTCTGTTGTGACTGATTACTGATGTGGTTCTCCCTGATGTTCTTTGTAGAACATGACAACCCAGAGCAAGCACCATGTCCAAGTCCACTGGACATTTAATGACAAATCATCAGATCTCCTGCAGTGGCTGACGGTGACCAAGCAGAAGCTGGAGTCCTATCAGGATGGCAATGGAGGGTGGAAAACGAACAACAGGGCTTTGGACTTGGAGGTGAGGAACATTTATTTCCTTGTGATGTCATAGCCATGCTGTGCAGGTGACAAATCCGCCTGCCCCCACCTGGTGTCCTCCAGGTGTTTCTGACTACAACTCCCATCAGCCCTAGCCAGCATGGCAAATGGTCATGAGTGGAGAAAATTGTAGTCCCTCGACATCTGGAGGACCACAGGTTCCCTATCCTTGGTTTAGAATGAAGGTGAGGAACCTCAGGCACAGGGCCTAATGTGGCCCTCCAAGCTTCACAGTCTGGCCCTTGGGACTGCCTCCAGATCACATCCCTTCCTCGGTCACTCTTGCCAAGCCACACTTCTCACCAGCCCTTGCTCTGTGCCCTTCTCAAGTGATAAAGGCTCTCGCTTGCCTGGAGGAAAGGGTGGAGAAGTGTGAATGTGTGTGCAGAAGCCCTTGACTTTTGCATGACTGAAACATAACCTGCTGTACAAAACAAAGTATTACATCCATTGACCCACACCCACCTTTGCCTCTGGCAGCCATTTCCAACCAACCTTGCACCCCTAAAATGTTGCCCTCAAGGAAATGCAGCTGAAAGGGGTTCCCCATCCCGGGTGCAGATGGATCCGTGGCTGATCTAGCAGGGGGTCCTCTTCTGTTTCCATTTACAAAAGCATCAACTGTGCGTAGACTGTTAGCATCCGTCTGTTGAAGAGTTACAGCATCTGCTGTACCTGTAGAGACTGATTCTAGAGAGACATGTTTTGTTGCAGCTGGGGCAGATGAAGGCGTCCAGTTGTGCTGCTGCAGATGCACCATGGCGTTTTTTCTCTCTGTGCTCCTCCCAGTGGCAATTCCTCCTCTGTTCACTGCTATGGATACACAGCCTATCTGTCTGTTTCATGGCACTGCGGTTGTATGCAAGGATTCCCATAGGGTGGGGTTAATGTTGCCAGCCTTCGTGCCTCGTTTGCAGAGCTGGTCTACCACCGGGCCTAGAGCTGGAAGCCAGCTCCCATAGAGCACATCCTTGGGGATCCTGCCATCTTCCATTCTGTGGACATGAGCCAAGCCAGCGTAGATGTTGCTGAGACAGGAGTGCAGAATGTGAGCTTGGGAGACCATGCCTTTGTTTAAGACTCTTTCCTGCTATGTGATGCCCCAAATCTTCCTGACACAGTGCATATGGAAGGTGTGGAGGCATCGCTCCTGGCGGGTGTAAGTTGCCCACAACTCACTTCCATAAAGCAGCATGCTCAAGACGCAAGCCTGGTAGACCTTCATCTTGGTGCTGGACATTAGCATCACATTCTCCAATACCCTTTTGGAGAGGCAAGCCATTGCTGCAGCTGCCTTGCCAATATGCTTGTCTGGCTCAGCGTTGATGGACCACTTTGGTGGCATCTACATGATTCTGCGTGTTGTGCCCTGTGCCTTTCAGAGGCTGCAAACTGAGTTTCCAGACAGAGAGATTCAGCTGCACCTCACTGAAGCCCACGGGCAGCTGGTGGCAGAAAACTCTTCGTTGGAAGGTGCTGAGAACATCCGAACCAAAGTGAAGAGGCTAAAGGAATCTTTCGAGTCTCTCGAAGGCATGATGTCAAGGTAGGCAGATAGGCAGCTGTGATATTCTGCACTCCAAGTTGGCTGGCACAGAGGGTGGACGGAGCGAAAGGGCAGGCGAAGCCGTGGTTGCGTTATTAGCTCCCATTTCCTCAACACTTTGAAAGGTCTGTGTGGTTCGTGGGCTTCCAAGAGACAACTGCTTTGTTAGTGTGAGAACAGAGTGCTAGACCAAATAGGCCTTTGAGCCTTTCCAGCAAGGCTCTTCTTATGCCCTTAGGTAGCATTTCCAGTTTGGGGCCTGCTGATCCTCATTTGGCAATGTCGCTCAGCCTTGCAAATAAGCCCACTAAAGTTACTAGCCTGCAAAAGTTGCCGGCTGTGGCAGAGGCTTCCCTCCTCTGCCAGTCGGCTCAGTTTCTTTTTCTAGTTGCAGAGGAGTGATGGTTCCTCCTCCACCAACCTGTTCATTCGCCTGCTGGCAATGCCATGTTGCCCATGGCTACTCAGCAAGTGCTTAAGTAACAGTTCTGATATAGACACGGCACAGGAAGCAGCAGGCAGAGTGGCTTCCTTTCTGAGTAACTGCTGCATGAAAGCTCCAAAATGCTGCAGCAGTGGTTCTAGTGTGGTTAAACTGTTTATCTAAATGCATCCCACAGTTTATAAAGCTGTATCCTGGTAACAAAGGAACCCAGCAGCATTTGTGCTCTATGGAAGCCTACAAGCAGGAACCAATTCTCTTCCAATAAGCCCTTATAATTTTTCTAAGTAGAGAGACATTTTCATAAGGTACAGTCATACCTCGGGTTGAATACGCTTCGAGTTGAGCAGGTTCGAGTTGCACTCCACGGCAACCCGGACGTAATGGAGCGCGTTACTTCCAGGTTTCGCCGCTTGCACATGTGCAGACACACAAAATGATGTCACACGCATGCGCAGAAGCGTCGAAAAGCGACACGCACATGCGCAGACGTGCTATCGCTGGTTACGTTTACCTCTAGATGTGAACAGGGCTCCGGAACGGAACCCATTCGTATCTAGAGGTACCACTGTACATTTAAAGTACATTTCCTCACCCTCCCACAAATCCTAGGAACTGTAGTTCACAGAGCTACAATTCCCAGGGTTCTTTGGCTTGGGGGAAAGTATGCTTTAAATATATTATGTTTTTATATATGTTGGAAGCCACCCAAAGTGTCTGGGACAGGGCACAAATTATTATTATTATCATTATTATCGTTATTATTATTCACAGTGCTTTGTCCTGGGGGGACGCAGGTGTACACATACCCCTAAACATTTTGTGAATCTAAGTTTGGCCTCGTTGAGGGGCAGTATTTCAATGAGTAGGAAAATGAGAGTACCCCTAAACATTTTTTTTAGAAAAAAGCACTGATTATTATTGATAATAATGCATAGTGTGTACATAGCCATAAACTTAAATGATCTTCCCACACTTAACCTTTTCTGTGTGAGTGTTTCTGCTCCAATATTTAATCACTTAAGCTCCAATAATTAAGCATTAATTTTTAGATCTTTCCCAATGCAGCTGAATAATACCATCTAAGTCTTTATGAATCACTGTGGGGTTCTGGGAATTTGAGCTTTCACCCCCTTTCCTTTATCCATAACTTTCCTGGCAAGTTGTATGCTTTTCTCCTTTGCTCAGACTTCCACCTCCCCCACACACACTTTCCAATCTAAGTAGCTCTTTCTTTCCCCACCTCCTGAGCCTGTCAGGTTTCCTCATCAGTTCAGAAACCAGCCGCGGATTGTAACCGTTTCCTAATCACAGCTAGGAGCGCTCTGCTAGAACAATCCCCTGGAAAGTAACGATCCATTTAAAAAGTGGCCTTAAAACGACAAGACCACGTCCAGGGAGAATGAATAAAACCCACTGGCAGGAACTTGTCACGGTATCTTTTACATCTCTGCTTCGTCCCGTGATGCTGCTGTGCTTGTGCTGTTTGGGAGCTGGTGGTTCAGTTGCTAGAGAACGTCAGAGAAAGCTTATCCAAGCAAGGTCATCCATGAATCAAGATGAAGGCAGGGATTTAATGCCTCACTCTTCTGGTTGTTCCCAGTGCAAGCATTTCTGCTTGCCAGACAGAATGGTCTCCCCCCTCTCTTCCCCCTGTACACTCATCTAAGGGTTCTCCTGTCCTTCTGGAGTGGATTGGGGCTGGGGTTCTAACTACCCCATGCTCCTTCCATCCCTCCTCCTCATCTGACGGCTCCCTCAAGGACACCAGCTCAGGGCTCATGACAATATTGGCCACAGCTTCAACACACTATGTAGCCCATAGGAATCTTTAGTAAGCTTAACGGTTTAGTTGGTGGTCCCAGGATGAATAAGGGAGGCAGTGGAGTTTTATAAACGTTACAAGCCTTAGCTTAACTATCTCTCCTCTCCCCTCCCCTTCTTCGGTTTGACCATAGTCTCCTCCAGAAAATCTACCCAAACAGGACAACAGTAGATGCCGGCAAGAAAACAAAGTTTTCAGCCAACCTGTCATCCCATGGTTTTGCCATTCGCTCTACAGAAGATCTCAACCACTCCTGGGTGAGAAAAGCATTTTAGTCACCTTTTTGCTATGACTTAAGTTTTGTGCAACAGGGCTGGCGAAGGAACAGGTCTGAGCCCCTGTAGCAATTTCACGGCTGGGGTCATAAAGGTGAGAACCTGTTTCAGCCAGAGCGCTGTGTTCCCTTGTGTTCCCTCGCTTCTTCAGACACTAGGTCAGGGTTTCTCAAACTTGGGTCTCCAGCTGCTATTGGACTACAATTCCCATCATCCCAAACCACTAGTCCTGCTAGCTAGGGATGATGGGAGTTGTAGTCCAAAATTTGCTGGAGACCCAAGATTGGGAAACCCTGCTATAGTTCTCACCAACTTCTGAGGGTGGAAATCAGATTGGCTCAGACTTGCCTTTGTCAGGAAGCGCATTGTAGATTTGTAGCTGTGTAAGATGCTAAATATCTCCGTTCAGTGTATGCAATATGAACTGGGCTCTTCTAGTCTGTTATTTTTGCTTCGCCCAACTGGTGCTTGGTAGGGAGAATGGGGTGTGTGTGTGTGTGTGTGTGTGTGTGTGTGTTTCACAAACTCAGATCTACCACAAAAGCTGCTCTGCTGCACCCCCTAAGCTGGCCTGTTTGCTCACAGTTACAGTGGCAGATGCTGTCTGGTTGCCAGTGTGGAACTGATATTTAGCTGCCAGCGCAAAGCTTTTCTCTTTTGCATTGTACTGTGAACATAGGAAGCTGCCTTAATTTGAGTCAGTCCATTGGTCCATCTAGCTCAGTAATGTCCACATTGACCGACAGCAGCTTTCCAGGTATCAGGTAGGAGTCTTTCCCAGCAGTACCTGGAGATACCTGGGATTGAACTTTCTGCAAACAAAGCAGCTGCTCTACCACTGAGCGTTGGCCCTTTTGCCAAGAAGGGAATACGAAGAGGTGGGTTTTCCTATACGCAGTGGCTTAGCTCCAACACGATGGGTGCTGGAGCTCAAATCTAGTCTCATAAACTCCCAACTTCTGCCTTTCATTCCCAGTCCTAACTGGGACAGGCAATGGTTACTCAATAGGGGAGGAAATGTACTCTGCAGATGGCAATTGGCACACTCTTTTTTTTATTGCCATTGCTTTACATGTTCCAGGACTGACCCCTGACATTGAAAATAGGTGGCAGGACTGAGTATGCAGGTGCCGGCTCTGAATGTTGGAGAGAGCCCTGGTTCAAATTAAATCCTGATTTTGCAGCAGACCCTTTTTCTTCTTCTTTTTTTTTTTTAAAGAGGCCTGTGCTGCTTTGTTTTAATTCCGAGTGTGTTTTCTGCAGTTTACAACTCTTCGTTCAGCCATCAAACTTTTTAATAGGGAACCTGGGGCCATATTCACAGCGGGTGTAGCTTGTAACACTGACATTCAACCAAACGGCAAACACCTTGGGAACGGAGCCTGTTCTCGGCTCTGAAATGTTTTGAATGTGAAAAGGGCCGTCTTTTCCAGTACCTTAAAAGTCCTTCTTAGCGTCTCCCCTAAACTGGGGATCTATGTTCATTTCAGAACGAATGAAGAATGAAATCAAATGGGACCAACTCTGTGCTCAGGGAAACATCATTGCAGATCAGAGAACTCCTTCCTGAGTTCTGCGTTCTGCTCCTTGGTGGTTCTCAATGGCAGCTGGTAGGAAAACCTTCTGCCCACCAACAAGCATAAGAAGGACAACTCCTTGGCATTTTCCTGCCCACCTCAGAACCAAATTTCAGTCTAACCTAGCAGCAACTTTTGGGCACATTTATAACGGCAGCAGTGGGTTACATTGTGGGTTGAGCAGACAGGTTTAATATCTTTCTGCCCAGTCCTGTGTCACAATAGGACTAATCCTCAAGGATCAATGGTGGGGGTTTCTCTGTCCATGTGGCCCCCAGAAGGCAATGTGACCCTTGGGCTAAAAAAGGGTTAGTCACTCCTGCTTTAAACTTTTTTTCAAATCCAGTTTAAAAAATCAAATAGTGTCCCAGTCTAGTTATTATTTATTATACAGTGGTACCTTGGTTGTCGAAAGGCTCGACTCCGGAACAAATCGACTCCCGAATGCCACAAACCCGGAAGAGTTCCAGTTTGTGAACGTTTTTCGGAAGCCGAACTTCCAATGCGGCTTCCGCTTGAGTGCAGGAAGCTCGTGCAGCCAATCAGAAGCTGCGCCTTGGTTTTCTTTTCTTTTCTTTTAAATAATTTTTTAAAAAATAATTTTTATTGAATGATTTTATGTTACAAAAAACATTACAACCATACTACCACTAAATATAATTGAGAAATAAAAATTACATACATCAATAATTAGTTTGTTATTTGTTATTTACTGTCTTATTTCCTCCCAAACGTTCCATACAAAAACACACATATGTCTCGAACGGTTTCGAGAGTCGAATGGACTCCCAGAACAGATTAAGTTTGAGAACCAATGTACCACTGTATTTGAATGCCATCCTTCATCCATAGATCTCTGGATGATTTGCATCATAAAAATGCAAGTTTAAAAACACAAAATACATAATAAAAGCAAACCAAAACAATAATCTCACACCACCTCCCACAAACACATTTAAAAGGATACAGGATGTTAGTCAGCCAAAGGCATGGTTGAAGGGGAATGTTTTCGCCTGGCTCCTAAAGGTGTATAATGAGGGCACCAGGAGAAACTCCCTGGGAAGAACATTCCACAAATGGGATGACAGAAGACAAGATAAATGAATGATTTGTTTCATAGCTGACTCTGCTGGGCATGGGATACAACTATTCAATAACTCATGGGGGAAAGTGTATGCCCTTGTCTTCTACATTTGTGTCTTTTGCAATTGTTTCTGCAACTCAGGAGAACATGGCCAAAGAGGAAGATACTGATGATCTCCAGCTCATCAAGAACTTTGAGCAGTGGTTGCAAGAAGAAAATGCCAAGCTGTCCGAAATTCTCGCCCGGAAACCATCCAGTGGTGAAGAGGTTAAAGCAAGGCGCAGCAAGTTAAAGGTTTGCTCCACTCCACGATGCTGCGTTAATTTCACATTACTGTATGGTGTGCTTGCATGTGTGCTTGAGAAGACACCCCAGTCTGGTATGTTGCAATGGGTTAGGGACATAGGAAGCTGCCTTATGACAAGCCACAGCGTTGGTCCGCCAAGCTCAGCATTGACTGCACTGACCAGACTGTAAGCTGCTCTCCAGGTTTGCAGGCAAAAGCATCTCCCAGCCCTCCCTGGAGATGCCAAGAATTGGACCAGGGACCTCCTTGCATGCACAGTATGTGCTCTACAACTGAGCTGTGAGCCTGTCCCCAATATCCCCAGAGAAGTCTTTCCACATCTTTCAGACTAGCATAGTTTTAAAAGTAGTTCAGAGTGGGGTTGTAGAGTTGGAAGGGAACCCAAAGGGCATCTAGCCCAGTGCTAAAGAATCCTTGACAGAAGGCCACCTGGCCTGTGTTTAAAAACCTCCAATGAAGGTGAGGCCACCAAAATCTCCTTTCTTATAACTTGAAGCCATTGGTTCAGGTCCTCTGCTCTGGAGCAGGAGAAAACAAGCTTGCTCCTTCTTCCATGTGACAACCCTTGAGATATTTGAAGGCGGCTGTCATATATCCTCTCAGTCTTCCAGGCTAAACATGCCCAGCTCCTGCAACCGTTCCTCATAAGGCTTGGTTTCCAGGCCATAGATCACCTCGGTCACCCTCCTCTGCACACGTCCCAGCTTGTCAATACAGTCGTACCTCGGAATTCGAACAGAATCCGTTCCGAAAGTCCATTCGACTAATGAAACATTTGACTTCCAAAGCGCAGCTTCTGATTAGCTGCAGGAAGCCCCGTCGGATGTTCGGCTTCCAAAAGAACGCTAAAAAATAGGAACACTCACTTCTCGTTTTCAATCGTTTGGGAGCTGGAACGTTCGACTCCCAAGGCGTACGGGACCCGAGGTACAACTGTATCCTTGTTTTAGTTGGTGTTTTCTTTCTTTCCTTCTTCCTTGTGACAGCCCTTAAGATATTTGGTATCTCCTCTTAGCCTCCCCCTTATCCAGGCTAAACATATCCAACTCTGTCAACCTTTCCTTCTAAAGCTTGGTTTCCAGACCCTTAGAAGAATTATATAAATATAGTAAATATATATTTATGAAATATATAAATATAAAACCATGTAAAATAAAACCAGGCAGCTACACAGGAATAAAAAAATGGGAAGCGTCACTGCTTTGTGATCCGCCTTCCCCTTTGGAAATATTTGTGAAATGCCCCATAATTACTGTATGTGTAATGGGAAAAGGCGGTGTTTTCTCTCTTCACCGCTACCACCTCGATCGTTTGCACAACAAAACGGTGCTTTATCGCCTCACGTTCCCTTCCAGGAGCTTCAGTCTCGCGTCCCTGAGGGTCAGCAACATTTTGAAGATCTCCTGCGCCTTCGGCCGATTGTTAAGAACTCCGATGATCTGGAGGAACTGCGCTACAGATGGATGCTCTACAAGTCGAAACTGAACGATTCCGGCAACTCCTTGGTAGGCCTTGTGATCTGAGGATAGGTGGATTGGGGATCTTTTACATTACACACTGGGAAGCAAGTGTGGTGTAGTGGTTAAGAGCGGTGGACTCGTAATCTGGTGAACCGGGTTCGCTTCCCCGCTCCTCCATATGTAGCTGCTGGGTGACCTTGGGCTAGTCACACTTCTCTGAAGTCTCTCAGCCCCATTCACCTCACAGAGTGTTTGTTGTGAGGGAGGAAGAGAAAGGAGATTGTTAGCTACTTTGAGACTCCGTAGGGTAGTGATAAAGCAGGATATCAAATCCAAACTCTTCTTCTTCTTACCCCATTTAGAATAGGGGTGTTAGGCTTGCGCTGTTCCCCTTCTATCCAGAGGAGCCATATTATGCATGGTCATAAACAAAGAAAAGATGCACAGTTATACTTGGTACGAAATGGGTATATCGAAGTCTGACGGTCAGATTCACATGTTTCATGGATTTTTATTATTATTATTATTATTATTTGGAGCACTTGTACTCTGCAGCCAAAAAGGCTTCCAATCTAAAAACAAAACAAAACCAGGACAAACAGGGGAAAGGAAACAGGGAGAGGGAAGAGCAGAAAACAAAACTCAGGCACCAATTCTGAGACAGTTTTTCTTCTAATGACCAGCTGGCACAGTTCGGGGTAGCAGGTGCCTGGTACAGCTGGCCTTTTGAGAAAGCAGATGGGTTGAGCCCTGCTTCCCATCTCAGATGGAATGACTGCCCCCAAGTGACGGTGGAAGGAGAGGGGGTTCAATGGAACCGGTCTAAAATGTGGAATATCACAGGGTACTAAAAGGAGTCTATGATTATCCTGTGCCCCATGCTGTTGGTACCCATCAGTTCAATGCATTAGGCGAGGGAAGATGTTCTTGGGTTTTTTTGTTTGTTTGTAGTTGTGCCGTGCAAAAATTCAAAGTACTTGAAACTGACACTATGAACCTGAGTCTTTATAGGTGGATGCATGCGTTACTAGCTGCCATCAAAAGCAGCACCATCTTCATTTTCTTCCACTGCAGGGGTGGGGATACTCAGCCCTGGGGGCCAAATGCAGCCTTCTATGCCCCTCTCCCTGGCCCTCAAAACTGTCCCCAGCCCAGGCCACACCCACTCCCCAGGTCAACATTCCTCGCCGGCCCCGTTTTACACCCTTGAAAGTTTTAGTCTCGTAATCTGGTGAACAGGGTTCGCTTCCCCGCTCCTCCACATGCAGCTGCTGGGTGACCTTGGGCTAGTCACACTTCTCTCTGAAGTATCTCAGCCTCACTCACCTCACAGAGTGTTTGTTGTGGGGGAGGAAGGGAAAGGAGAATGTTAGCCGCTTTGAGACTCCTCAGGGTAGTGATAAAGCGGGATATCAAATCCAAACTCTTCCTCTTCTTCTTCTATGGAGGATAGAAAGTGGGGGTGGGCTGGGGAGTGCATGTTAAAAACCTAGCCTGCCGTACAAAGGGAATATTGACATTCATTGCTCCTTCCACTTTGCCTCTGGCTCTGCCCACCACTGGCATGCAGCCCCTGGAAGGTTGCAGAGAATGGAATGCGGCCCTCTTGCTGGAAAAGGTCCATCCCCCCGCACTGTCTCTGTTATAATGGAGGGGGGAAATGTGTGATTCCATTGCCCTGCACATTCCCCTACCCTGAGGTACTTTACTGGCCGATGCTTGCAAGGTTTGGGGAAATGTTTCAGCATGCCTTTAGCTGGTCTGCATGTAATTTGGGAAAAGATGGGGAGAGGCAGGCCAAGCAGCTCCAATCTTTGCTGTTTTGTATGAAAAAAGTGCTTAAAATTTTAAGGGAATTTGCTCTTCTTCATTCCCCAGTTCTAAATGCAATGATTTTTTAAAAAACTGGGGTGAATATGGAGTAATAAGAAAGCTAGATGGGAAAAAATACACAACAATCAAATGTTGGCTAAAGTGCAAGTAAGAAGTTAATGTCCAGTGTCCTTACTCTGTGGTAAATGTGTGTAGGAATCCAGCCTCAGTGGTGCGCTTTTACTGTGCCATCCCCTGCAAAACTACAACTAGTCAGAAGGTGTCAGTGAAATCATAGTTATTTCTCTTGTAAGCCTAAACCAGACTTTAACTTGCTAGGGAACAAAATCCATTTGGAATTTAAACTGGATGTGTGCTATAAAGCTCATTAAATAGAAAATCACCTGCTGCTTTAGCTTGTCCAGACGATGAGAAATTTAAAGCAACATTCCCCTCGTGAAATAAACATTGGCTTATAGGTTCCATGGGGATACCGTGGTTTCTTTTCTTAAAACAAAAACCCCAGTGCTTTTGTCTTTTTTAAACAGGCAACAAGCTCTTTGGAGGAGACAGACACATTCAGAAAGGTAAGAGTGTGTTTTTGTTTGTTCACAGAAAAGGAGAGGGAAGGGCATATGTGTGTTTGTGTGTTTTAAAAACATAGTTGTCCAATAATGAAATGAAATATATTTTGTTATGGAGGGCACGGCTGCAGGATTAGAATCCCCAACATAGAATTATACTACATTGCCAACCAAGTGTGCCACATAATCCGATGCATTCTAGAAGACGAAACAAAACAATGGGTACACCTGGAGAGAGACATAATCAAAAACACCCCCACCATAGCATACCCATTTCTCCCAAACAAACTAAGGAAAATCCCCACAATACTATAAACAGGTTCACACAGACCATACTTAAAGCATGGAAGGAAGAAGCAGGCAAACTGTCCCCAACCTCAATCCCACTAATCCCACTGGCTCACCACCCACTATTCCATCACGCAGCACAAAACCTCCAGGTAAAAACCTGGCAAATCAAAGGCTCATATCGCCTATACGATCTGAGGTGAAACCAGAGTTTAATAAAGATTGGAATAAATTCATGGCATACATGGAAACAGAGGTAAAAAAAAATTAAAAATCACAGTAGGTGTGATATAACACTTGTGATGTAAAAAATTTTTTTTGAGGAAAAGAAACTGCAGATAGAAAATTTTTATAACACATTCCGAAACCAAGATGAAGGGAAATCAGTCAGTGTTGTGTGTTATGTAGTTAATGTAGTCAATTTGTTGTTGTCTTATGTCAGGAGTATATATATATATATTTATATATATACTTTTTCTTTATTTAGCTTTTTTTGGTGTGAATGTGTTGTGTATGTCTTTTTTGTTTGTATGGTGTTATAAAATAAAAATAAATAAATAAATAAATAAATAAATAAATAAACAAAGGCTCATATCGCCTAGCAGACTTCTACAAAAATAACAAAGCCACATTGACACAAGAAATACAAGACAAACTAGGGGACACCCAAATGCCCTGGCTAACACCACCAGCTAAATGCCTTCTTAAACAATCCAGTAGGAAATCAGCAGCAACTAGGCCCTTGGCAACCTTCGAAAACCTCCTCCTAACAACAAAGGGATACAGTAAAGGGATGGTATCCGCAATATACAAAATACTACTCCAAAATCCCACAAACTCCCTAGACACAATAAAAAAAAATGGGAGGATGACATAGGCTATGAAATTAACCCTGCTTAATGGACTAGAATGTGGTCTAAACCTCCCTTTAAATCCATCTCAGCTACAAGAAAAGAACTCACCCTGAAACTCACTTACAGATGGTAACTAACACCATTGAAACTAACACTGATATGCCCAGGAGCCTCACCAAAATGCTGGAGAAGCTATACCTCCACAGGCACATACCTCCACAAGTGGTGAGACTGTCCCAAAATCCAACTCTTCTGGACATCAGTTATACAAGACATATGTAAAACAGCTAAACAAGTATTAGAGGTCATCCCAGAACTGGCCCTACTGAACATCTTCCAAGATAATAATGCCTACTCACATTATAAAGAGCTCATAACCCACCCAGTCTCAGCAGCTAGAAGCATCATGGCCAGACACTGAAGAGATCTGTCAAGAGTGAACATGGACCAATGGTATCAAATAGCATGGGAAAACTTACTAGAAAAACTAACCAATAAATTGAAACAGACACAGGGACAAATAGAAGATGCCTTCACCCCAGTATGGTTCCTCTTTATCACATACGTAGCCCAACAAGACAAGAATCCACCAACAGCATATAAATCAATCTGGCTAACCTGACCCCAAAACCCACCCTCTCACACACATAAACAAATCTCACTGCAGTCAACCAAAGACAGCCAACCACACCCTAGGCCACCCCCAACCTCTCTCACCACCAAGGAAATATAACAAGCAAATAGAAAGAGAACCCCCACAAGTGATGCCGACACAAAACCCCACACATACACTGAGTAGAAAAATAGAAGCAGTGCCACCTGACCCCTCTTTCCCCCTCTTTTCTTCCCAACCTAATACTGCATGCAACACTAATGTCTCACAACAGATGAAACTGATCTGTAGAAAACACAACTTGAAGAAAGAGACAATGCACGTATTTTAGTAAACTAAGAAATCTTTAATAAAAATTTATATATATTTAAAAAACAGAACAGCAGTCTCTTTTAGCTCTCTTTGCTTATCTCATTTACCATTAATAAAATTGTAAAGGAAAATATATAGAGAGAGAGGAGTGCTTCAAGAACACAGAGAAAGAGTTGCACTTGGTGAAGTCAAAATAAACATTAGAGGAAAGTACACTAAAATGTGAAAGTAATTTTTAAAATTTCAAACACTTTAAAGCAGTTTTCGCTGACCTGGTGCCCTCCAGTTACTTTGGACTATTCCCAGGTTGGGGCTGATGGGAGCAGAAGCCAGCCCCAGTTTGGCAAAGACTGCTTTAACATAGACATAAGATGTATCAAAAGCAGTTCAACCATGATGGCTTTGCTTTGAACCACTCCTGGCCATTTTATGAAGTGAACAGTTGAGGAGCCCTAAATGTCTTCTTTTTTTCTAATATGGTTCACCCTTTCCTGGAGGTGTGCATATACAGTGGTACCTTGGTTTAAGAACAGCTTAGTTACGAGAAACTTGGACTAAGAATGCTGCAAACCCGGAAGCAGGTATTTTGGTTTGCGAACTGTGCCTTGGAATAAGAACATGTTTCACTTCCTGTTGAGTGTGTTCCATTTGTAAATTGAGTCCCCCGCTGCTATGGGAAAGCACGCTTTGGTTTAAGAATGGACTTCCGGAACGGATTAAGTTCGTAAACCAAGGTACCACTGTATGTCCCAGCAGCCTACCATGAGGTAGATTACACATTTGTTTTCCTCAGCATCCAGTGTGCTCCCACCGCTGCCCTGGAAAGTGAAATACACACACTGTTAGCCACAATTGTTGTTGGTGTTGTCATTTAAATTTGTATACCACCCTTCATCTGTAGCTCTCAGGGCGGTTCACAACACAAAATTACAATATAAAAAACAAAACAAAATACTTAATCAAAACAAGAACAAACACAAACCAAAAATACCCCCCCCACACACACACACAAAACACATTTAAAAGGGCATCGTAAGTCAGTCAGGTTGAAGAGGATATATTAAATTAAGCCAGTGGTTTTCAGACCATTTGCCCTCAGGAGAGATTTTCCCCTAGTGGTTTGTCCACTAAGGAGGCACCAAGAATCTGCTACAATGCCCCTACGATCCATCAGGGAATGTTCTTCCTCTTGCATGGAGGTTCTGATGGCGCTTCATCCAAGGAATTGACATGATCTATATTACCTGCTTAGTTTCAGCAGTGCTGCAACCTCAGATGCATCCACATCATTCCATGTGGCTGCACAAGCTTTTGGATTCTGGCTATTAGTAGGATGGGGGAATCAAATGTTGGATATTGCCAGGGCTTGGCTAAAGTCGATTGATTCCCATCTCCCTCCCTCAGTAGGAACAGCTCAAGCGGCAGGAATGTTTCTCTTAGCATCCATTATACCCCTAGGGGGAAAACATGCTGTATTTAATTCTTGATGGGAACATTGCCAGACGCCGAGACAAAAATACAGTTTTCCTCTCTGTAAGGGATGGTTCGAAAGACCAATCAAGGCCATCCCCCGGCCCCATTTTAATATTTGCTTATTTTGCTTGTATTTTTAGATAACCCTATCCCCGCTGGCTTATATATGAACATTTATAGAGATATAGAGCTAGTTAGATTTCATGAGCAGTGCAATCTTGTGCATGTTTTGCTAGAAATAAGTTCCAGTGATTCAACGATACTTAGGCAGCATTCACGCCATCCATTTAATGCACATGTTTGTTAAATTTCTATACTATCCTTCATCCAAGGATCATAGGGCAGTTTTACAATATAAAAACACAAAAAATACATAACTCATATATGCGTTTGCATACATATGTACTAGGGATGCTCAAAAAATTCTCCCCATCCCAATGTATGAGGAGTATGGAATTACTTTGGTGTTTCTCCAGCTGTCTGCCCTTCTTCCATTTTCAAATATTTTTGGACTTCAGTCTGCTACTCCTCAGGCCCATCTCTCTGCCCCCCAACCCCCATTTTAGAAGCCACCAATGCACAGGAGTACATATGCACATTGACAAAATCAGAGCACAAGGAGGGAATTCACTTTAAACCATCATGGCTTCCCCCAAAGACTTCTGGGGCTACCGTTTGTTAGGGGTGCAGAGAGTTGTTAAGAGACTCCTGTACCTCTGACAGAGCTACAATTCACAGCGTTCCCTGGGAAGAGGAATTGGCTGCTAAACCACTCTGGGAATTGCAGCTCTGGGTGGGGAACAGAGGCCCCTTGCGAGCTCTCAGGACCCTTAACAAACCACAGCCCCTAGTGCTTTAAATGTATGTTGTGAATGTGGCCTTGCTCACTCGTAAGTGTACGCTTGGGCTGCAATAATAAAAGAACCATTTCTTGATCATCCCCGAGCATAAAAACCTTGCTTGGATAAATAGCGCGCACAGAGAAAAAGATGTCAGATAGAAAACAAACGGCGAATATGCACGAGCATAATTTTATCCATAAACAGAAGACTGTAAGATTAAATTGAGAAAGCTAATGCGTTGGGGCCTGTGGTTTCTCCCCCGTAGGCTGACAGTGATGGAATAGCTTATTGCCTCTTCGCATACGATGGAGCATTGTAAAAACAAATATTTAAAAAAATAATGATGATAAATGTTTCTTCAAAGGTTGGCTTCCAAGTTGCTGAAAGTATTTCAGGAGCATACTTAGCGTCAATTGGAAATCAAAGCAGGTTATTTATGGGGTTCAGCAGTTCTTGTCTGGTTTATTTTCTGCAGTGCTCAACCCTAATTAAAGCTCCTTGCTGCGCAAATGATTTGGGCCTCATTGTTTGTACAAACAAAGTAATTAGGATTTATTAGATTCATGACTGCCTAATTGGTTCCCTTTGAGATGCTGTGGGATGTAATCTCCTGGAGCAGATGGAGAGTCAGGATCTGCAATTGCGTCTCATTTAGAAAGTCGCCACTGATCGTCGGACCAAATAAGTTCAGCCAGCCGCGAGCAATGCTAGTTCACTCGCTCCTTCTCTGGAAGGCTCTTGGTTCAGGTCCTCATGCTAAAAACATCAATGAGAGTAAAATTCTTTCACTGCTGTAAAACAGAATTTTAGAGTTGGAAGGGACTTTTGAGGTCCTACAGCCTAGTTATTCAATCCTCAGTGAAGGAATCTGAACATGAAATCTTGTTGGATGAGACCAAAGCTCGTCAACTCCAACATCCTGTTCTCACAGTGGCCAATCAGATCCCTATGGGAAGCCCAATGGATATACTAGGACACCATGCTCCTGATATCAACCGAACATCATTAGAGCTTCCTTGATGAGGCCGTTGGCCCATCTAGTCCAGCATCCTGTTCTCATCGTGGCCAACCAGGTGCTTATGGGAAACCTACAAGCAGGACACTGAGGCTCTTGGTCTCAATTCATGTGGTCCTCAACTTTTGATGAGTGTGGGAAGGAAGTCCCACTGGGATGGAATCTGGGGAGGAGAAGGAATGGGAATCCTCTGCAGTCAAGGAACTCAGGCCTCTGGAAAGAGTGATCTGTCCCTTCCCCATCAGTCTGCTTCGTGGAGAGGAAGCACAAGAGCACTCTCCCTTCCTGTGGTTTTCAGCAACTGGTACCCAGAAGCATACTGCCTCCTACAATGGAGGTAAAACATAGCCATCAGAGTTTGTAGCTACTGAGAGCCACATGAATTGGTCTAATTCTCTTCTCAAGCCATCCAAGTTAGTGGCCATCTCAGCCTCTTGGGAGAGCAAATTCCACAGTGAAGCCATGTAAGGACTTTCTTTTGCCTGTTCTGAATCTTCCAAAGTTCAATTTCATTGGATGTCCATGTGTTCTAGTGTGAGAGAGGGGAAAGATTTTTCTCTGTTCATCTCCTCCATGCATAATTTTATACACCTCTGCCACATTTCCCCATCTTTGCCTTTTCTCTGGTATTCAGAACTACAGCATCCCTGATAGATAATGGCACAACCTCTGCTTAAGCATCTCCAGTGAAGGTGTATTTAGAACATCTCCAAATGGAGGCGGTGGATATGGATATGCTCATTGGCAGAAGATACGGTTTTACATGAAAAAAGGCATTGGGTTCAATCCTTGGCATCATCAGCTAAAAGGAGCTCAGGGAGTAGGGCCCAGACAAACATCTCCTCAAGTCTGAGTTGACAATGAACTCAGGCAGACCAAGACTGTATCAACAGGCAACAGCTGCGAATCATTTAGTTGCATTTCTGTCCTAATTTTTCTCCAAGAAGCTCATTGTGGTGTGCAAGCTTTTCCTGGTCCACCATTTTATCCTCCCAGCAACCTGTATGCAAGGCAGGCTATGTTTAGCAATAGCAACAGGCATTTGTCCATCACCCCTCAGGTGGCTGCATTGCAACACCTCTTGCAGCGTAGCAGAAGATGCTTGGCCTGGTTCTTGAGTCACACGCGGCTGCTAAGGGCATTTGGGGATTTGGGTTGCAGGCTTCATCGGTGCCCCTGAGACATTGAGACACTGAGGCTCTTAGTCTCAATTCATGTGGTCCTCAACTTTTGATGAGTGTGGGGAGGAAGTCAAAATGGATGGAATCTGGGAAGGAGAAGGAATGGGAATCCTCTGCAAACAAGGAACTCAGGCCTCTGGAAAGAGTGACCTGTCGCCTGTTTCGTGGGGAGGAAAAGTGTGTGAGAGAAAGAGTGGCAGAAAGAGAGAAATAAAAGAAGGTGGCCACACACACTGCCAGCTCTGGTCCAAATATCACCAGCATCCCCTGCTTAATTTTTACCCTTGGGGGGATGCAGCCCTTGGCGGAAGAAAAGTTCCACCCCACCCCCCTTTCACTGGAATAATTGCCTCTTCATAAATGCTTGGATTGCTTGCACGGTTTGGGCATCTTCATTCAAGGTGACGTTCAATATTCCTGGCAGAAATATTGGGAAAGCAGCGACTGCAGAGAAATACATTGCCAACTTTCACAGGCACACTCTATCCAACCCTGGAGGCTTAGGGGTTTGTTTTTGTTTTTGCTTCTCCTGCCTGTTACCAGAACCATTTTTCACAATATATTTGGAACAGAGTTATATTAATGAACGCTCTGCATAATGTGCTAAAGAGCCCACAGCTCCCCAATAACCATCTCAGCAGGAGTCAAAATGCCTCAGGAGGATGAGTCAAGAGCAAATGTGACTGAGGACAGCTAGGCCGCCCGTGCAGCTAGAGTTCAGTCCTAGTGGCACTTTTAAACATTTTAAATATAATTTCCTACACACTGCCTTCTACACTTTGTGGAATGTTTATCTAAGTTTACTATTCTTTCCCGCCTTGATTTTTACAGAAGTCATACGGTTGCCAACTTTTTTTTACTAGCTGTGCTCTTGTGCTTTTAATAGCCTGGCCTGCAGAAATGTAGCAGGCGAAGGTTACGCCTGGCATGGAGAGGCACCTGCGAAGCTGTGCTAGCCTAGTCACTAGTGAGTGACATTCTGCTGCTCTTCTCCAAGTGTGGAAAAGAGGGGAGAAATCTCCCTCTCTGGCTAATGGCCTCTGAGAGCCTAGCAAGTAGAGCTGCCAATCCAGGACTATAAAACTATTGGTCCATCCAGCTGAGTATTGGCAAATTCCATTGGTCATGACTACCCATGTACACACACATAGCCATGCTGGCTGGGAATGGTGGAAGGTAGAGTCCAACAACATATGGAGGGCCACAGGCTTTCCAACCCTGGTATGGACAATAGTAAGCTAGGTGGACCATTGGTCTGCTCTGTTTAGCTCAGTAATGTCTGCATTGACTGGCAGCAGCTGTCAAGAGTTTCCAGCTGGGGATATTCCCAGCCCTACCTGGAGATGCCAGGGGTTGAACCAGGAATCATCTGCTTGGAAGGAGATGCTCTTCCACTGAGCTACAGCCCTTGTTGTTGTTGTTTAGTCATTTAGTCGTGTCCGACTCTTCGTGACCCCATGGACCAGAGCACACCAGGCACTCCTGTCTTCCACTGCCTCCCGCAGTTTGGTCAAACTCATGCTGGTAGCTTCAAGAACACTGTCCAACCATCTTGTCCTCTGCCGTCCCCTTCTCCTTGTGCCCTCCATCTTTCCCAACATCAGGGTCTTTTCCAGGGAGTCTTCTCTTCTCATGAGGTGGCCAAAGTACTGGAGCCTCAGCTTCAGGATCTGTCCTTCCAGTGAGCACTCAGGGCTGATTTCCTTCAGAATGGAGAGGTTTGATCTTCTTGCAGTCCATAGGACTCTCAAGAGTCTCCTCCAGCACCATGATTCAAAAGCATCAATTCTTCAGCGATCAGCCTTCTTTATGGTCCAGCTCTCACTTCCATACATCACTACTGTGAAAACCATAGCTTTAACTATACGGACCTTTGTTGGCAAGACTACAACCCTAGATAAGGCAAATTCATACATAAGGCAAATTCATGGAGGATACGCCTGCCAATGACTACCAGCCACGGTTGCTATGTTCTACCTCCAGTCAGAAGAAGCAGAGATTCTGAATTTCAGTTTCTGGAAACCACAGGAGGAGAGAGTGCTCTTGTGCTCAGATCCTCCTTGAGGGTTTCCCGCAAACATCTGGTTGGCTGCTGTGGTCATTGGCATGGTCCAGGAGGCTCTGCTTGCATTCTTAAGGCACCTTGGTATAAGGCAGATGTAGGGAGCCTTTTTTCAAACAGGGACCACATTCCCTTCCGATAGTGGCAGACTTTTGGCTCTCATATTTCAGTGGCACCCTGTGCGACGCTAAAATCCGGCCTCTCCCCGTCAATTGCACCCCATTCTATAGCATTGTTGTGGTGCCCCAGTGCATCTGAACCAGTTACACTACCCTAACAAAGGTGGTGCTGTGGTCTAAACCAATGAGCCTCTTGGGCTTGCCAATCAGAAGGTCAGCAGTTTGAATCCCCATGATGAGGTGAGCTCCCGTTGCTCTGTCCCAGCTCCTGCCAACTGACGTTCAAAAGCACGTCAGTGCAAGTAGATAAATAGGTACCACTGTGGCGAGAAGGTAAATGGCATTTCCGTACGCTCTGGCTTCTGTCACAGTGTTTCATTGCACCAGAAGCGGTTTAGTCATGCTGGCCACATGACCCAGAAAGCTGTCTGTGGACAAACGCCGGCTCCCTCAGCCTGAAAGCGAGATGAGCGCTGCAACCCCATAGTTGCCTTTGACTGGGCTTAACTTTAACTTTTTTTACTTTTTTTTTAACCTAACTCTGCCTCTGCTTCTGAGCAACCTTCCAAAGGCCGCAGGCCCATGGTGGGTCAAGCGAGAGGCCAAAGTGAACAAGGGAACAAATGTGAGTTTCACCTCTGTATAGGAAGGTCATTGCTACACACACTCATTTTCCCCACCTTGTCTCCTCCAAGCAGACAAGCAAGAGGCATTCTCAGAGTTCAGAGTTCCCATTCCAGCCAGGAAAAAGCACTCAGTGTTGAAGCATGGCCAGTGATGGGTATGGCTTGGGCAGAGTCTCCAGGGCCAAACAGAGGGGCATTTATACCCCGGGCCTGAGGTTTCCCTAGCATTCAGCGTCTTACTCTGTCCCTTCCGACACTGCCAGCACTCTTAATGTCTGTCTTCACACCTGGTTATTTTGTGCAATGGCCGCAGCTGCCTCAGTGCCTCGCTGTCCTCGGCAGTGTTATTGGCGAGACCCGCCGTTGCTCCAGCGATTGAATTTTTGTGCTCTGCAGAGCTAAGATGCATGGCATTTGATCATGCCTTGAGTCAACAAGCCCATGGTGCCTTCCCACTCCTTGATCCTGCAGCGGCATCTCAATGCTGAAGTTGTGACAGCCCAGGCATTTCCATGGCGACCAGCTGAGTCATGAAGCATGATAGCATGGCTGCCGGATAAGGCAAAGCCAAGCCGAGAGCAGGTGGGAGGGAAAGCCGTGGCAGGAATGCTGGATTTACATGACCTCTCCTGCAGGTGTTTGCCTTAGGGCAGTAGGGATAAGTTGAATGGGAGAATCAGAACCATAGTGTGCAGCTTGTTTGCGAAACAGCACCACAGTTTACCAACTGCTTCACATTCCTCATGTCTCACAACACCCCTGTGAGCTAGGTCACCATTCTCCCATTTTACAGGTTGGGAACTGAGGCTGAAAGGCAGCACAGAAGTATAGTTTTATTTTTATTTATTTTTTACTTAACAGGATTTATATACTGCTTAATCATCAGATCCTTTAAGTAGATTATTATCCACCTGCCAGGGATATGAAGGCAAAACAACTAATTTAAGGAAGGTTATTTGCTTAAGGTTATTTGAGGAAAATAACCTTAGTTGAGATGTTGTAACCCTTCATGCCATGAGGGGGGGGGGAGCTAGGGAAATGAAGCTTGTTCCCACTTGCCCTTAAGCAATTCTGACCCCTCCCCCCCCCCGGATTAGAATGTCCCCCTGGGATTTAGGAGATGGAAGATTCCTTTGGGGCATCTAGCTGGGTGCAAGACTATTGTCCTTTGTGCCGCAATTGTTTCTTTATGCTGCCAGGATTATGGCAGCTTTGAGCCACTTACTCAGATGCTAGGCATGCATGTAAAAGCATCCCAAGGGATGGATTAATTTAAGCACCCACTCTTCAAAATCTCATTCAGCTTCCAAGAAACATAGAAAGGACGCAATGCCAAAAATAGTTATGGGAATGTTTCAGCTCACTGGAGAGCAAGGGTTGTAATCAACTGGCTTGAGGCTGGATTTTTCTTGTGGCCATTACATTCACCATCTAAGAAAAGATTGTCCAACCCCAAACTCTTAGGAATTTCAGTTCCTGCACCCTGGTGGACTTGTAGTTTTGGGGGGATGTTCCAACCCATGAACCTCAAAGAGCTAGAAACCTACTTTTCCTCATTGCAATTTCTGTACACACCCCTGATTTCCCTTCTGTTATGCAATAATGTCAAAAAAACAAGTTGCTGTGCTGTTTCACGGTGAATTTGGCAGGAGTTACTTAAGGCTACATTGAGGCTGCATGCACGCCAAATGTTTAGAGTGCCTACACGCCCCAGAAATAATAACATTGGGGGCTGTAGTTCATTAAGAGTGCTGGGAATTGTAGGTCTGGCCCTACCATTAGGTAGAGTGAGTCAGTCGCCTCAGGTGGCACCCATGCTTTGAGGAAGATTCAATTTCCAGTCCACTTAACTTCTGTACACGGAATAGTGGGCACCATCTTGACTGCTTTGGGCAGCAAAATGTCTCGGGCCATCCCTGTCAAAGTTCTAGCTGAACAACGACACACAGCGAAATAGATTCTGTAAACCTGAACTCTGGCAGCCCTGAATCTAGAATTTCCCTGCTGGGTGCATAAGGACGTTGGACAAAGCAACTGGGTGAGAAGTTGAACAACAGAAATCTTTCTCGGTGCCTCAGCACAGTTAAGAGTGGCAGAGGGGGCTCTCTTGGTAGTTCTGCCCCCCTCAAAAGTGTGGCCCGGAAGGCAGACGTCTTTCTCTAAGTTTTGGAACTCCCTTCTCGTAGAGGTGCATCTTGCTGTCTTTGTTGTACAGCTTCCAGTCATACACTGAAGACACACCTCTTTACCTTTCACAGTTAAATGAAGTGTGTGGTAAAACTATGGCACTCACTCCTAGTAAAAGAGCATTGGGCAAATCCACGGGAGAGAAAACTATCAATGACTACTTGCCATGATGGCTATCCTCTGGTCGGAGGCAGTAATGTATCTGAATAGTAGTTGCTGGAAACCACCAGAGGGGAGAGTGCTCTTGTGCTTCAATCCTGTTTGCAGTTTCCCCACAGGCTTGGCCACTATAAGAACAGGATGCTGGGCTGCATGGGCCATTGGCCTGATCCAGCAGGCTCTTAAAAGGATTTTGTTTTGTGATATCTACCTCTTCCATATTATTTAAGCCTCTCTATTTCGAACTTAAAAATGGAAAGCGTAATGATGGTGGTCAACAAAAGAGGTTTAAAGACTGTCTGAAGGCAAGTTTTTAAAAATGTAGTATAAACACCAACAATTGGGAAACACTTGCCTGTGAGTGCTGCAATTGGAGAACAGCCTTTACCAAAGGTAAAGTGGCTTTGAAGACACTCGAACTCAGGATGCAAGGGACAAATGTGCTAAAAGGAAGGCACGTTGGCAAATCCACACCATGATCAACTCCTGCCTGGAAACCAACGTCCCCATTGTAGAAGGACGTGTGGATCCAGAATTGGCTTTCACAGTCACTTACAGACTCATTGTTAAAACCGTGTTTATGGAAGACAGTCTTCCTCGGCTATGAGTGATCGCCAAAGAAGAAGAAGATTATTTAAGTCATACTGTTCTGCTTTTGCTTGATTGTTTGCTTTTGTATTTGTATGAAACCTATTTCTGGTCCGTTGTTGCAGCCCGCCCTGGGACATTTCGGTGAAGGGGTGGGGGTAAGAAATCTCATAAATAAATGAAAAATTCACTCTGCCGGGGCGAGACCTGGCAAACATGGGACGTGGTTATTTTTAATGTAGACACCCAGGCTGTTATTCCCCCATAATGCATTGTGCCGGTCTGGTGTTCTCTGCTTCTCCGGTGTTCTCAGAAGGAAACCAAACCTTTTCGTAAGGCCAGAATTGGATTCCTGGCCCATTTTGCTCCCTTGCCCTTCTTATAATGAGCCATTTCGGAGCAGCAGACCCAGTTGTAAAGGCTACTGCTATACGCTGGACTCAAATTTCACCATCTGTTCCACTTCCCTTTTTATTCTCTGGCATCTTGTAAAATATGAGGCTTGTACAGGGAGCAATGAAAATAAGTCAGCCTGATTGTAAAGTGAGGTGCAAGGGGTGGGGACCCGGAGCTTTCTGCTGCTGTCCAGAGATTAAACAGAGAAGGCCCATGGCTAGATTCAGATGCTGTATATCCCAAAATGGCGGCTGCCCTTGAACTCGGCAAACCTATACAAACATGAAGCAGAGCTTTGGCCATGAGGGAAAGTGTGTGAAACTTGCACTTCGTTGTAACTGAATACCCAACCAAAGGCGGCCATTTCTCTCCAGCAGCCACCAAGTTCCTGTCTGGCACGCAACACAGGTTGGAAAATTTGTAACTGGCGCGTGGAAATCTCAAAATTAATACTAAAAGCAACTGCGTTGTCCCTCGAGGAAACCGAGGCTGAGAAATTGTCTGGAAAAAATCGTTTGCAACACTAAGCATTTTCTTAGAGATTTTAGCGTCTGGCAGATTGTCACACATAGGTCAACCCCAAACGTTGGCTCACGGAAGCCCTTTTTATGGTACCCAGAAACCTCCAGCCCCTTTTGCTCAGCACCTTGTGTCTCTTGAGGGTGTGGTCCGTTCCTGCATAGAAGCATTGCTAGCGCTTGTAGAGGGCACACTGCCTTGCATAATGGCTTCATGGTCTGAAAATTATCAGATGGTGTGCCAAGAATCAAATCGCCTCATGCTAATGGCTCAGGGACAAAGCCAAGTTTGATGTTAAATGCAGTTGTGGCCTATTGGGACTTGTGAGACAGAAAGCCAGGAGCCCGACATGATGTGGGGCAAGATCCAAGGACAGAATCCTCCTCCTCAGAAAGGCAACATGGATAGTGAGGAAGGTGAAGGTGACAGCCAGTGCGACTCCTTAGACTGGTTGGAAGTAAGAAGGCAGGCAAATGGGGGCTAGCTGAAGGCAGAGGGAGGCTGGTAGCCCCATCTGACCTAATGGAAGAGCCTCCACTGGTTCAATGCCTCTTCACATGTAAGGACCACCTCTTTCCATATGAGCCTGTCAGGACCCTGAGATCATCTTCCGAGGCCCTTCTTCATGTGCTCCTCCATGAGAGGTCCACAGGGTGGCACACAAGAACGGGCCTTTTCTACAGTGGCTCCCCATTTGTGGGATGCTCTCCCCAGGGAGGTTCGGCTGGGGCAGGGGTAGGCAACCTAAAGCCCGTGGGCTGGATGCGGCCCAATTGCCTTCTCAATCTGGCCCGCGGACAATCTGGGAATCAGTGTGTTTTTACATGAGTAGAATATGTCCTTTTATTTAAAATGCATCTCTGGGTTATTTGTGGGTCCTGTCTGGTGTTTTTACATGAGTAGAATGTGTTCTTTTATTTAAAATGCATCTTTGGGTTATTTTTTGTGGGGCACAGGAATTTGTTCATATATACTTTTCAAAATATAGTCCAGCCCACCACATGGTCTGAGGGACGGTGGACCGGCCCACGGCTGAAAAAGGTTGCTGACCCCTGGGCTGGTGCCTTCATTATACACCTTTAGGCACCAGGCAAAAACATTTCTCTGATTGACATGCAGTGCCCTTTGTGTGTGTGTGTGTTTATTATGCATTTTGCATTTTGATGTTGCGATTTTATGTTTTAATCGCCTGAGACCTGCGGGTATAATTAAATACGAATTTAATAAACAAATAATAAACTTGCAGATTAGATTAAAAAATGCAAATTGTATTAGTTGGGAAGAGCAAATAATTATTGGGAACCCAGAAGGCAAGGATGAGGAAATGGGTACTTTCTTTCCCTGCTGTGGTCATAATGTAAATCCCTTCTCTGAAATGTCACTTCAGGAGCAAAGACACATTTAACGTTCTGTGTAGTTTCACCTGCAGTACTAGTTTTTGATGCATTTAAAAATTGTAGGGGAGAGAGTGAACAGAATGTGTGATTAACTTGTACTTCCTGTTCTCCAAACACTTATAGTCCCCTCTGCTGTTGTGGGGGGGGGGGGAGAGAAATTGATTCAGTTCATATTGAAAGTGTGCCTTTCTGATTTGCACTTTCCTAAAGTAGATGATGATTAAAATGCGGCTATCCTTTGAAATTTGCACTTCTCTGAATTTTTCACTGCAGCTCTCTAGCCAAGCTGTGTGTACAAAAGTGCATTTCCTAGGGGGAAGTGTGGGTACAAATGCAGATGTTAATGAAAAGAACATATGCAATCTGTTAGGGAAGCTTGCTTTACAAAACATGCCAGCGGCAAGGAATTGCCTGTGGGCGGAATGCTCTTGCTTGCGGGTTTCCCACAGGCATCTGGTTGGGCCCTGTGAGAACAGGATGCTGGACAAGATGGGCCAATAGCCTGATCCAGCAATGTCTTTTTATGTCCTCAGGAGTGCCCCTGCAGATGGCAGTAATGTCACAACACTGGGTGAACACAGCAGAACAACTAAAAAAGCAGAATTATGCGTGGGCTGTCCAGTATAAATCCACCACGAATGCACATCAATGACATGTTGAGGCATATACCTGCCCCCCTCTAAAAAAGGCCAGGGGCTGGTGGGGGAGACCAGAGTCATCCAAGCAAGGATCCTGGCTTACCCCATGGGGAAACTGCATATTTACTTAGGGCCTATAGCACCACCATCCAATGGGCATGGGCAATGCCCCATTGGATTCAGATAGGCAGCCTTCATTAATTGTCAGGCTGTTGGAGGTTCATGTGTGATTGCCCAGGAAAGCAGAGAGACGGAGAAATCACAGGCTTTTTAGTCCTTTTTATGGTTATTCTAGGTGCCAAGGCAAGGCAACCAAGCAGCTTTCAGTATCTAACGTTGCTCCAAGTCAAGGTCCATGCCCCCTTTCTCCATACTTCCTTATTCATCAGACTCCTCCTCTCTCCTATGGTTGCTGTTAAGGGCCACCTGCCTTCGAGCCCTCTGCTCTGGTATTCTTATTGAATGCCTGGTTTGCGGGGAGGGAACGGGTTCTGGGAGACTCTTCAGTGACAGCGTGTCGGTCAGCTGCTGCTCAGGCTCAGTCTGCTCAATGCTACCTGATGTCAGGGACTGGACTGAGGAGGAATGGTGGGGGTCAGCCCACCCCCCATTCTCTTGAATCTTCCTAAGAAGAGGAAGACAGTATAGATTTAGAACAGTGGTTTGCAGAAGGTCATAGTTCAGAGGCTGCAGAGGGGAGAAGCTGGGAGATATTGGGAGAGGGGCAGCAGGAAGAAGCACCAGGGGAGAGACAGCTGACAGATTCAGTGTCTTTAGAAAGCATTCCAGACCCCACCCCCCTAGGACCCGGTGGGCATTGAGAGTAGGAGAACAGAAAACTCAGAGGCAGAAAGCACAGATCAGCCAACACAGGGATGACGTAGAATAGGAGAGACAGAGGGGGTGGGACTTTACTCGGAGCAACGACATTATCTAAGAGAGATGGCATCATGCGTCTCTCTCTATCTCTGTGTGAATATTGAATAAAATACCATGGTAAGAATGTCTTGTTTTTCCATTTCTGGCTGCCAGCCGTGAGGGAGGAGGATCAGATTCCCTGAAGTCTGACACCTGGCTCCTCATCTCCCATTACTTCCCAACTTGTTCCCTCTTCTTCTTCTTCTGGGGCAGGGATCAGCAAACTTTTTCAGGAGGGGGCCAGTCCACTGTCCCTCAGACCTTGTGGGGGGCCGGACCCACCGCCTCCCGAAAGCACCCCCCACCTATGCTACTCATGCCGCAGGCACCAACGCTGCCTCGTCTTCGGCAGCATCGGCGTCATCTGTCTTGGCGGGGCACAGAGCCCACGCCACTGGCCTGGGCAGATGAGGCAGCCTTCACTCCGCTGCCGCTTCCTTCCCCCTTGGCCGCTTCCTCCCGCTCGGCCGCCTCAGCGGGAAGGAAGGGGCGGTGCCCAGAGGCGTCCGTGGCTTCTGATTGGCTGCAGGAGCTTCCTGCAGCCAATCAGAAGCCTGCCAGCATCGCTGCCTGCCCAGGCATCCACGGCTTTTGATTGGCTGCAGCCAATCAGAAGCCATGCTGGCCGCGTCATGGAAGTCAGTCTCCGTTCAGCGAGGCCTTTGCGCTGCGCCTGTTTAGCGCAGGGCTTACCGAGCGAGTGGCAGGGTCCGCAAGGTTTGTGGGCCAGATTAACCAGCCCAGTAGGCCGTATCTGGCCCGTGGGCCTTAGTTTGACTACCTCTGCTCTGGGGTGTGCCCTGTGTCGGACCAGTCCTGTAGATCAATACCATCTGCCCCTTCCTCCTCTCTGGAGGGCTCCTGGGGAGGTGGTCTCCACCCCTCCTCTTCATCTGCCCAGCACCTGACATTAATGCTCCATTTGGTTTTTGTCTTTCAGGGACGACCGGCCGGGGCATGTTCCTTCCTGCGCCGCGTCTGCTGCGCCGCTTTGCCTCTCCAGCTGCTCCTGCTCCTCCTCCTTCTCCTCGCCTTCCTGCTGCCTCTCGTAGAGGAGACGCACAGCTGCAAGCTCGCCAACAATTACGCCCGCTCCTTCAACCTGGTGCTGAGATACAACGGCCCACCGCCAACTTAAAAGTCCTCTACGCATGAAGGTGCAGCTGAGGTGACAGATTAAGTTATCCGAGTGGCTTTTCCCTGAGGTGTCTCGCCTCCTGCAGGTCCCCCAGAATCCAAGGCAACTCACTAAGGGACCCGTGTAAACTGGAAACTTGGTCAAATGACCTGCATTGTCCATATAGGCTCAGTCCATAGAAATGAAGTATTCATACTTAGAGCTAAAATTATATTTTTTAAAATATATGGCTATATTTATACTGTATATATGATTTTTATATATGTGTCTCAATGAAAGATATCTTGAAATCACCATTTCCATTTTTAACCCTGCCAATTTTATTGCTGTTCTTATTTTATGCCTTTGTCTTCGTTGAGTAACAGTAGATGTTTCAACTAAATCCTTGTCTAAGCATAGAAACCAAAAGCTAAGGCCTAACCACAAAAGGGGACAAATGTGAGGCTGTCGTGGGGGCAGGGGAAAGATAGCCACACAAGTCAAGTTCCATCTCCTCAACCCATGAATGTTATGAAAACTACAGCTGCCACCTGCTTGAAGAGATCCTGGTTGATTAATTGTAGTTGTTGATTAAGTACTTAAATCTATTCAGTTTGCATGCATTTGGAAATGAGAAAGAACTGAAGCGAAACAGCAAACACATATTGCCTGTATCTTTAGAGCAGGCATAGGCAAACCCGCCCTCCAGATGTTTTGCGACTACAATTCCCATCATCCCTGACCACTGGTCCTGTTAGCTAGGGATGATGGGAGTTGTAGTCCCAAAACATCTGGAGGACCGAGTTTGCCGATGCCTGCTTTAGAGGGTGGACATCTGCTTTTGCACCAGGTACCAGCAGCATGCGGTCAGTGGACTAGGGGAACTAGGCTAGTCCCTTAAAGGCTCCGAAAGCCCTCCTGCCACCCTCTCAAAGCCTGCTCAGCCTTGGGAAGGAGGCAGCTGGGATCCAGCATCCTATCAGAGGCTTGGTGCCTCCTTCCTGAAGCCCGGGAAGCTTCTGCCCAGCTTAGGGAGGGAGGCACGAAGCTCACACCTGCAACATCCCCCTGCAAGCTGACTCTGTTCTCCTACAAAAAAAATCACCGCACACCACTGGAAGGCCCTATCTTTTCTCCCCCGTGTGAGAGAAAATGGGAAATACCTCTTTTACAGGTGATGCTTTCTTTCTTCTGTTTTTATATGTACATGCATTTAAAAGATTTTTTTTTAAAAAACTGCTACCCAGTTAATCAGAGCATTATTATTATTATTTAGTTGTTCAAAAAGGAATTAGTCCGTTAATCTAACCAATTAATCAGCTAACAGTCGCAACCCTGTACCTGTTCCACACGATTGGCTGCGGCAAGATCATACCACATTTTCATAATTACATTCTATGGGTGGAGGAAGGGAACTCCACATGGAGCTGCCTTTTTTTAGCGGCAACCATTGAGCTTCTCACCGCCAGTTCTACCCAAAGTGTGAGAAGGTAAGAGATTATCCTGGGAATTTTGTGGCACCGGAAGACTCAATGTGCCCCTGAGTGAATGCCAGCTTCTGGGAATGCCAGCACAGAGAGTCCTGTTGCAGTCAGGTCCTGCTTATGAGCTTCCCATAGGTACCTGGTTGGCCACTATGAGAATTGAATGGGTCTTTGGCCTGATCCTGCACAGACTTCCTATGTTTTATATGCAAGATGAGGCCCCTGAACCTTGCTGTGCCATCTCGTCTCTCTTCCCCGTTACTGCTACGCTCCTGTTATCAATGCTTTCTCTCTTGCACCCTTAACATAACTTGAAATACTTGAGTCCGATTGACCCCTCTCTGTTGTTTCACTTCTTACCAACCGGCAAAAGATCCTGCCAACCTCAGCAGGAGAGATGTTTCTGAAGGAGGAGGAGGCAGAAGCGTAGGGTGAATGTAGGCAACATAGCAGACATTCTTTCCATGTGCAGAGGTCAGAGCAAAATAGTGGCAGCGTCACTTCAACATTTCAAATGTTATGATATTCCCCCCCCCAAAAAAAAAATTGTTGGAGAAGGGGAAACTAAATTGGAAACACATTTTGGCAGCCTGGGGTCTCCCCACCCCCACCAACCTCCTCTCAGCATGGAATTAATTTTCTGCTAAATATGACAGCACATCCAGGGTCTCGAAAACTTTGCCCTGTAAGACTTCCTCTTCCAGGATGCTGACTTTTCCCCTTCTATCCAGTTTTTCACTCACTCACTCACTCACTCACTCTCTACCCCACAATATTCAGCATTACATGGCCACTCTGCAGTGGGCTGTTGTGAGGGTTCCTTCCTGGCCCCTGCATTGCAGGGCGTTGGCCTAAATGACCCATCCATGGAGAAATCATCACTGGACTTAACAGAGTCTAGTCACCACCCTCCACACCTCAGCCTCTCATATTGCCCAATCCAGCCCTTTTCTCTTTGCAAGTTAGGCCCCATTTGCTCTATACAATAAAAAAAAAAAAAGGATCGTACCATTTTAACAGTCATTGTTTCCCCCAAAGAATCCTGTACTGTGGTTTGTTACCGGTGCTGACAGTTGTTAGGAGACTCCTATTCCCCTGGAGTTCCCAGGGAAGAGGGATTGATTGCTAAACCACTCTGAGAATTGGTTCCCATCCCTGATCACAGACACATGGCTTGCCTTCAACCCTCTGCATAGTTACCTGCGAGTAAACTTGATTGAACTCCGTGATGCTTATCAGTTCCAAGTTGTAAAGCACGTTAGGCTTTAACAAAAGGCCTTCAGCCAGCCGAATCTCAGCCTTTAGCTTTTAAACAATCTTGCAAAGAAGTGTTACCATTTGAACGGCCAGCATGAAGAAGGAACTCCATCAAAGGAAAGGAAAGATGTGTCCAACCTCTGCTTGTTGATTTCTGCCCCCCCCCCTCATTCTCTGACTTCCTCTATGCTGATTTGTCACAAACAACAGAAAAAAACTTCACTGACAACTCAGTTGCTTGCTAGAGCAAGGAGGGTGCACCACTTACCCTGGTGATCTGGAAGATGCTTTCATCCCTTCCGCTCCGGAAAAAAAAGACTGGAACTGCACCCCCTTCCTCTCTCTTTCTGCGCCTATTCCTGCTCTGGCGTCCTTCACTGCCTTTTTGCACTCTGGTCCCATAAAAATTATTCAGAGGAAAGGTCTGCTGATATCGCTTAACTGTGCTTAAAATATTTTGCCGCTGTAGATTACTACTATTAACGTTTTGCAAATAAGGAGGCTGCTTCACAGGGATGTTAGCAGCCCAACTGCACAGGATGTTCTTATGCTGTTGGCTACCCGAGTGTCCACCGGAGGCTGACTTGTTCATTGCTCAACCCGGCACACTCATTAGCCCATGCGGGGGTCACCTAAGGTGGCAGACAAGTCCAGCTTGGTATTCGACGTATCAGTCTGCTCCGAGACATTCCACTTTCTTGCTTTAACCCAGCTGCTGCTGCAGCTGCTCAGCTTTTGTCTCAGCATCCCTGCTCAGAACCTAGAAATTGTTTGTTTGCTGATAGACTATGATCACTTTAGCAGCCATTATCGCCTTTAATCCCTGCTCTCTGCAGAATCATGGTGTTTTCCAAAATATTACACTAGCTCTCTCTTTCATGTGATTTCCCCCCTTTTCTGTGGAACAAAGAAGTTAGCTTTTTTCTTGTTTAGATCCGTTATATTTGTGTAAGGCTAAGAGGCAAGCAGATCCACTCATTTTCTGTCATTACTCCGTGCAGTTCATGTTGTGGTCTTCATTTCTGAGAGAGAAAGAAATCTAGCATTCGATATCCCTCCTTAAAAAAGAAAAAAAATTAAAAACCTGCCTCAGTTCTGTTTAGTTTAAAACCTGGGCATGTGTTTACTAAAGTGTTATCAGGGGTCTCCAAAGAATAAGACTTATCTTGGAAAAGCTGAGCTGACCTGTAGTCTAAACGGCACCACTATAATTGCACAAGGGGATCCACAAGCAACCCATTGTTACTTTTTCTGCTTCGGAAATTGCACAAGGATTGGCTAGTCGTATATTTTTCCAGGCTGTCTTCCCATAAGGCATTCACACATACTGCTGGTGAGGCTGCATTGTCAAGGAGTGGGGAAAGTGGTGGTCTTAACTGGGGTCGCTTCCAGGTAGGAATGGGGGCAGAGGGCGGGGAATTTGATTCAGTTTGCACTTAAACTTACCTAATTTGCACTTTCTGGAAATGCACTAACAGAAACAAGGCCCCCCTTCAGAATTCGTACTTTGCCGAATTTTCACAATGCAGTTCTTCAGACAAGTAATGTCTACGAAGAATGCTTATACTAGGGCAAAGTGTTTGTGTAAATGCATATATTAATGAGCAAACAAACGAAACATGCCGGGTTTCCTCTTTCAAACTGACTTCAACTCCCAGGGAATGGTGGCAGGGGAAAAGCCTATTTTCTGCCTCGAGCCTCCAGTGCAGAATGACTTGTGGAGCTTAAGGATATCATAAGCCAGCCTTTTATTTAAACCTGATAGCTATAGGTTACAAGGAACTACAGTGGTACCCCTGGTTACTAACTTAATTCATTCCGGAGGTCCGTTCTTAAGCTGAAACTGTTCTTATCCTGAGGTGCGCTTTCACTAATGGGGCCTCCGGCATGCGATTTCCGTTCGCATCCTGGGGCAAACTTCACAACCAGGAGCAGCTACTTCCGGGTTAGTGGAGCTCGTAACCTGAAGCGTTCGTAACCAGAGGTACCACTGTAAATGCAGGTATGTACAGGGAATCCAATGCAGGCAAATGAGGAGGCTGATATTCTTATTCTTCTTCTTATTATTATTTAAATTTATATATCGCCCTATACCGACAGGTCTCAGGGTGGTTCACAAGGTAAAATTACAATATAAAACACAAAATACATAAACAAAATATAAACATAAACAGCTGAATAAGCCCATAAAACAGTTAAAAACATTTTTTAAAAAATCAAAAAATACAATTAAAAAGCAGTTTAAAAGAATGTAGTGTTTATCTCGTACTTTGACTTTGATATGGCTAGGATCTTACTTCTTTTTGCTGCTTTTTGTAACTATCTGGTTCTTGGAATGTGCATTAGGATGTGATAGAGGAGAGTTAGAGTATTCCCTCTCATCCCTGTGCCTAGCATAGAAATCAAGCCACCCTCAAGGCAGGACAAGTTAGTGGAAGTCTCCCCGTAGGGTCTGTGCTTTAGAGGCTCCACAACATTTGATTTGTCCTGAAGAGACAGCATGCACTTGCTTTTTCCAACAGCAATAGTTGACTTGAACATTGGAGAGTGCCTTACAGCAGAGATGCAGGATTGGGGGCCCTCCAAACGTAGCTGGACTCCAACTCCCATAATTCCCAACCATTGGGCATGCTGGCTGAGGGCAGTGAGAGTAGGAGTCAAACCATTTGCTTGGTGGCGGCAGCTCTCCAACATCTCAAATCGAGGTACTAGCCTCACTAGAAGTGGTGGGAAGTCAGGGGAAGCGCAGTCTCTGCCATAACTAGATACCCTTTCCTACTCTGCCCTCCCCACAATTAAGCAGCAAATTGGCAGACGGACACCCCACTTTAGGTACACAGGAAGCAGCCCCTGTCTAATGTGTCATTCAGCAATATCAAAAGCAACACGATGGCCAGAAACAATAACAATGTGAAAAACTTTATGGAATAATTTAAAACATCAAAACTAACAAACTGTAGTCAACAGTGACTACATGATCGCATGAGCACTGTTCGCAGAGTATTTTTTCATTACAGTGGTACCTCAGTTTACATACGCTTCAGGTTACAGACTCCGCTAACCCAGAAATAGTGCTTCAGGTTAAGAACTTTGCTTCAGGATGAGAACAGAAATCGTGCTCTGGCAGTACGGCAGCAGCGGGAGGCCCCATTAGCTAAAGTGGTGCTTCAGGTTAAGAACAGTTTCAGGTTAAGTACGGACCTCCGGAACGAATTAAGTACTTAACCCGAGATACCACTGCATATCTATTCGAAAAAAGATTGGTTAATGAAGAAATTACATATCTTTCTACTTACAAGTGTTGAACTAATTGGCTGATGAAGAATTCAGCAAAACAGAAGTTGTTATCTGGAAATACTGTTCAGCAGAGTTCAGAATTGGACATCAGATTTGGACGTTTGCTGATTATACAAAGCTTCACAGCTTGATCTCCACTGGGTAAAGTCTGACACCGTGATTCATTTAAGGACTTTCAGAGACTTTCAGACACTTCAGTTAGTTTTAATGTTTTGAATTATTCCATAAAGTGTTTCATATTGTTATTGTTTCTGGCCATCGTTGCTTTTGATATTGCTGACTCATATTTTGCAACACAGGGGTTTGTTTGTTTACTCGTTAATGTGTCATTCAATCAGGAAGGAAAGGCAACGCATTTTCAAACATGACTCTCTTGCTCCAGCTTTGTCATATGGCTTTTACAAGCTCAGCCGTGCATTTTGATGCCCGGAGCCCCACTTCCTGCTGGAAATGTGTGAAAATGCCACTGTTAGGCCGATTGTACTACACAGCAGGGTCTTGTGTTTCTCAGAAGGAAAAGACGGGGGTAACCGTGAGCAGGCGGCAGTAACAAAGCATTTACCTGCAATCTTTCTCTTTTTCACAAGCCATTGATCAACGTCTCCTCCTGGAATTAGTGTAGATTGGTTCCAAAAAAGGCATAGCAATTTTCTAGAGAAGGCGGCAAACTGGTCTTGTTCCCACCCACTTGCCTAGCCATAATTTTCCTGCAACCCCAGTTGTTACCTGGGGGGTGCATGTCTATTTTTCTCAAAACGAAAAGCCTTTGTCAACTCCAATAAGAGTAAAAGAGCGCAGGCTTGGCATTGCCTCGCACATGCATCTGCCTCATAGCTCCATAAGCAGAGCCTAACCATTGCTGTGATCTGTATATAATAGGAAATGTCATAATTGCACTATTTAAAGGAAGGTGACGTTCCACATCCATATAATTTTCATGCCCAGCTTTATAAAAAGGAAGAATGCTTTCATAAAAGTGGAGAGGGTTTTTTTGGGGGGGGGGGGAGCTTATTGTGCTAAGCTTTCCCTTCTGCTAAGGCTTGATCCTGTTAGTTTCAGATAATAAAAAGGGTTCTCATTCATTCCATCCATGCTATTGGGATTTTGCTGGAATTGACCTCTTTATGGTGCTGCCGGGGGGGGGGGGGATGTTTGAATTTTGAACTGAATATTGCATTTTTCTCAAGTTACATGGATACCCATGGATTTGTGTTTGAATTATCAGGGTTTTTAACTTTTAGACATAAAAGCAAAGTAAATGGTGAAAATACTGATTATCTGGGGGTGCCTTTTCACAGCAAACTAATATATATAACTAATATTTATGACAATTTAACTTCCATGGCTCCCTGCCCCCCCCAAAGAATCCTGGGAATTGTAGTTTTGGAAGGGTGCTAAGAATTCTAGCCACTATACACATAATATCATTAGTGCCAGATTTAGTTACGTCTCTGAAGTTTAAGAACTTTCAGTCTGGCCAGTATCTGGATGGGTGATTGCCTAGGAACCTTATCTAAGCATGCTACCTTTCCTGGTATTTATTTTCTCTATGGTTCTGTCCTAGAGGTAGATTTTTCAAGTACTTTTGTTGTTGGTCCTTCTACCCATACACCACATTTTATCAGATACTCTGCTATTGTCACCCATCTGTAAAAGCTTAGAAACTCCTAGGAAGAAATATCTCACAATCCTAATATGTGAAGAAACCTTTAGCTTCACATGATAATGATTTTTCATCTCCATAGCATCTCAAACAACTTACCCCAAAACTTAACACTTTTATGTGTGTGTGTGTGTGTGTGTGTGTGTGTGACTTCACAGTGAGCTGATCTTACATGCAGATATCTGTACAAATGGCTGTTTGAAATGTTTTTCCAGTGTTAAAACAACCAAGAATTTTATGACACCTTAAAGACTAGCACATATATTGTGGCATAAGGATGTATCTGATGAAATAACCTCTGGTCCATTGAAGCTGGCATGACAATATATTTGTTATTCTTTAAGGTGTCAGAAAAACAGATAGCATTCTGGGACTTCTTTAGTCAGTGAACCTGAACCATGCATGAATTTTTCTTATGAACTGGACACCACTCCATAGTGTTTTTTGGAAGGGGAACCATTATGTGTACGGCTTATTTACATAATACGATATAGTACCAGTCAAGCAAATTGATGAGCTACAGATCATCACAAAAAGTCTGGTACCAATGAGTGTCTAGGAATGCAAACCACGGAGCAGTGCTTCTATGCATGATCCAGTGAAATGAATGGACTCTTAAGTGTGACCGGTGCTCCAATCCACGGGTATATCGATTGTGCTTTAAATTGCAGTGACACCAGTTTCTACTTGCAATTCTGCAACGTAAGTCAACTCATTGGGTGTTCCATCTTTGCTTCTTCTGTACAGTGCACCAGGCAGCAAAATGCTTTTGTGTGTGTGTCAAAAGTAAACCACTTCATTTCTGTAACTTTTCTATTCGTGCTAACTTGAGTGTGTTGTCGGCTCAGGAAAAGGGAGCAAGGCAGGATCATGATCATTCTTTAGCCCAGGGAGAAGATCGTCTTTCCTGCCTTCCAGAGATAGAACCTCGTTTCTTACCCTGCATCACCTAGAAGAGATAGAGATGTGTTTTATATTGAATCAAAACTATGCTGCACCTTGCCCTGGGCCTTCTAGTCACCAGCTCAACAAATCTCAGGCAGGCATCCTTCTCAGTTTAGCACCCGAGATCTTGAATGGGAGATGCTATAGACTAGTCTTCCTCAACATGATGCCCTCCAGCTGTTAGACTGCAAGTCTCATCTTCCCTGACTATTGGTCATGCAGACTGGGACCAATGGGAGTCAGAATCCAAAATGTCTAGACAGCACCAGGTTGGGAATACTGCTGTAGACCAAATCGGAGGCATTAAGTGTTGATTTAAAGCAGAGCCTCGTGCCCAGCGGAAGGATGAGGAAAATGTGTTACATACTCTATATTGCTTTATTTACAGTTCAAAGCTGGTATATTACAGAAAGACATCTTGCCTCTGCAAGAGCAGAAAATGCATCCTCTCTCCTCCACAGCTTGGAGAGAATCACAGTGAAAAACAGGAAACCAGTGTACGTCACATCCAGTCTCCCTTTCCCGTGAGAAACTCCAACAGTACAGACTGTGGAATGTAAAACAATGTCTTGTGACTGCAGTTGCTGCTCAGTGAGGGAAATAGAAACCAACATCCTCCCCCTTTCTGTGAACATCACTGGGCAGCGTGTTTGCACAATATCAGTACAAACCCAACTTCTGCACATAGGTACAGTGTTGATCCCTTGATACAATCTTGGACAATACATCAGCAGGAATTTCATTACCTGGCATATAGGACACCGTTACAAGTCCCTTCTGAATACATTCCCTAGCATGCTGCAACTTTAATTGCAAGTGCTTTGTGCTTTGCTTACAACCTTCAGACTTGAGCAAAGCCAAACATGCTTTGTTGTCCTGGTAAACCTGGATTGGACATTTGACAGGAATTTTCATATCTTTGCACAATTGTACTAACCATTCACAATCTTTAAGTGAATAAGACAGTGCATTCAGTTCAGCTTCACAAGTACTTAAGCTAACTGTTGTTTGCTTCTTGCATGACCAATCAAACAGACTCTGATTGTACATGTAGCAAACTCCAGACGTACTTTTCCTGTCTGTAGTGTCACTTCCAAAACTTGCATCTGCAAATATCTCAAGACCACCAGACTTCTGATTGTTAAATCTCAGTCTGTAATGCATAGTGCCTTTCAAATACCGCGCTATGCGTTTCAGAGCTTTCCAATCCTTGACACTAGGATTGTTGACTTGTCTGCTTAGCAAATTACAGCTAACAGCAATGTCTGGTCTTGAACATCTGGCAATGAAGTTTAGCTTGCCTAGCACACTCCTGTACAGTGTAGTGTCAGAAAATGCTTCTTCAGTGTCATCTACCTGATAACCTGTTGTCATCGGTGTGTCTACAGGGTTAGCATCCATCAGATTTAGTTTGCTTAACACATCAGCAATTTTCCGTGACTGGTGTACTAGAATGTTACCATCTTGATCTCTCTCTATTTCCAGAGATAGGTAGTTGTTTACCTCACCAAGATCTTTCATGTCAAAGTGCTCTTTCAGTTGAGCTAGGGCGCTATTGTACATTGCGACATCTTTCCAAAAGAATAATAAATCATCAACATAAAACAAACAGTACAGTTTCTTTTGCCCCTCCTCTTTGATAAATACACATGGATCAGCTTTCCCTTGCTGAAAACCTAGAGAAAACAATACTTCAGTGAGTTTTGTGTGCCAACACCGTGCACTTTGTTTGAGACCATAAAGGGATTTCTTCAGAGCACAAACAAATCCCTGTTTTACCTTTACGCCATCAGGTGGAAGCATATAAAGTGATTCATCTAGAGATCCGTACAGAAAAGCTGTATTAATATCATGGTGACTAATGTGTAGATTTTCCTCTGCAGCTAGCTTGAGCATAAGCCTAATGCTTTCATATCTCACTGTGGGTGAATAGGTCTCGTGATAGTCTTCACCTGGTACCTGTGCAAAACCTCTGGCTACCAATCTGGCTTTGTGTCTGACTATCTTGCCATTTTGATCTGTCTTCGCTTTGAAGACCCATTTGCTTCCAAGCAGTTTCATTCCTGGAACTACTGGAACTAGCTCCCATGTTTTGTTCCTTTCTAAGGAATCAAGCTCAGCCTTCATGGCATTTAACCATGGCTCAGCTTCCTTTGAATCCAAACCCTGGATTTCTTGGAAACTTGAAGGTTCAAATACCTTCTTGGAGCTTTTAACAGCTGTTACTGCTATCTTAGCAAACTCATCAGCAAATCTCTTTGGAGGTTTGCCTTTTGTGGCTCTCTGTGACCTACGAATTATCCTTAAGTCTTCAACACTCTCCTCTTCCTTCTTAGGAGAAAAACGACCTATTGTGAACAATGGTTCCTCCAATTCTTGATCAGAGCTTTCAGAGGGTCGCATAGAGGCTTTCGCACTCTTGAAATCCTCTGAATCACCCGATTCAGTTTCAGATTCAGACTCAGAACCTTCATCAGTGGGTGTGGGTTGTTGTGGTTGCTTTTGACTATCCTCAGTCTCATCACCGTCATCAGGATAACATTGGAAAATTCCCACATTCTCCCCCACTTTGCATTGTACTCGACACTTCTCGTGAGCTTAATTGTCTTAGAGTCAGTCATCATTATTCTGTAAGACCCTTTCTGATAACCTAGAAAGATACCATGCAATCCACGCTTGTCTAACTTGGAGTTTTGGGGTGAGCGAACCCACATGTCAGAACCAAAAATCTTCATGTGTTTGATGTATGGCTTCTTGCCAAACATCTTTTCATAGGGGGTACAATCAATCGCTGAAGATAACCTGCGATTGTAACTGTAAACAAAACACGAGAGAGATTCGGCCCAATAACTCTCTGGAAGATTGGCATCATGCAGCAAGGTTTTTAGTCCTTGAAGCAATGTTTGATTTGCCCGTTCCGCAAGTCCATTCTGCCATGGCGAGCGAGGACTAGACAAATCGTGTTGAATTCCTTTCTCAGTCAGAAAAGCTTCAAACTGCTGAGAAGTGAATTCCCCGCGATCACTGAAAAGAGTCTTTATCTTCTTACCATGCACATTTTCCAACCAAGCACAGAATTCCTTGAACCTAGGAAAAGCCTCCGATTTCTGCTTGAGATTGTACACAAAAATATATCTAGAAAATGCATCAATGAGAACCATGAAGTATCTATTTCCACCCAAAGAGGGCGATAGTGGTCCAACCAAATCAGCATGAATAACCTGGTATGGTTCTGTAGCTTTCCTACTAGACACCTTACCTTTCGCAGCCATTTTCACCTTGTTTGCTGCGCATGCTTTGCACTTCATGTGGTACCTGCAGGGTTTAATAGTCATACCTTCAACCAAGGCAGGCATTTTAGATACTGCCTCAAAATGCAAATGACCAAATTTGCGATGAAAATCGTGAATACATTCTGCATGCAAACTTTTGTTAGAACCTGCAATGCAACAAGTGTCATCCTGCACCATATCATCATAATACAAAACAAACAAACGATCAACATATTCTGCATGCAATACATAATCATTTTTCTTTGTGATGATGCACTTCTTGTTCTTGAAGGAAACGTCAATGTTCCGCTCATTCAGCTGTCCAACGCTGAGCAGATTATGTTTGGCGTCTGGCACGTAAAGCACATTCTGTATCGATAAGTCCAAACTGTGAAGAACAACAGTTCCGTAGCCTTTACTGGGAATAATGTGGTCATCCGCCTGGTGAATCGCACCTTCCTGCGGTGTAAAAGACACAAACAGTTTCTTATCGTTGCACATGTGGTGGGTGGCCGCTGAATCAACAACGAAGAAAGATCTAGACGTCTTCTGGACCTCTGCAACCTTTGGAGTGAAGCGTGAAACCATAGCCTTGTGCTGCGTTGTCCTAGACACCGGACCTTTGCCTTTGCCTCGGCCTTTTCCGCGCGATGAGCTTTCGCTGCGCTGCTCTGTCTTGGCCCTGGGATGTCTGCATTCCCTCTTCATATGGCCTAGACGTCCACGCGAGTAGCATTTCACTGCCTTCAAAGCTTTGGCGCCATCTGGTGGTTCCACTGCACTATGGGATGACGTCTGTGAAGACTCCCCCCTTGCCCATGCAGCTAGCACCCCGGCGATCTGCTTCATTTAAAATCACGGCAGTAACAAAGTCCACTGTCAGCTGAGCAGTTGGTTGCACAGCAATCTGGGTTGCAACAGACTCCCAACCTGAACCCAAAGATTGTAGTATCATGAAAGAATACACAGCCTCTGGAAAGTTGAGTCCTCTCTGTTGCAGCTCATGTCTCAGATTTTGCATCTCCATCAGATGTAAACGTACATCTCCACCTTCAGCAAGAGCCATATTATGCAGCTTGTTAAAGTAATACATAGTAGATCCAGCTTCTGTCCTTAAGTGAGCCTCTCTCAGAGCGTCCCAAATTTCTCTGGCTGAGGTCTTATCACGCAATAGACAGAGCTCTTCTGGGGATACTATCAATGTAAGAGTTCCCCTTGCTTTGGAATCCTTAGCTTCCCATGCATCTGTAACTGGAACTGGGGGGGTTGCTGTAATCACCTCAAACAAACCCTCTTTCCGCAGAATTGCCTCTGCATACTGAACCCAGTCACTGTAATTCTTCTTGTTGAGCTTAGGAATCCCACAAGCATCCTGAAGGGCCATCATGACTCTGGCATTAGCCTTCAGCGTCATTATATGCTGCTTTAAATCTTGCTGCGTCACTGCTGCAGCTGCCTCATTACAAAGGCACACTTAAAAGTTACTTTCGATTTCCCCAGCATAGTGACTTGTGCCTGGGAGCCTTTTGCCTATTTGCAAAACCGGCTTTAAAAGTTCAAAGTCCAGCCATAAAGCCATTATCTTGAAGCTGGCAGGCTGCCCGGAGCAGTAGCACATACCTCATCAATCACTTCTTCGCGCAGAGCAGATTCCTTTCCGATCCGTCCCTCTGCATTCCGATCCTTTGCCGGCACTCCGATTCGACCTCTGGGCCCATAACCACGTGTTGATTTAAAGCAGAGCCTCGTGCCCAGCGGAAGGATGAGGAAAATGTGTTACATACTCTATATTGCTTTATTTACAGTTCAAAGCTGGTATATTACAGAAAGACATCTTGCCTCTGCAAGAGCAGAAAAATGCATCCTCTCTCCTCCACAGCTTGGAGAGAATCACAGTGAAAAACAGGAAACCAGTGTACGTCACATCCAGTCTCCCTTTCCCGTGAGAAACTCCAACAGTACAGACTGTGGAATGTAAAACAATGTCTTGTGACTGCAGTTGCTGCTCAGTGAGGGAAATAGAAACCAACATTAAGATGGAGCTATGGCCCTTCTTTCCAAGTTACCTTATCATCTCATCTCATCCTACCTGACAAGACACATGATCAATGGAGCTTACTGGTGGTAGTAAATAGTTGGGACAGAGCATTTCCACGTGTTAGAGAGATTCTCTGGGTCCCTTCAGAGAGCAATTAAAGCACATTCAGCACAGATTTAAAGCACATGGCTTCCCTCAACAAACCCTGGGAACTGGAGTTTTGCCCTCATGGAGCTTTAATTCCCAGCACCCCTAAGAAACTACAGGTTCCAGGATTCATCGAGGGAAGCTGTGGGCTTTAAATGCATGGCGGGGATCTGCCAGTGGATCTGTTAATGTATAGAAAGATTGGCTACATGCAGACATGTGTTCCTAGAAGGCCCTGCATAGTTCAAGGAACGGGTTTCGTAAAACAACACAGGTGGCTGAAGCAAGTGTACATCGTTCCCAGCTTTCCTTGGCAATCATGGTCCTTTGACAATGGACTACTAGGACACAGGCTTCATATTTCCTGCTACCCCACCCCTTTTTTGATGTTTTAGCTTGGGCACTTATAAACACCCCATACTGTAGGGACCATTTCCATCACACTGTCCTAGGGTGTGTGGTTTTGAACTATGTTTGTAGAAGCTGGGCTCATTTTAGCTTAAAAAGTGTGGGCCCAAACAGATGCCTCAGTACATGTGCGAGATATGGCAGTTTGTACCTTATCTTAGGCAGATTTTGTGTCCTGGACTTTTTAAAGCTTTCTGGCGGCATACAGAGAAATGCTGAGCAGCCTAACTCATTCACAAGATAGAGTTGCCATATTTCAAAAAGTAAAAATCCAGACACAAAAGTTACGTTTTTGAGCTGTTTTTAAGGAAAATCGGCAAAAACGACACTGCCAACATGGGTTGCCATATGTCCGGATTTTGCCAATTTCCACCCAGACACTGCCTCTGAATGCAATATTCCAGGTATGTCCAGGAAATTCCAGACATTTGGCAACCCTGTCATGAGACTGTTGTCTTTTTGAAGAGCTGCACTTTTTAAAAGAAAAAGATAGAAAGAAGAATCCTCTGCGTGCTCATTTAATGTCACTGTGGTATTTTTGTAAATGGCTTTTTTTAATTAAAAAAAATGCATATATTTTTATTCTAATAAATGCCTTCCTGTTTGTAAGCTGTCGTTTCAGTTTGGTTTTTTTGTGGGGGGGGGGGACCCCTCTATTCCAAAAGGGGTTCTGCACATGTCACATGGAATCCAGATGTCTGAGGAAGTTGAACAATGAGCAGATGATACTAATTTTAGGCACATCCACACTATTCATTTAAAACACATTTGAAGCATATGGTTTCCCCTAAAGAATCATGAGAATGGTGGTTTGTACAAACATAGCACTTTTTTTGTTACTAAATCAATGAAAAATGGAACTGTGGTTTGTTAAGGGGAGGCCATGTGTTTTAGACGCATGATGCGGCTGTGACCCTAGTTGCAACTAATAAAATAATCGATTTGGGGAACTTCTTACTATTCGTTATGGAGGAATGTAATATGCCAGCCTATTGTAGACAATTTATTCTTTCTCCCTTCAGTCTGATCAATAGCACACTGGTTTCCTATTAAAAGAACAGCTTCTTAACTTAGGCGAATAGTATGATTTGGCTGCTCTCTCTTCAAGTGCTGCCTTTCGTACGCCTTTGCTTCACTCAGTTTATTCCTCCATCCCCCTTCTGACACATGGCATTATGACACAGGCAGTAGTTGGCGCCATTAAATATGCAACCGAGTGGTGCAGCAATAAAACAGCTAGCACATTTGCAAAGCTAAGCAGGGTCCAGCATGGTTCCAAAGTGGATGGGAGACTGTGTCTTGAGATTGTTTGGACTGGAATGCCCTTGGGGTGTCCCTTCCAATTCTAAGATTCTCCTAATAAGCATTAATACCCGCTTAATCTCCAGCCTGCAGAGTGTACAGAAAAGAAAAAGCGCAAGTCCTACCACCCTCGCGCACAATATCCTAACGCATCTTTACTTAATTCTGGCAAATGTTTACAGGATTGCAGCCCTAGTGGGCATTCGTTGGGATGACACCACTGGTCATATATGGTGGGGGTAGGTGGCTTCATTTAGCAAAGCAGACTTCAACCTCTCTGAGAATCGTGGCTCTCTCGTTTATTTATTTAACAAAACACTGCTGCAGATGGTTGCTTATCCTGTTGCCACTGGGCTAGCCTCGGCATTACAAAAATCCTCCTATTTAACCCAAATCTTTTCTCTGCGAGTGCCAGACCAGGGCAGTCACTGAGAACAAGTGGTTACTATTCAGATTATGGCAGCTCTGGGCTTTCCCTCACCGCAGCTTTCTTCCTAGGGCTAAGAATGTTCAGCTTCCTTGGCCTCCTCAGTCTTTTCCAATTAGTTTAACTGTAGTACCCCAGGTGAATGAAAAGTGACAGAATAGCCTTTTGCTGCCCACTTTGACGGCGCTGCGAATTTCTGTTCGTAATACTATCTTTGTTGCGATGCCGGGAGGCAGGCTGAAGTCTAGCCCGTTAAATGAAAAATGGGGACCAAATCGCCAAGGAACATAGTTTCAACCAACGACACCGAGCCCTCACAATTTCCACTCGGTTGAACAGCAGTTCTGGGTCTGTTTCCAGAAGCAAGGCCACACATCTAGAAGTAAGTAATCCAGGGCCAATGAAACAACCCCATTTTGTCAAGGTTGAGCCATAAACAGCTGTCAAGAGGTGAGCCAGGAAGTCGGAGCTGAAGAACACACAGATACATGCCAGGTGTAGGGAGATGTTGAGGCAAAGACTCAGCCCAAACAGGAACATGTTTGAGACCTTTGCGTCCAGGCAGCAGAGCTAGCAGAAGATATTTTGCTGCCTGAGGCAAAGAACAAGATGACGCCTCTGACCTCCCTCCCTGCCACTTTTCCATGCACAGAGGCTGAATGGCCCAGCAGTTGATTTTTCCTTCAACATTGACAAGTGGATAGTGTTCTCCAATGTGCCTGAGGGTAGCAGGCTACTTTCAGGAACATATGACAGGCCTGTGGGGCATACAGCTCCGGCCTCCAACAAGGGGCACCAATGGGGATGTCTGAGGACTCCATGTTGGGGACTCCAGAATTATGTTAGAGAAGAAAGCAGCAGTTACCATATGCAGCCTCTGCTTCCAGACAGATGGTCAGGGAAGTTGCTGGATATACTATTGAGCTACATGAACACAGTGACAGTTGTTGTTATCTTACCCATCCTGCACCATAAGGTCAAGAGGAAGTTATAATATTGTTGCACACAGCCTGAAGTTCCAGCTGGCAACAGACTCCAGGGGTTTCTGAGCTTACTCAGGTTCAGTTTCCATGTACAGTGGTACCTCAGGTTACAGACGCTTCAGGTTACAGACTCTGCTAACCCAGAAATAGTACCTCAGGTTAAGAACTTTGCTTCAGGATGAGAACAGAAATTGTGCAGCGGGAGGCCCCATTCGCTAAAGTGGTACCTCAGGTTAAGAACAGTTTCAGGTTAAGAACGGACCTCCGGAATGAATTAAGTTCTTAACCTGAGGTACCACTGTACAATGAAGGTGCCAAATGTGCCTCTGTGTGGAAGGGAATGCCACAGGTTAGGGAACACCAAAGTGAATGTCCTTTCCCAGGCCACATACGTGAACTTCTGAGTGTGGTGGAACAAGAGAAGGGTAAACACAGTTCCCAATCACACAAGTGTTTCTCTATCCCACTAGAGCAGTCTTTCTCAACCTGTGGGTCCCCAGTTGTTATTGAACTACAACTCCCATCACCCCTAGCTAGCAAGGCCAGAGCTCAGGGATGATGAGAGTTGTAGTCCAACAACATCTGGGGACCCACAGGTTGAGAACCGCTGCACTAGAGATATATGCAAAAAGAGAGCGCCTATTTATGCTTTCAAATGGTCCCTAGCTAAGTCATGGCATCTTGAGACAGGGAGTGCATCAAATGCATTTCAGTGGATTTACAGTCTGAGTCTTCTGCTTTTCCCTTCAAGTCGGAAACGCGCTTGCCAGAATAAAAGCAATTTCAGGAGCTGTGCCATAATGCTCTTCTCCCCAATTCAATGGCACCATCGTTTAGATTTCTATAAAAGTGAATGGAAAGGGACAAGACTGCCAGAGATGAAGTGATAGTCATGAAATGAGCACTAACAGGCAGCTACACAGTTGGAGCCATCCTTGGTTCAATCCCTCTCAGAAACATTTAGCACTGAAATCTGACCTTGTCTAGAGGGTTCGGCCAAATGCATCATGCAGGAGAGATTTAATGCAGAGGAATTAGATTTTTTTGTTTGTTTTTTTTGTTTTTGTCCCCCTTTAGGTTAATATTTCAAGCTTTCAGAATTTTATTTCTTGTGATTCTGTGAAATCAAGTCTCCACCTCCAGCTGTGGAAAATCACTCACGATAAACCCATATTGCTGCAGTGGAATGAAGCCGAAGTCTCATCCAGTTTAACTGTAGCATTTGTGGCATTACTAAGGATTGTAATATAATCTTCTTCAGTGAATACACCAAACAGATGGTATCAGCTGGGCTGCACCGTACTGACTATAGACCTTTCGATACAGCTCCCTTAGTGGAAGCCCTGTTCATAAATTGTACTAATGGGCTGTTTAATTTTTTTTTTAATAATTTTTTGCAAAGTCTATGCATGCACTCCATCAGAGTAATGTGGGAGAGATGTGGTTAACAGTGTCCATAAATATGTATAATTCCCATCTGCTGTGCATTACAAATGCACTAAGTATTTCATGCCTCTTTCTCTCTGTCTCTCCTCTTTTTTTGTTTTTGTTTTTTGTTTTGTTTTACTATTCAGGCAAATAAAAAGAGCTAATCTTTCAGAGGAATGTTTCCTGATTGGCAGTTTGAATGTATACATAATATAAAAAAAACTGTTTAGCTGTCCATCTTTCTATATTTTTTGGTGGATCCCCTTAAGGCAGTCAGCTGAACCAAAGCAAGGCTCCGTGAACTATTAAATGACTTTTCCTCCCTCTTCAACTATTGATGGTGAGAGAGAGAGAAAGAGAAATGGAGATGATGGACGATCTGTTCCATCTGCTGGGATTTCCTGACTTCCAAAGAGATAACACAATGAAGTGAAAATGGAGACAGGGAGCAGATCATGACCGGTTGCCAGAAAGGGGATCATTTGGAATACCTGGGAGCTACCTAATGACGTTGCTCCTTCCCATCAGCAGTGCTTTTTATTACCAATAACTTAAAGCCACTTTCTCATTATGGGATAATAAAGTATTGCAAAGGTGCTACATGACAACCATTTCTCGTCATATCATTTCTTAGCACAGGGGTTGCAAAGCACCCAGACGATACATCTCTATAATTTAGGCATTGGGCTGTGTGTGTATTTAACTTCCAGGCACACATTCAAATCCATTTTGGGGGGTGGGGAGCCACATCTTTGATAATTTGCAAATGACAAAACTGTGCAAAGGTTCTGGCTGCTTCCCAACATGGACCTAAAGGTTGATTTTCAGAAGTTAAAGAACTAGGATTGCCATCTAAATTGAATTGACCTATAACCTAGGGTGTGTGTATGTCATGATTCCATGGGAGTACAGAAATATGGTATAATGCCATATACTGAGACTCTCAGCTTTCTTTTCTTTTTAAAAACAAGTTTCTAGTCCCTGTTGGATTTAGCTGGAAGTATTGAACCAACACTTGATGAAATATGGGAAGCCAAAGGATGATATTTCCAGTGATCAGGGGTGAAGTTTCATTGTCATAGAAGGCTCCTTGCCTTTCCTTGTTACTCAGTTATGAAAATAAGTTTAAAATATGAAATACATTTTGGAAAAACAAGCCAAACCTTCATGTAGTTTAGGCAGATCATAAAATGATACTTCTCTCAGTGAATTACCTGTGTCTGTAGCAGTGGCATAGCAAGGTCAGGTGGTATCCGGTGCGGAAAATTTCTTGTCACCCCCAACCACACACACATTGAAATCTATTTGGAGTCCCAAGAGATTGCGTTCTACTCATAGTATAAAAAGACTGGCTGTGATCTACCCATTGTCATTGCCAGAAGTTGCTGAGCTTTTTTTAGGGAAAGATTGATCAAAGTTGTTAGGGGAGGGTTGGCCAAAGTTGTTGAGCTTTTTGGGGGGTTGCAGAGTTTGGGTCCTGAGTTGAAGGAGCTTCTCTCCTTCCTTCCACCCTCCGCTTGTTTGCTCGCCTGCCTCCTTCCCGTCCTCTCCCTGCCTGCCTGTCTCCTCCAGCAGCCCGGGAGTGCAGGGCTGTCAAAACAAAAGGGGAAGGGGGGAAAGCAGCCGGCAAAGTGGCAAAGCTCCCCCCATCCCCATTGGCCTGATTCAATTACGTGCATGCATCCAAACAGCAGCAACAAAGGAGACTTGATGCCATGGCTACATTCATCTGTCACACTAAACTTTGGTTTGATGACATGTGATATTAGTCTCGTGTCCTACTAGCCCTTGTGCATTACAGTACCTCGCTCGCCTCCAACATCTTTAAGGCCAAGAGAGGACCTTACAAGCTTTCACTTTCAGTTTTAACCATTTGCAGTTTGTCATGCAGTCCAAGCCAACAAACCATGGTTGATGGTGGCCATGGTTAGGATGGAAGAGGAGTTTGGTTAGGTTCACCTTCACAATTTGCTCATCCTGAGACAGCATGCAAAATGAACCACAGCTGTCCTTTGAAATTTGAGGTGCAGTTCTCTAACAAAAAAGAAAACCAAAACGGGCACAAAAATGTGTATATTGTTTAAAAATTCAGGTACTGACAATAACATACAAAAAGGCATTAGGGAAAGTGGCTTGCAATAGTGTGCATAAGGCAAAATTGCACACACAAAATGTTATATTCCCTTTTTCAGGGAAGTTTTTTGTTTTTAATATTTCGTTGGGAGCCGTCCAGAGTGGTTGGCGCAACCCAAGTCAGATGAGCGGCATATAAATAATAAAATTATTATTATTATTATTATTATTATTATTATTATTATTATTATGTAATGCAGGAATGATGGGAGCCCTCACTCGACACAACAAGCGTATCCATTAAGCTGTTTGCAGCAACAGTTCGTACCTGGATTATTAAAAAGGAACTGTAACCCTAGGTCATGCCAGTAAATTCTTATGTGCCATTCAGGTAAACTTCCTTCTTTTTTAAAAAGATCAATAATGTTAAACTATGAGTCATGCAAATATAGGAAACAGTACAGCCCAGAACGCAAGTGACCCCGGCAGAGTCTGATCCACTGTCACTTATAATACCCACACGAGATGAGAGTTATGGGTTCCACCCTTCCCCCCCCTTTTTATTCTTGTACAAATGAACTGCTGTAACATGTATGAAATCTCTGCAGGCCATCTGTGGCAGTAATTCATTTAGCTGAAGTTGTACAGAACAGATACACACAGTGAGAAGTGGAGGGGAAAGTCGCAGCGAAGAGAATCTGTGAACCGTGTCTAAAAATATAAATTAAAATATATATATATCAATTGTCACTTTTGATGAATCAAGTGCCTGATGCAGATATGGGCAGCCAGTGGAGGTTGTGGGGGGAGAGCCATAGCAACTAGATAAATACGTTTTAAAACATTTTAATTTTGATACATTGGAGTGAACAGCAACAGGGGCTGGCTGAGGTTGAAATTAAGCAGGCGTTCCCAGTCCCTCTGAAATTGTTTAACTTGGAGGAAATGTTCCTGGAGATAACTTGGAAGCGCAAGAGGAAGTTTCTCTTCAAGTCCAGCAAAGCACTTCTGATGCTAGGTTATGATTACCCTTTTTCTTCTAAATCATCTGTTCCTCTCAAGGTGCCAGAACAAGTCAAGGAAGATTTGCATTAGGCCAGACTAGGCCGCTGGCCAAGAACACATCAGACACTTGGCTTCAGACGGTACAATGAAATGAACGCACAAGGTTATGACCTTAGAAGCAGCAACTTTGGTGTTACTATTGGAATATAAAAACCGTCACAACCTGGGACCAGTTTACCTACAAAATCACCTTACCCCCACAGGTGCCCATTCAACCGCTTCAATCAGCAGATTTGGCCCTATCACAGGTGCCCGTTCCGCATTTGTAAGAATTTGGTTGTTTAGTGCCTAAACTTTGGAACTCCCTGCCTAATGAAATCAAGCAGGCAGCTTCACTGTACTCTTTGGGGCTCCTGCTAAAAAAAAATATTGCTTTTACCTTACCCAGACTTTTAGAAAGTTGGTGTGTGTTTTGATCTTGTTTTCTGTCTGTTGTTATTTTAACTTTTTGAATGTCTTAGATTGTTGTTAAAATAATTTTTTAGCAAAAATATTTTTGTTTTATCTTTTTTTGTAAACCTATTTGAGGGGTTTTTAAAACAATCAAGTGGAAGAAGAAGAAGAAGAAGAAGAAGAAGAAGAAGAAGAAGAAGAAGAAGGAGGAGGAGGAGGAAAGGGAAAATAGTAGTAATAGTAACAACAACAACAACAACAACAACAACAACATTTATACCCTGTCCATCTGGATGGGTTTCCCCAACCACTCTGGGTGGCTTACAGCACACACACACACACACACACACACACACACGGTTTTTTGGGGGAAACTATCTTCCAGCAAGACCCCAGACATCTTGCTCAGACACCTAAATCAGCCATGCACCCAAGTGGTTTACATTTTTAAAAAAATGTAGGATAGGTAGAATAGATAGATAAAAGCTAGATAGATAGATAGATAGATAGATAGATACGGTAGATAGACAGATAGATGATAGATAGAGTGCTTTTTTCTATTAAAAATATTTAGGGGTACTCTCATTTTCCTACTCATATTGAAATACTGCCCCCCAGTGAGGCCAAACTTAGATTCACAAAATGTTTAGGGGTATGTGTACCCCTGGGTCCCCCCAGGAAAAAAGCACTAGATTAGATAGATAGATAGATAGATAGATAGATAGAGTCCAAAATGAAATCCATAGGAGCCAGAATGAAAACTTATATAAAGTCTGGGAGAAGAAAAATGCATTTCCCAGCGTGGTGTAGTGGTTAAGAGTGGTGGACACATAATCTGATGAACCGGGTTCGCTTTCCCACTCCTCCACATGCAGCTGCTGGGCGACCTTGGGCTAGTCACACTTCTCTGAAGTCTCTCAGCCTCACTCACCGCACAGAGTGTTTGTTCCGGGGGGGGGGGGGGAGATTGTTAGCAGCTTTGAGACTCCTTCAGGTAGTGATAAAGCAGGATATCAAATCCTTCTTCTTCTTCTTCTGGCTCCAACGTGGGTATACCAGGGAAGCTTTCCTGAGTAAAGGATGCCACAAAGTGGGCATCACCACTGAGAAGGGCCTTCCATGGTGTGAGAGATTTCTCAGAACTCTCCTACAATACACCCTGGACCCTTTCATTTTGCTTTCACAGCAGCATCACCTCAGGAAGGAGATTCTGGGGAGGAACTCCCCAAATATTTTAAGGAAAGACTAGAGTTGCCAACACAACTTTTTGTGTCCGGATTTTTTTATCTCTTGGCAACTCTAGGAAAGACACGAATAGAGTAATGAGAAGTTTGGGTCCAAAGTATCACCTCTGGTGAACACAGTTCTGGACAAATAGAAAAATGAAAACATTGGGCAGAAAGGGAAGAACCTACCCCGAGTGAGAGAAATTCAATGAAGGAGCTAAGTAGTTAAGGTTAAAATAATAGCATTTGCACATGGATAGTTAAAAGGGGTGTGTGAGAAAAACGAAATGACAGCTTTCTAGCAGAACTAAAGAGAAATGGAAGCAAAAGCAGATGGAAATTCTATAGCAGAACAAAAGCGGAACAAACAAAGAATAATCCAGGAGGAGGTGGGAGTCAAACCAGACGGAAGAGCTTAAAAATTATCAAAGCAAAGCAACGGTGCACAGGGAGAGCGACACAGATTTGGGGCGGGGGTGAGTATAAGGCCTGGAAAGAATTTACAGGGACACTGTGAAGTGTGAATGCAACATGCATGTGTTTTGCCCACATTTACATAATGCAGGCATCTTTGGTCAGGGGGCAACAGAGGTTTCAGGGAGCGCACCTGAACTCCAGAATTTTCTCCAGAATTCAGACTAGGAGAAGTGGTATGGTTGTGGGCAACCCACAATCATCCACACACACAGTGCTTTTTACATGGAAAAGTGAGGTGCTGGTGCTCATATATCGATAAAAGTGCCGTAGATGCCAGCTCAAGATGGCTGCCATGGGCGGCAAAGAAGAGGTCTCTGACACCAGTACTCCATACCAGTGAGTACTGTCACACACAAAAAGCAACCACCACACATCCTGCCTCTGACTTGCCTTCTATTCCCTGCAAATTGTGGATCAATACTATTTTATAATTAATTGATTGGATCAATGGATGCCATTTTGGGGGGGAAAGAGTTTATGTGGTATTTTTATTTATTTTCGTACACTGCCCTGAGAAGTTTTGTTGAAGGATGACTAAAAATAATAACCAAAGCATGTAAGTGATGGTGATAATTCTCAATACTTTAAAACTGTATGCTTGCTATTGCGGGCAGTGTTATATTGCAGCACAGTCTGCAACATGTTCTTGATCATGACCCAAAAATAGTGCATTAGTGGTGGGTTCATCCTGCTTTAGCTTGGTAAGAAATAAAGCAGTGTGGGTCCCCTACAATCTTTGCAGGCACAAACAGTATTAAAAGTAGTAGGGATCCTGCATTACAAATACGTTCAGTGCCTTTCGGATGAACCGAGCAACAGTCTAATTGAAACGGCTCAGAATCTTTTGGACTTGATATTCAGATTGTTCTTTGAAGAGGGCACACTCTTCCTTCTTTCCTACTTTAGTCCTGCAAAAAGTTTAAAGCAGGCCTGTAAGTTATCAGAGTCTGTAGGCCTTCCCAACTCTTCTGGATCAGTGTCTCTCTCCCTGGGCCAGGCTGGGCTTCTGAAGCCTCTTGAGAACAATCATCCTACCCTGAAATCCTATCTAAACTAAGCATTCTCCAACTACATCTAGGAAGAGAAGGAGGGTGGGTAATTGCTACACCTTATGCTGGTCAATACAAGCATGCTGGATTTCTGCTTGAGAAAGCAACTGCAACATTTGACAACAGCATAGGTAACAGAAACAAACTGAAAATGAAATTAAAACATTTATAGGCTCCAATACTTTGGCCACCTGATGAGAAGAGAAGACTCCCTGGAAAAGACCCTGATGTTGGGAAAGATGGAGGGCACAAGGAGAAGGGGACGACAGGACGAGATGGTTGGATAGTGTTCTCGAAGCTACCAGCATGAGTTTGACCAAACTGCGGGAGGCAGTAGAAGACAGGGGTGCCTGGCGTGCTCTGGTCCATGGGGTCACGAAGAGTCGGACACGACTAAACGACTAAACAACAACAACATAGTATCAATCAATGTAAAGTTCAGGGCATCTTGCAAGACTATACAAAAGAAGCAACACAATAAAAAAATAACAGAGTAAGCACGATATCATTTTACTTAACAATCCTAAATGACTCACTCCTCTTCTTTTCAATGTCAACAATGAGCAGGCGTGATTCTCTGTGTGTGACTTATGACAGCTCTTTCCTGTTCTTCTTTGAAGCAAGTGGGGGCAAGGAGGTAGCAGGTAGAAGAGGAAGAAGAACCATCGCAACTGAAAATTATTGAGTGTTATTGCACTCAGGTCCTGCTTGTGAACTTCCCTTAGGTATCTGCTAGGATATAGTGAGAACAGGATGCTGGACGGGCCTTTTGTATGATCCAACAGGACTCTTCTTAGGTTCATTTGTACAAGAGACAGAGATCCTCGCTCTTGTATCCACCCATAGCGAAGAATGCAATATGGAGCAAACAAACCCTCAAAGTGAGCTCTCACTGAAAGAGGCTTATGCCTGTGCTACGCAGATAAAACCTGGCAGGGGAGGGAAGCTGGCAATCCTACAAGCTCTGGCATTTCAATGCAGCTTGTGTGAAATAATTTCCTTGGTAATTATACCACCATCCAGGAAAGTCTGTTAATTATTATTATTATTATTCCCACCTATTATTATTTATTTCCCACCTTTTTCTCCAAGGAGTTGAAGGCGGCATACACAGTTCTCCCCCTCCCCTATTCTATCCTCACGACAACCCTGTGAGGTAGCTTAGACTGAGAGACAGTGACTGGCCCAAGGCCACCCGGTGAGCTAGTAATAATAATAATAATAACAATAACAATAATAATTTATTAGTTATACCTCGCCCATCTGGCTGGGTTTCCCCAGCCACTCTGGGCAGCTTCCAACAGAATATTAGAATCATAGAATCATAGAGTTGGAAGAGACCACAAGGGCCATCGAGTCCAACCCCCTGCCAAGCAGGAAACACCATCAGAGCACTCCTGACATATGGTTGTCAAGCCTCTGCTTAAAGACCTCCAAAGAAGGAGACTCCACCACACTCCTTGGCAGCAAATTCCACTGTCGAACAGCTCTTACTGTATTAAAACACAATAATCTATTAATCATTAAAAGCTTCCCTAAACAGGGCTGCCTTCACGGCCAAATGGGGACTTGAACCCTGGGCTCCCAGGTCCTAGGCCGACATTCTAACTACTATATCACACTGGCTCTTCAGAAAGCACAGAACACATTTTCCTACCCTCCAACATTTCTCCAATGAAAACAGGGGATGTCTTAAGGAAAAGTGGGACCTTCCAAGTGATCAGAAACTGGGACGGCTTCTGTAAACCCAAGACTGTCCCTGGAATATAGAGACACTTGGAAAGGTCTACATTTTATTTCTACAGGGAGGTGAGGATAAGGGAAATGGGTGAACCTAGGAAGCTGTCTTATGCAAAGTCAGACCAGTGGTCCATCTAGGTCAGTGTTGTCCACCCTGACTGGGAGCACCTCTCCAAGATTTGAGGCCAGAGTCCTTCCCAGTCCTATCTGGAGATGCCGAGGATTGAACTTGGGACCTGCTGCTGCATGGAAACCCCCATGAACAACAGTCCCTTTCCTACGCTACAGTCCTGAACAGCAAGCAAGCCGCTTCCTGTGTGGCATCTTTGCTCCGCTATCGCCCACTGAAGTCTATTCCAGGCACCTAATTGGGGTGCTAATATGAGCCAGGCTGTCAGTTCAGTGACTCATCAAGGCTGGGAGGATTTTCTGCTGCGCCAACCCTGAGGGAGGGTGGGAAGAGCTGTCAAGTTTATTTCTCTTCTAAATGGGAACGAAGGGAGAGATATCTCTCATCAAAAGTGGATTATGAAGTGACTTGTAGGTTTGTCTTCCCGTAGGGAGATGCTGACAACACTTTTTTTTTTTTTTCAAGTATTTCTAGCACATTTACTGGGGGAGTGAGGAATACATGGTAAGACTGAGTCCCTGCCGGATTTCCTGACCACCCTTCAGGGGGAAGCAGATTTTAGGCTGGGGTTATTCTGATTTTTTGAGGCTCAAGCTGAAAGCGAATGTGCCCTGGGCAAAGTCCTCTCTGGTGGGCCCGAGAGCCTGTCAGTAGGTTTACATATTAGGGAGGAGTTTGCTTCCTTTCAAAATCCTTATTTCAACTGCTCAATATGGGCCAGGGCTGTGGTAGCTTATGTGGTGCCCGTGAGATTTTTTGGACTACAACTCCCATCAGCCTCAGCAAGTCTGGCCAATGGCCGAGGATAATGGGAGTTGTAGTCCAAGAAATCCCAAGGGCACCCCTATGGGCCACTCCTGGCCCAGGGCCTCCTGTTGTCATTCTCTACAGCTGGGCTCACCCAGATGCCCTCAGCCTTTTTACTATGTTGCCACCACAGTCATTTGCCTCACAGGGCTATTTTAAAGGGTCACGGTGTGAAACCGATATGCCCGCCCACTTTAAAATAGCTATACGTCTTCGTAATATTGACATTTTGTCATTGTCAATTCAGCTGGGCTCGTTCTTAAGTGAAAGCAGCACAATTAATGGAGAACAATACGTTAATTGATCTACATGACCAACTGGTCCTCCTATTAAATGTCTGTTTTGCACATGTCTGACTCAACGAACTGGAACTCATTAACCAGAGGAGGTGAGTTTCCATGAACCTATTCTAACCTGTTTTTTGTTTCCTGCCCACAACCTTGAGGATTTTCTGCTTCACTAAAATAAGAAATAAAATAAAATATAAAAAAAAGTGGGGGACCTGAGCTTTTTCAGTTCCACCTGCCACAAAGCACCGATTTGTTTGTGTTACAAGGTGAAATGGAAATGACACAGGGAGAAAGCACCTCGCTCACCTCAGCGGCCAACAACGAGGGACAGATCAAAAAAACTGAGATGTACCTCAGCCAATTCAAACATGTCGGGAAACCTTTGCAAGAGCGCAGAAAAGAAACCAGATTGCTGTAGAAATGGGCGCTTAACATTTCAGCTGGAAAGCACAGCTTCAATAAATAAATAAAAAAAGCAAGGAAACCAACTAAGGACCCCCAATGGCACACATATTTATTGAGAATCCAATAAAAGTCTCGGAACAAATAACCGGAAGGACCTGTAGACGCAGTCTCCACTGTAATAAAAATGCAATACAAGGCATGAGGGAAATAGTAAAGGGTGAGGGGAACAAGGCTGTTCCATGAGAAAAATCAAACAAGAGTTCCATAGCATAAAACCTGGAGACACAAGCTGAGGATGCTGTAAAACTGCTGCCTTTGGGGAGAAAGAACAAGAAAAACAACAGGTTCTCTCTTTTTTTAAAGCATACAAAGAAACCCCAGATCCATATAAATGAAGCTAGGAATTCTACACAAGCTGCTATAAAAACACATCGGAAAATAGGAAGAGAGTAACGACTTCTGAGCAACTAACTCCTGCAGGTTCACCGAGAAAGCACGTGTGCTAGCTTGACAGCTGCAGGGAACGCTGCGTATGCTCAGGAGACCCGTGTGCATAAAGGTGAGCAAGCTGCAGTTGCAAATGACCCAAAGAAATTTAACAGGGTGCTTCCGTTCCATTCAGCTCAACGTGGCTTCAGCAAACGGGCCATCGTTGGTTTTAAAACGTGTTTAGCAAACCACGAGCCATCTCACAGCTTGTTTCTCCAAAGCGTGGTTGGTTTTTCAGCAGCTCCTGCTTCATGCCTCTGCAGCTTGGCAAGTGTGTGTGTGTGTGTGTGTGTGTGAGTGAGTGAGTGAGAGAGAGAGAGAGAGAGAGAGAGAAACCATTAATTAAATTTATGGTGATTGTTATAACTATTAATTTATTAATATATTGGAGAAGGAAAACTCTGATCATAGACCTCTGCTGCCTTGCGGCTATAGTCATGAAGAAAGAGTTCAGAAGTAAACTCGTACCTGCTGCCTTATGGGACATCTTCAGAAGACAAAGCTAAGGTGGAAACCCTACATGAATCTGGAGCGGACTCTTTTGGATGCCTCCTTCCGGCAAATCCTGCAGCCAAGCCAGTGCCAAATGTATTGCTCTGCTTTCCTTTGGAACACATCTGTGAGGCCAAGAGGAGGGTCTTGTTGTCTGGACAGCTCAGGAACCCCATACATCAGTGGTGGCCAAATGTGGCCCTCCAACTGTTTTTGGACTACAACTCCCATCATCCCTAGCTAACAGGACCAGTGGTCAGGGATGATGGGAATTGTAGTCCCAAAAACAGCTGGCGGGCCAAGTTTGGCCACCACTGCCATACATAATGTCACTTCAGTGCTGCTAACACAGCAAAAACAACACTGGAGGAAGCCGTTACACGTTATCTGTTCCTGCAGCCACAGCGGGTGCTGTGATTCTCCAGAGGTTTGATTTCGGCCCTGGAGGTGCACTCCATTGTCTTTCAAGACAGACGGATGCCAACGAGAAAACATTATACAATCATCTCAAGGCTGAGCACCTCCACCCCTCTGATAAACAGCTCACATGGGCTGTTTTGTCACCCATTCCAATTTCTTGCTTGATGACAGAGATGGAGATGATGGATACACCACTCACAGAGTCTACATCTACTGCAAGTGATGAAAGCTTACTTCCAAGTGCCCTGGGGAAAAGGGACATCTCATTTTTTTTCAAGCGAGATCGTGGCTGCCATTTTGGGTGCCATGATCCCGCAAACTCTTGAGTTGCACTCTCGCTTTTTTCCAGGGTGAGAGTGAGGCGTGGGTCACGTGACTCACCCAGAAGAAGTTTGGTGCTTTTGAAAACGTTGGATGGTATGCGAAAGCCTCTTTTATTCAGACTGGTGCTGTGCAAGGGGGGGGGGAGCAGCCCTGCCAAGAAAAAAAGCACACATTCCCTTGGAGATGGACAAGTGATCAATCTAATAGATAAATAGGCACCGCTCCGGCGGGAAGGTAAACAGTGTTTCCGTGCGCTGCTCTGGTTCGCCAGAAGCGGCTTAGTCATGCTGGTCACATGACCTGGAAGCTGTACGCCGGCTCCCTCGGCCAATAAAGCGAGATGAGAGCCACAACCCCAGAGTCAGTCACGACTGGACCTAATGGTCAGGGGTCCCTTTACCTTT